GGAAAGTGTAAGGTGATGAAATTAGGCGAAGGGAGCAGGAGGCTGAACACAAGGTATCATCTGGGAGGGGAAATCCTGCGAGAATCAATTAGAGAGAAGGATATGGGGGTTGATATCACACCGAACCTGTCTCCAGAGGCCCACATCAAAAGAAGATCATCAGCGGCATATGCTAGACTGGCCAACATAAGAACTGCCTTCAGAAACTTGTGTAAGGAATCTTTCAGAACCCTGTATACCACTTATGTAAGACCAATCCTGGAGTATGCAGCTCCAGCCTGGAGTCCATACCTAGTTAAACACAAGACAAAGTTAGAGAAGATTCAGCGGTATGCCACCAGGCTCGTCCCGGAACTGAGAGGATTGAGCTACGAGGAAAGGCTAAAGGACCTCACATCCCTGGAAAACAGAAGAGTAAGGGGAGACATGATAACCACCTACAAAATTCTCAGGGGAATTGACAGGGTGGACAAAGACAAACTCTTCAGCACGGGTGGGACACGAACAAGGGGACACAGGTGGAAACTTAGTACCCAGATGAGCCACAGAGACGTTAGAAAGAATTTTTTCAGTGTCAGAGTAGTTAATAAATGGAATGCACTAGGAAGTGATGTGGTGGAGGCTGACTCCATACACAGTTTCAAATGTAGATATGATTGAGCCCAGTAGGCTCAGGAATCTGTACACCAGTTGATTGACAGTTGAGAGGCGGGACCAAAGAGTCAAAGCTCAACCCCCGCAAGCACAATTAGGTGAGTACAATTAGGTGAGTACTACTGGCCTCGACGAAGACCAAAAACCGGCGGTTTGTCAAAGGTGCCCCCATTTTTCCTGATTTTTTTTTTCAAGCTGGATTTTAAACAACACGAATCCGTCTCCAGCGACACGAACGCGTCTCTCAACTCTCACAAATGCCATACATAAATAGCAGTGAGAGGAGTTGGTTGATTGTTTACTAAGAGAGTGGAAGAGGTGTTGCAGAGTGCAGGAGGAGAGAGAGAGAGAGAGAGAGGTGTGTGAGGAGATGTGTAGGGTAGAGGAGAGGCCATGCTGACCCTACAGTGTGACACCAATGTCACCAAAAGTCTCCAGGTAATGTTTCCTCCGGGTTGGGGGTCTTGTTACCTTGCATCCTTAATGTGGAAATTGAGCTGTTTAGAGAGAGGGAGAGAGTGTCTAAACTAACGTTGCATGATGTGATACATAATTTTATTGTTAGTGATTAGATGCATAAAATTCTTGCACTGTATTCATAGTTTTCTTCTAGTATATAAAGGAAATATTGCCCATGTAATGAAATTGTGTTGGGTTGCCTTACTCTATGAGTAAACTGCAATGATTACCTTTCATATATGTAACTAAGACAATAAAAAGGAGTTAGAATAAATTGCTATCAAAATAAATTTAGTCAAAGGGTAAAAAACTAAATTTCACATGTACTGCATTGCGATGAAAGGAATGAAAAATTATATTCCTTTCATGAGATGTAGAAACATTTTATCAGCCAATGGTACTGCCCTGTGACACTCCTACTGTTACTTGTACAGTTGGGGAGGGTATGTCATTAATTGCTACATATTGGTGTCTGATTTTCATTGAATTTGTTGCTTATGATTAGATTCCTCAGATTATAAAAGAATGCAGTTGTATTAGTGGGGCGGTGTGCAGGACAAACATAAATTGTGACACTAGCTCTCCACATATGTCAGTTGCTTAATTTAGAACCTGTACTTGAGGTCGATCTCGAACCCATTGTTGATGTGACGACTTTTATTGAATTTTGTAACTAGCTCATGAAGATTGTAACTTGCTTAGCTAAATGAATTGTGGGGTTCAGTCCCTGAGCCCATTGTGTGCCTCTGTAACCCTTTCCACTACCGCCCACAAGATGGGTATGGGGTGCATAATAAATGAACTAAACTAAAAACTATGAAACTAAACCTGGGAAACAATAATCAGCTCCTACGGTTATAGGGGATTTAAAGGATTTGATTGAGAAATGAGTACAGGTATATTCACAGTAGTCATCTCTGTCATTAATAATACTGGTGCAAGTAAAGTTATCTTCATAATAGATAGCTGTACAGCCCCCTGTTTTTGTCTGGCCTGCAGTTGTGAATGGCTTTATAACTGCCTAAGCTGTACAGTTGGGTATGGTCTTTACTTAGACATGTTTCTGTCACGATAATGAACAATAGTTTAGCACCTAGTGCTTCTAGTAGTGCATTTATATCATCAAAATGTTTACCAAGTGATCTGACATTTTGGTTGAATACCGATAGGCTTGTGTTATTTTGGAGTTTCTACTTTGTTTTTTGTATCATTTGCCATGTAGTAACTGTAGTAGCAATGATCAATGTGTTACTGTAGCAGATTTAGTGCAGGGTCAATGTTCATTTGATGCAGTGAGAATGGAGAGGACTGTTAAAGAATATGCAGGTTAGAATATAGTATGAGGGAGATGTGTGGCAAAAAGCGTGAAAATTGGAGAATTTTCTACACTATCAAAACAAACAAATAATGTTTTGGCTTCTTAATACTTTACAGTACTTAAATTTAAAAATAATAGTATGGTAATATAAAAATTAAACGAGAACTAATAACTTATATTACTGAGTAAATGTGTAACTCTTGGGTTTATTAATTATATAAGTAAAAATGGTTAAATATAAGTAAAACAAAGATCAGAACAAAGTGAAATTGATTGTCAATTTAATTGTAGTATCAAGAATAAATGATGAGATTCAAATTACTGTAGTAAGTTACAGTGCTAGAGTACAGTACTAGGATACAGGAGTTAGATATTATAGAAAGAGAGTATATAATTACAGTAAAATACTAAATCTAGGAACGAGTAAAAATTAAAATTATAAAAATAATTAAGCAATATTTAAAATGAAACTGAATTGATATCTAATGTTATTGAGCAAATATACATTTATATAAGTGAAAATAGTTAAGTGTAAGTAAAAAAATAAAGATCTGAACAGATAATAATACAACTGGACTGGGATATGCAATATAAACTGACAAAATTAAAATTTTATAATATATAATAAGAATAAATGATTAAATGAAATTAATTAACTAATTAAAAAATAACGAAAAAAACAAAATATAGGGATAATTAAAATAATTATAATGATTTAGGGGATATATTTAGGGTACACTTTATTTAAGTTAAAAAGCCCTAATCTGGTCCCTAATCAAAACAACCATAAGAAACAAGGAAAATAGAGTTTGAAATCTGAAAAAATTTGCCCCCCCCCCAAAAAAACAAAAAAACTTTAAAGTCCCAAGTTCTGAGAGTTGTGACTGACTTACTTGTCGACCAATTTAATTCTTTTAGGACCAGCAGTAGCATTTCAATAATTCTGTAGAATTCTGCACCTTTCTTAATATCCTTTAACCTATACCCTACAGCTGCAATATGCTATAGTGGTCACTTTGCAAAAATATGCCCTAGAACATTATAAATGACCAATACATATATATAAGGAAATATATATTGTGACGGGAAAGTGTAGGAGTGTAGATGTTCAGCAGTCCTCCATTGGCAGGTGTCAATGCCTAGTCACACTTAAAAAAAAAAAAAAAAAAAATAGACTGCTTGCCTGTTTATCTGTGGTAAAGTAAGGGAAGACACGCCAAACACATAGTATGAATAATGAAACTTTAATTAATATAGAAAACAAATTATAAACAAAGACAATCCCTTGGCAATGCACAGTGCAAACAAACAAGTCAAAAACATATAATATAAATGAAGATTGGGGATGAAGTTACTCTACAATAATATAAATACACAGTGAAAAATAATCAGGTGCTGAGAATATGGCGCTAGCTGAGAAACATCCACCTGATACACAGCGTATATCAGTTAGTTGTTCACTGCTTGAGAGCACAAGGATATTCTGACTTCAATGGCTGGTTCAAGCCCAGACATCGACTCAGGTAGAGGGCGCTGAGGTGCAGAAGTGCAGGTGTGCAGTCGGCGAGTCACCAATCAGGAGCAGGCAGGCTGGGAAGGGTAGTTGGCTGGTTGATGACAAGCTGGCATGGAGGGAGTGTGGAGTAGGGGGTGAGTCTTGGGTACGTTTGCCTCCTGGTCAAAACGTTTTGTGCTACTGGTAGACGTATCTTGAAGGTAGCATCTTATTGTTGTGTAATATACGTAACTTGATGTAGAGAAGAGCAGGCTCAATCTCTCTTGAAAGAGATTATCGTCACAATATATATATAGATTAGATTGTTTTTTCCCAAATTCTGTAATGCTCAACAATCCCCTAGAATATGTAATGTTCAACATTTCCCTTTATATACAGTATAGCAAATGCTATCAGTGGTAGGTGGCAGAAAATTTTGTTCACAAACAGTGGACTTTTATACTGTATTGCAAGAATAATTTATCAATTCAAATTTACAGTGTATGTCTTATAACTATGTCATTTGTCAAAATTGTAACCCTAATAGTGGTTATCATTTTTGTAATATTGTAATTCACATACGAGCAAAATTTATTCCAACCCTTTGATAAGTAATTCAGAAATGTTTAAAAATTTCTACTTCATTTTTTTACTTTTTTTTTTTTGTCATCTTTTTGTCTTTCCTCATTTTGCTTCTTCTATTTTTTTACCTCCTATTTTTTTTTGCTTCTCTTTATTTTATTTTCACTTTTTCTTTTCCTTTATTCATTTTCACTTTTTCTTTTCCTTTATTCATTTTCACTTTTTCTTTTCTCTCACTCTCTTATATTTTGCTTTTCTCTTTCTTTCCTCCCCCCTTCTCTTATTTTTTAATGTTATCATCTTTTCATTTTCTTTCTTCTTATTTTATCTTCTCATTTTCTTCTCTCCACACCCCAAAAATGTGGCATCCCTGAGTTACCTTTTTTTAACTGGCCTCATGTGACTGAGACATCTCTTGTACATTATCTTAATTGCACCTGAAAGATTTTTTAGGACAGATTTTCAAGAGATTTTCTTTGTATATGTCATCAGTGGTTGCGTGAGAAAGAAGAGTTATGTGACGTTGTGGTCGTAGGTAGTGATGGTCAACACACCGCTGCACATAGTTGCGTGCTTGCTGCTCACTCGACTGTCATAGCTGGCGTTCTGCAGGGACGTCTAGCAGCACAGCGTGATTGGTCTGTCTTACGTCCCCTTGTTATTTCCCTAGATGATGTCAACCTGAAACCTTCCATGCCACAGGAAGGTTAGTACACACTGTAGCTATACCAGTATGTTTTGACTTGTTCTTGCATTCCCTGATTTTATCCGGTAATTTGAAAGATTACCAGAAAAATCTAGTTTACAGTATCAATCTGTCATTTGCAAATGAAAGTAAATCAAATAATTATGGGTGTAACAGACTTGTACCCAAAAAAAAAAAAAGGTTTCTGTACTCTGTATATTAATTTTGTATGTAAAGGGTTTGAGAAATTAGGCAACAACCAAACTCAAACTTTTCTAGGCCTAGTATACCGCATATATGTACTAAATTAGAACTAAGATAGTATATACCAAGCTTAAGATTTCTTATTTAGATCTAGGACAGGTTAGGTTAAATTGTGTCGATACTGGCCAAGTTCTTGGCATGTACTGTGTGGTATTCCAGTAGTACAAAATGTGAACTTCTTTTGATTACAACTCTGTTTGAACATTCCACCAATAGTTGCTATAAGGTCCAATCATTTTTGGAGGATGGGTTGGAAGATATTAATTAAATTGCATTAACTTTAGAAACATTAAGTTATTTTGGAATTAGTTTTGCAACAGTTATAATAGAAATATGTTTTATGTGTGTGTAAAATTGAGACAGGTGAAATCTGCCCTTCCATTGTGAGTAGTTCAAGATTTTTCTGGGAGGAAGCCCCCTGTGACTCCCTGAAGTTCTCATCTCCATTGTAGGTACCATCAGTCATGGAGTACTCTGGCCTACTGGGGACCCAGTACCAGAACCTGGTCCCCTCACAGAGGTACAGGGAGCTGTGGCATTTATATGTTGAGTTACTCATTTATGCCACAACTGCTAAAGGCGCCCAGAAAATCAGTGAGTTGAAACATACAACAGCTGGGCATACTAACCCAGGCCAAAGTGCTCATGAAGCGCCGGGCGAGTGTCTCTCCACTGCACCATGGAGACTAAATAAAAATTTAAGGGTAATAAATGTTTAATCTGAATTAAATATTTCAGTTTTGTAAGTGACTGATCTGTATTACTGTATACATGTATATTGTTTTTACAGGTGGCATACCAGAGGTGAACATGATGGAGGCATTGGTAGGCCTATTATATGGGGAAATAGTTCATGTGCCAGCAGTATACCTAGCCACCCTCAGTCACTATGCTCACATGCTTGGCCTGTCTCATCAAGTCTGTGCTTGTTTGGAAATGAGAAAGGCAGAAAACTCAATACAGTTAACAGAAAATAATACTAGTAATCAGAAAAATGCCACTAGAAAAAAACATAACAGAAAACCCATCTTGATTAAAAGTTTTGACCAAAGAAAAGTGAGTGACGTGAAGCAAGTGGAACAAGTGAGTGAAGTTAATCTAACAAGTGAAGCTGTGCAAAATCCATTACCAGTCTCTTTACAAAGCAAACAGTCAATGGACTATTCCTTATCTGATACTTTGGGAGTGAAAGTTGACTGTGAAAATAGCATACTGGAATTGTCTATGCTATGTAGTGATGTTCCTGATATGAATGTTTCTACAAACAGCAACTGGGCTCCTGTTCCAGTTAGGGAGGAACTTCTAAATTATGAACACCAGTCAGATTCACAAATTCAAGATTCCAATACAAATGCATGTAGCTTTGAGAATTCTCCATCCTTGGAAGTGATAAGAGATATTACCATAGAGACACCTATGGAACCGCTGAATATTAAAATGGAAAGCATTAGTAATGCTGATGTTGAAAATGATGGAAATATACATAGTACAAATGTTGGAACAAGTGATATTTTAAGTTTAGTTGTCAATGCAGAGCAAGAGGTTAGTGTGTTTTGTAGCGATACTCAGCAGTTACAGCATCAAAAAAAGCAACAGAAGCAGAAGTCAATTGGGAAGGGACTTGTTTGTGCAGTGTGCGGGTCATCTTTCCAGCGATGTGGAGATCTAGTGAAGCATGTACAGCACATGCAGCACTTTACATCACAATGTCCACTCTGCTTTGTTCAAGTGAGCATCATTTAGTAATTGTTTAATTGACTTGTATTAAAATGTAATGTATAAAAATAAGGTCAAACATATAGATTGTAATATGGCCTAATATTGATAGATAATATTTAGAATAATTTTGTTGCTCTTATTTATATTGTAGTCACATTTTTGCTTTAGATACGAGAACCAGAAGGACAGCGACTTCATTTTGCTCTTCATGACCAGGAGCTGCCATTCTTTTGCATGTACTGTGAGTTAAGGTTTCGAACTCGGGCTGCCTTAACTATGCACACTCCAAAGCATTCTACTACTAAACCGTAAGTTTTCTTTTGCAGCAACACATTAGATAATAAATATTGAGGCTGTGCAGTGGAATTGAACCTGCAACTCTGCATTCCTTGGGTGTGCACACACTGCTGATTGGACCAAACTACCTACATTAAGAAATTCAGGGTTGTGAGTTCAATTCCATCATTCAGCCTCAATATTTATTCAAAGATTCCTCACATTCTTGTGATTTCATTGTGCATATTAGATCATTTTTCTCATGGTTCATAAGAGACTTAATTTAATCTATAAAAAAATAATGGGTTAAATATAATTAATGCCCCTTTTTTGGGTGGTCTCGGTAGTTTCCTGGCACATTGGCTCTGGTACACCCCAAGACAACCACAAAGCTACCAGGCCTCGACTTGTGCAGGCTTATCCAGCACCAGGACCAGAGGCAAGAGAAGCATAGGGTTCTAAGATCATCTTCAAAACTGAGTAAAACTGCTTACAAAGTACAGTACAAACAAAGCAAAAGAATCTACATATTTTGAAAGAAAGAAAAAAGATTGAAGCAAAGGAAGCAGTAGTTTGCCAGATCTCAATAAACCCAGTGCTTTTATCCCATTGTGCCACTAGATGGCAGCTCAAGTCACCCCAGAGTTCTGCCTGCCCACCCAGCTCATGTGCATGCTACCTGAAGGGAGACCCTGAATTCTACAGGGAAGGGATGCTTTGTGCTACAGGGATGAAGGCTGCCCAGAAAAAAAAGGCATTTCATTACATTCAGAGTTTGATATCTGGGCTGATGCTCAGTAGCTACTTGATGCATACTTCCAACTCTTCCTTGAAGAAGAAAAATCTAGCTTTGAGCAAAAATAAACAGTAGGAAAAGAACTCCGTTCCCCCATTTCCTGTAAAATTCTACAAATTTTTCTGACCACCTTGCCTGTTAATGGACTGATTAATTCAAATGAGTCATGAGTGCTGTCAGTCAGGACTTTTGAGTGTTTGTTTATTTTTTTTTAACCCTTTTAGACAAATATACGAGTTAAATTTTAGATGTGGCTGCCCCTTCAAGTATTTGTACTCAAAGAAAAAGACATCATAGTTATATGCAGATTGTTAAACAAACATTTTTCTGGGAGTAACTCCTTGTGGCTCGCTGAAACTACCATCTCCGATGTAGGTACTGTCTACTAGGTGCCATCAATCGCAGAGTTTTCTGACCTAATGAGGACCAGCACCTGAACCTGATCACTGTTTTTTCTAATATGTCCTGGGCTGATATTTGGGTGTGGGTATTTTGAAGGTTGAACTGGGTGTTGGTGACCCAGTACTTGGTCAGCGTGCTCTAGGTGTTCGCGTACCTTAGTTCACCATGTGGCCTTGGGTCGGCTTTCTAGGCTGCTGGTCTCATCTTCACTGTGATGCCTGCAGTGCTCCCTCCTCCCTGGTAAGTGCCTATTTCTTCCTTCTCAATGGTGTAGTTGGCTTCAGAGAGCCACAAGGGGCTTCCCTAGAAAATAAGCATTGAATATAATGAAATGCCAAATTTCTTGGTGAGCTCCAGGGCTCCCTGACACCCCTCCCTCCCCAAAAGTGTCAGATTCTTACATCATTTGTTGAATTGACGGTGGAGCGGCCTGTGAGCCGTGGCCTGCTCCCTCTTCCCCAAACGGGAGGGTGGGGAAAAGGGGAGAGAAACTAGAGTGCTCGCTCTAGTTTCAAAACTAGACCGAGCACTAGTTTTGAAACATTTTTGATAATTTGTTTACATAGTTTGGGGAGTTCTATGGTCATTTTGGAACCTGCAAATCTCAAAGGAATCCAGCTGTGGTTTGTTTTGACTTGCTGATTTTCTGGGTGCCTTCCTCAGTGGGGGTATAATATGAACATACATATCCCCTCACAGAGGTGAAGGGAGCTACAGCTCCCTTTTTCTCTGAGAGGACCTGAATCTGGCACTGGGTTCCCAGTAGGCCAGAGAACTCAATGACTGATGGCACCTACATCGGAGATGGTAGCTTTAGGGAGCCACCGAGGCTCACCCAAAAATTGGCATTTCATTACTTTCAATGCTTGTTTTATAGCATCCATAATTTTTTTTTTACATTTTGAATCCACAGATACAGGGAGTGACCAGCATACTGTATTTATAGTTTTTGTTTTTTTAGGTTTGTTTGTAGTGAATGTGGGAGAGGATTCAAATGGCGCCATGCCCTCCAAGCTCACTTGTACACACACAGTCCCACGAGCCGTGTGCTGTGTGATATATGTGGGTTTTCTTCCAAGTACGTGAGCAGCTTCAAAGCTCACTTGGTGCAGCATTCTGGTCGAGCATTTCCTTGTCCTCACCCAGGATGTGCCTTCACGTCTAACCGCAAGACTCATCTCAACGACCATCTTGCTACACATTCAAAGGTTAGTTTTATCTAGATGCTCTTAAACTATGTGATCTTAATTTTTTTCATAATTTTTAAGTATTCAAGAAATTTGTTGATGTGAATCTTACCTGCTGTAACATGTTCATCATTGTTACTTCCTTTATTAATAGAATAATAGTCTTATATCTGAACTCTTATGTCTCAGCCCTTTCACCCACTGCCCAATTGATTGATATGGAATGCATAATGAACTATTATAGAATTTGCTGTGAGTGAGAATGCCAGGACAGCGCAATCTTAATCACAAAACTACTGTATGAGCTTGCTTATCCGAACTATATGGGAAGGACCCCCTGCTAGATAAGCCATACATTTGGATAAGCAGAATTCTTACCAGGGAAGTCCAAAAGTAAACAAATTCACAATTTTTGTACCACACCCAACATAATTAATCTGAATTTCCACACACACTATAATTGAAAACTATATCAGTACTGTAATTTAAAACAATCTTCAACTTACCTTGTTGTAGTTTTTCTTGATTGATGCTGTGTACAGTACTGTACAGTAGTACTGTACTGCATCTTCAAGTCAATAATTTTTTAAAATTTACGTAATCTAACTTAACACTAAAGTTACTGTGCAGTAAGTCAGCCGGTCCTCTGAAAATGGGAAGGTAAATGTAACAGCACAAGTGCAATTATGTACTATTCACAGCAGTCGGGAATTGTACTTATTTTCACTTAGTTTTAAACCGTACCATCAGTTCAGAGGATGGGTTGAGTAAGTACACGAGCTTTGTAAGGTCAATTTTGACTGCCAGCTGTTGAAACTTCACTGGTTGAAGGCTCTTGGCTTTCTGATGAGGCTTCACTGGTTGAAGGCTCTTGGCTTGCTTGTGAGGCTTCAGTGGTAGAAGGGCCTTGGCTTGCTGTTTTTGCAAAATAAGAATACAGTTTTGCTTGCCTCCTTTGTTCGTTGTCCTCTTATGATTAGCTCTTTGGTTTACCTCCAGTACTGATACATGTTTCCAACTTCTGGACTAGCACAGTTGGATAAAAAATTAATAACATATCAATGGAAAATATGAGTAAACTATGGTTGTCGGTGGTATTAGCACAACCTTCGTCCTCTTAACACCTCCAGGATGATTGCTGTTACTACCAGACATAAGTCTTGGCAAAAAATTATTGAAGTTACTATGAAAACAAAAAGTTATTTAAGAATATATTTCACTAATGGCATGGCACTGTGGTATTATGCAAAGGTCGAGAGCACATGGCCTGTTTAGCTTGACTAGGCTTGGATGGGTTCATTTTGAGCAGGCAGGCACATTATATAGACTGCTAGGCAGAAACAAATCTCCAAATATTTACAGTATAGATATGTTATTTTAAACTAGGGATGTAGAACCAATATTCATTTTGCATTACACTTATTTAAACACAGGAAAAGGGATAATACACTAACAAGGAAAAATCTCTCACTGACCAGATTAACAATTACAGTTCCAGTCTCTTGGATATAAAATGGAGGCCAATAACCTCACAGTGAGGTGAATACCTCACGAGCACACACACCACAACCTGTGTGTGTGTGGAGTCTCAGCCCTCACTCTCTCATGGAGTGCAGGGACTCGTATCATGAAAATGCACGTGAAAACTTTACACACAGAATCATACTCATTTACTAATACATACTCTCAAACACAAGTGAAACATAAAATTTAACACAAATAAAACAAACTGGTATTTTAACTAGAAATGTTTACATTAACAACAAAAGCTAGACTATATACCAATCATTACAGTCCAGACTTGATTTAGAACCTATACCAGTCTGCACTATCTGGCCAAACCTTCAGCTATCCAAATTTCTATCCAGATATGGCAAAATTTTGAAAGAGAAATATCCAACTGCTATTTTCGCAGGATAACCCAAATATTCAGATCAGTGGGGCTTCGGATAAGCGAGCTCATACAGTACTATATTTACATTGGCAGTAACTGTTTAATCATATTTTCCACTTCAGACAAGGGTGCATCAGTGTGAAGTGTGCGGTCACTCTTTCTCCCATGCAAAGAATATGCGGCGTCATATGCGACTTCATGCACCCCCTTCCAACCGACTGACATGCACAGTAATATCCAAACTGCAGTGTAACTTCAGAACTACAAGGCCTGACAAGCTTCGAGACCATCTTACAAAGAAACACAACCTTAGTCGCCATTCTGTTCCTTCAGATCCTCTTGCTAAAGTGTTAGGTACATCATCATCTACTGTGGCAAATAGTGATGATGGTTTATTTCAAAATCAATCTTTAGGTACATTGCCAGGCATTGATGGCATAAAGTCAAAAAATGAAACTGAATTTACATCCATTGTTCAAGAACCAACTACAAATACACTAAACTTAAATAGATTACACCATAAATCAGGAACATCTAAGAGAATATCTAATGTTACTGTTGAAAAGGAAAAAAATGTTCAGGTTACCAATCAGGTATGTGACTCTCAGCTTGGGGGTCACAGTGATGTGTGCAGTGAACAGGAAACCTTTTCAGTGCTTGTTACATCACCAGACATTGTGCAGCTGGCCGATATTCAGACATTAGAAAATCATGCACAGCAATCAGTAAAGCAACAGACTGTTACAGAACTTGCAGATAGTTTTCCCTCAAGGTTCTTGGTGGAACATGGTATTTTATTAGGCAAGTCGGACTCATCTGTTATGAACGAGTCACAACAGCTAGAAAGTGGAAATATGTCCTCTCTTCAAAATAATCTTATTACTCCATCAGATCATAAATTAAGGTTGTCAGTTAATGGTTCAATTCAGAACCAAGGTAATCTAGACTTAGTCACCAGTACCCACGTTGAAACAATGTCCTACTCTAATAATTGTGCTTTCTCAAGGTCAGAAGAGAGCGTTCTAGAGGTTATGGCACCTTCCGGGGATATACCGGGAGCTGCTACTACAAATCAATCAGGTATGAGCTTGATGGCTCAAGAGACTTTACAAAAGAAATCAATTAAACAAGAGCATTGCATGGAATCCCTGAACATATTAGAATTTATGTTAGATAATGTCACAGACTAATTTAACACACACAATAGAATCCAATAGGCTCAGGAATCTGTACACCAGTTGATTGACAGTTGAGAGGCGGGACCAAAGATTCAAAGCTTAACCTCTGAGTACAACTAAGCAAGTACACATAGTTCCTATCTACAAGAGAGGCAGCAGGCTACACTTTGGTAATTACACATGCATGCATTCATGAGGGGTCAATTTTTGTGTCAAAGCAGAAACATTTGGGCAACATTTCCTGCTGCCTTTGTTCACCTAGCAGTAAATAGGTAACTGGGACTTAGCTGCTGTTGGGTTTGTTTAGTGTATATGAGGAGAAAATAGGTTGGGAATCATTACATTAGATAACCGACAGCTGGAAAGGCTGGTCCTACGGTTAACGTCTCTATCCAGGAGAGACAATTAAAATCATCTTTGACACCACAATTACAACTACCATGTAGCAGGGCAACACAAGTCCAGAGAGGAAAAAATGGAAGCAGTATAGGAAAAAAATTGGTTAGGAAAGTAATCCTAATTAAAGAGGGATTTTCACTTTCACTATTGGTTCTTGTGTAGTTATTTAACTTTTGTAAATTTACATATGACAGTTTCCTACCCCATTTTGGATCAGAGTTGGGGTGTATTTCTCCCAAAATAGTGGTACGTCAACCAAACTGTGATATTGAGAATAAAATTCATATGGCATAACATCAAAATATGCATTTATGAAGTCTCTCTAGCAGGCAAAACATGCTCGAGTAATGTTTAATAAACAATGGATCAATGTTTTCAACATTTGTTACACTGTCATTTTCCTAGATTTGTCGAAAGGAGAGGGGGGGGGGGGGTTATGTCAACATAGTAGTTTGTCAGTGTATGAAAATCACAAATTTTTACTTTGTGTATACAGTATAGCTCATGAAAATTTATACATGTAACATTTGACTACGATGTATCCATCTACTATAAGAAAAATAAAAGATTGTATTTACCCAAATTAATTTTGTAGTTCTTAAAACCTTTGCTGTTTTGTTAAGAGGTGGAAGTGGTATTAGAAGGTACTTTGCTGTTTTATTTACATTGTCTTTTTAGTGTTTTTAATAAAGGATTGGTGTACAAATATATATATAGTACAGGTATAGCAAAAATTAAATAGATTATAAGACCCACATGTATTATATTGTCTTCATAATTTTTGAAAATATTTACCATTTTCATTCCCGCTTCAAGTTATGCCTTGTCGTGGTGAGGGGTGCTCCCAAGGGTCAGGGGATTTCTTCGGCCTCCTCTCTGGGTGTTGTATGTGCAACCCCATAGTTTAAATCTATGACCTCTTGTTCTTGAAGTTCCAGGTCTCAGGAATTTATTCCTATCAATTTTGTCGATTCCCGTTACTATTTCGTATGTACAGTACTGTAGTTATCACATTGCCTCTTCTTCTATCTTTTAGTTTTGGCATATTTAATGCCTCTAACTTATGTGCTTCTTAAAATACAAGCACCATACAATTGCTACTTATTCCAGCTTTGGTCTAACAAAAGTTATGAACAATTTCTTCAGTATTTTGCCATCCATGTCAACATTGCTTCTTGAGGCAATTCTGAAGTTGGAAAGCATAGCATAGGATCCTTGCACAACGTTCTTTATGTGGTCCTTGGGCGAGTTTTGTGTCTAGAACCACCTCTAGATCTTTCTCTTTATCAGAATTCTTTAAAGATTTCTCACATATTTTATAGGTTGTGTGGGGATCTATGCTCTCCTATTCCACTTTCCATAACATGACAATTATTCACATTAAATTCCATTTGCCATGTGGTGCTCCACACACTTATTTTGTCCAGTTTTTCTTGAAGGGCAAGACAATCATCCAAGTTTCTCATCTTCCCTATTATCTTGGCATCATCGCAAACATGTTCATGTAATTCTGCATTCCATCTGGTAGATCATTTATGTAGACAATGAACGTGCATTGGGTATTATGTTTCCAGATTTGAATCGGTACAATTCAGCCTGTTTACTTTTTAAATATATACAAATTTTAATACTGTATTATTGAATCTAAAAAAAGAAGAAAAAAAAAGAAATATAACATTAATTTATTAGTGATGTAAAACTAATATTTTCCTGCACAATCAACCATCACCCACAAGTTATGCTCTTTCCCTTTCTCCCATCTAATTGCAGAAGTGCCGGAGCAGTGCTCCAGCGAGCTCTGGCAGCACTGCATGCAATGACTCACAATGGCTTGGTGTAACTCGATGTGTGTGGTGCTAACCAGGTGGCTAGCAACAGGAAGCCACTGTGGAGCTCAAAAAAGTGCATTTTTTGTTTCCAGATTTAACAAATCAGAATTTTGGAGGTGCTTCTGAGAATAAGATGGACACTGCAATAAATACCTTTACCTCAAGATTTCTAGTCTACCATAAATAATCTAGCCCGCATATTAACCTTCAATTATAACCATTTTTCCTGCTTAATGGGCAGTTTTTTGGCTGTTACTGTATTTTCCATTTTTATCATGCCTTTTGATGTAACTTTCAATACTGTAGTTTAAAAGTTGAACCAGTCTACATATATTCTGCTGCCCAATACTTGCATACCCATTATATTATGAATGCATCTAATCATTTATTTGAACCATATGCACATTTTAATTTTGTATTAAATTTTAAAACTAATTGTCCCCATGCTGAAAGCAGTATTTTTGACATTCAAGCCAGGAAGTGCACATATCCTTATTACCACCATTATAATTTTATCCTAACACTATTTACTCTATTCTACCACTTGTCACAATCCTCATCACTTGCTCTGCAATGTACACTACTCTGTGCAATTCATATCTTGCCCCCTCCCCATATACCCCTGGTCACACTTCTTTCTCTGATGTACATTAGTTATTGGCTACAAGTTCATCTCAAAAGGTGTCCTTAATTAAGGTCTGAATATACCATTACAAATGCATATATACAAAATTAACAAATATGTACATATTTGTACATTATTTGGGCTTGGGGAGTAGAACTCCTCCCAGAACCCCATCAACCAGGTATCAACTTCCATTTTAATTTGATTACACTATTCTAGATGTAAATTAACATGGTAGAGTCTTAATGTATTATTGATTCTCTTGGCTCCTGGAGATATCACAGCACTCAGGCTACCTCAGGGTTATAAAAGAACCATTTATTTTAATGTCAAAGTGTGTGCAGGAATGACTAAATTATGTTCACAACAAATCTGTAGCTTTATTTACACAATCTGCTGTTAAATACAATGGAGAATCATAAAACATAACAAAAATGCATGGTAAACCTATCAAAATAAATTAAAACTATATTAGTGAATTAAATTATTTTAATAAAAGTATTTGATGCTCTTATATTTCTTTGAAATTCTTTTCATCAGGCCATACTACTAAATATAAAGGGCTGCTTATACATATTATCCAGCAGCCAACATCAAGATGGATATAGGAAAGAAATATAACTAGTGACAAAGTTAAAACACGTGGCATACTATTTTCCCAATTCTGAATGGCTCACACAAAGATTCCCCGCTTAAAATTTCATATTTATACACTTCTGTACTGTACTGTACTACTTTTATGTGCTGCCACACCCCAACGCAAAATTTCCCTTGTATTTTCGAGAGCATTTCATATAAAACTTCAATGTTGTAAATAAGTCACAGATGACCCATTAGATGTGAGCAATATGGCACAATACATGTCCATTCTAACAATCATTTTATTTCCTATTGTAATGCAGCACAGACCATTATCTTTTATACGCTTCAAACTTTTATTTTTTTTTTTAAATTTGGCCTTTCTTTATTATTATTCAATACATACATACATACATACCAATGATACTAGATAAGAAAACTTGAAAATTATTTTTATATAAATACATGCATACATGCATATACAGTACTGTGTGTGTAATTATATATCTATTATATTATATATATATATATATATATATATATATATATATATATATATATATATATATATATATATATATATATATATATATATATATATATATATATATATATATATATATATATATATATAATTATTACTGAATACATACTCACACACACATGAATACAACTAGGTGAATACACACAAGTAGGGATCTGGTAGCTGAGTGGACAGCGCGCAGGACTTGTAATTCTGTGGCCTGAGTTCGATTCCCGGACCAGGCAGAAACAAATGGGCAAAGTTTCTTTCACCCTTAATGCCCCTGTTACCTAGCAGTAAATAGGTACCTGGGAGTTAAAAAAAAAAATAGTAGTTAGTAACAGTTGAGAGGCGGGCCGAAAGGGCAAAACTCAACCCCCGCAAGCACAACTAGGTGAATACATGTGTATACAGACACAGACAGACACACACACATGCATGCATAGCTATCCATTAGAAAGATTATACGAAAATTCCGAACGTTTTTGTGTTTCAACACATTATCAAAGAATATAAACAGAAGACAGGGGTTTGGGATTGTAAACTCCACTACACCTGAGAAGATAAAGATCCATAACAAAATAATGAATAATGGAAGCGACATGAAGGTGGGATGACTAAATGGGTATTCCCCATTTCTTGGAATGCACTACACATGCAAGTATTCTTTACTTAATTTTATACCTAGCATTATAATTTTTAAGGCTTGTGATATATAATTTATATAATCCAAGACTTACATTAACATTATCTAATTCTCTACTATTTATAAATGAAGATTCAACAATTATTTCAGTAACTGATTCACACTCCACAATTTTGCATGAATTAGTCCAGTCAACTGAATGACTACAATCTCTCAAGTGAACAAATCACTTGTAATCATTCAACTGACTGGGCTAAATCATTCAAGATCGTGGAAGGTAAATTAGTTATTACAAGAAATATTATTGAATTTTCATTTATAAAATGTAGTGAATTAGATAATATTAATGCAAGTCCAGGATCATACAAAACAAATATATTTATACTGCAATTGGTAAGATTTGTGAAAGGTATCAAAATAATGTAAAGAATACTTGTATGTGTAGTACATTCTAAGAAACAGGGAATACCCATTTAATCATCCCGCCTTCATGTTAGTGTACAGTACTGTACTTCCAGTATTCGATATTTTGTTTATAGATCTCGATCTACTTTGGTGTAGTGGGGCATATACAGTAATCCCAAACCCATGTCTTCTCTTATCTATATGCCTTGATAATGTGTTGAAACTTAAAAAACGCTCAGAATTTTTGTTTCATTTTCCTATACACATGCACACACATACAAAGTGTAACTACACTTTTGTTGCCTTACAGAGGCAAGTCACAGAGCTGAAGGATAATTTATCTTTATCTAGGTGGTAGTGGGGGTGAGGGGTCAGCTAGTGGTGTCCCTGCTATTTTTTAAGCATTCCAGGATCAAGTTATAACAGGTGGAATGGCGATGATTGGAAGTAAATATACAAATTGGGAAATGTTTGTGGGAGGCCTGTCCCACTGAAGCACAGAATAAAAAACAAAATGGCTGCCACCATGGGCACTGATAAGCCAGCATGGGAGACAAATTTCAAGGGGATTATTGAGGAAGAGGTAAGAAATGGAGGTCTTATGGGCAGGTTAGTGAAAACTGAGGATGTTATAAATATCTATGAAGGAAAATTTCTTACTAAAGCATTTCTCAACAGCAAGAGGAAATTACCAGTGTGACAGCTATGGTAAAGGAACAGGAATTGCATATCGAACAACCTGAGAAAGTTAATGAGATATAGATATTAAGGGTGACATTTAATGGAGTGAAACAAATAACGGAATTGCTTAAGAGTGTCAGGTAATTGCAGAGCGATGAGGATGGGGAAACTTTGGTCATTAAGATGAGACCTCTCAAAGGAAGACAGAAAAAAGCTAAAACTAAACCTCAATGAAGTGAAACATCTGAATGGGAATAGAAATGATTAGAAAGAAGAAATTCTTTTAATTACATGGATGGTGAAATACTAAAGAACCTGTTCTTGACCTTTGTGAGACCAGAATTGTATTATGCAGCAGTTGTATGGTGCCCATATCTCAAGAAGCACATCAATAGTGGATATTATGCAAAGTCATGCTACAAAATGGCTTTCAAAACTGAAATACAAGAGTTATGAGGAGAGGCTAAAGGCATTAAAAAGGCCAAAGCTAGATGACATAAAAAAAAGAGGTAATATGATCACCACTTACAAAATAATATCAGGAATTTCTGAAACCTGCAACTTCAAGAACAAGAGGTAACAGATTCAAGCCAAGGAAACAAAGGTGCCCAAAATTTTTTTTTATAAAATTTTCCTTTGCAAACAGAGTGGTAGACAGTTGGAAGAAGTTAACCCTCAGACAGCAGCTATGGAGACAGTGGCTATATTTTTGTGCACAGGCAGTCATACCCGCTTATGCACAAAAAATTAAAAAATTCCGAGAAATAATTTTCATTACGTATAAAATTATTCATTTGTATGCTGAGTGCAAGAAAAACAAGAAAATTTATGGTAACCGCTGTCTAAGGGTTAAGTGAGAAGAAGGTGGAGGCTAAAACCGTCAGTATCAAAGCGTTATATGACAAGAGTACTGGGAAGACGGGACACCACGAGCATAGGTCTCTCTCTCTCTGTGTGTCTGTCTGTCTGTCTCTCACTCTCATACACACACACACACACACAGATTTTAAAACATGCACACTATATGTATAAAAACAAATCATATTTTGAGAATTATCAGCCATAATTTCTTGGACTATTAAAACGTCAAAAAATTTAAAAATTTAAAAACTTTTCTGAAGTGACAAATACAACAGGAAAGTATAAATAATTCACAGCATTAAGAACTTCACTTAAGAGATTACTATTAAGATTGCACATTTCTAAATGTTTTATAAGAAATACCTGTACAGCATAATGATGCCGAGAAACTTGACAAACTATTTCTTATGGACGGTGACAACTTAAAAACCACCATCGTAATTTTTCCTTGCAGTTCAATTTATATTGGCCAGTTTGATTTAACAGAAGCTTCCAGCAAATCTTAAAGAAGATATTACAGCAGTGCTTAATCACGGAATATGTGATAGACTTATCTATTAGTAATCGAGGACGTTTTGCTTAAGAGTTCATTGCTAGTGTAAGGCAGGAGCAGAAGCTAAAGACCATTAGAGTGCATTAGTATCACAACAGTTACATGTACATGGTGCATGGAGAAGCATTACACAAATTAGCATACTCAGTGTCTCACATGTCGGCAGTGAAATGACAGCTTGTGTTCAAAGTGCATTCACAAGTTTGTTTCTGCAATTGTGTAAAGTTCTTACAAAAGCCACTATGCTTATAAAAAGCAGGCATGGAATTTCAACAAGCACTCATTCAAAATTCAAATTTTCTTCACTTTAAGCCCCATGATGCTATTTGGTCATTCAGATGGAGCATCAAATTAAAGTAAAAAATAGTTGTTATTTTCTTCAACATTAAACTGACTTTTTATTCTAAGATGAAAATTACCAGGATGCTTTTTAAAGCTTGTGTGTTTCAATGATAAGTAAATAACAAGACAGTTGAAAACAAACCTAAATGTTATGAAATACAAGAATTCAAACATTGATGCTGACTGCAATTGTCTTTAGTAAATGCCAAGAATTTGATACATGTGCCTGGAGTCGTATATTTAAAAAAGTAAATTACACAAGTAAAATACAGAATTCCAATAATTTGACAATGTAAATTTTCATTATCATTAAATAAGAAGTGAACACCAGCAAAATATTTAACAGGCACTAATGTGTGTCACATTCAGGCATTTACAATTACACATAGGTAGCATACAGAAAAGAGTTAACTATTTTCTTTTGCAAAATAGCAATTTTAATATAAATGAACTGGAAATGGCCTTGTGTCCACACCTTGGAGAAACAAACTGATCTAAGAATAACCAATGTACTCCACACAGGACACTTGACATCCTCCGGTCACATCCCACTCTTGTAATGAGCCAAATATTATGGAACTAAAGTTACTTACCATCTTGACTGACTCATATCAGTCACATAACAATTTTTAGTCTGATAAATCATTTTGTTTCCTCATACACAGCAAGGACTTACTTCTGATTTACAAAGACACCCCACATAAAAAAATTTCTAGCAGGATCATAGATTAAAAACACATTACAAGGAATTGTCAAAATTGCAGGCACTTACATTCATGACAATTCTTCAATCTTGCAACCACTATTACTCGAGTAGGGCCTAAAATTTTTAGGCTATACAAATGTTAATAAGTACTATTATGCAAGCCTCAAGGCTACTGCTAAGTACTGGAATATACGATCTTGATGTTTGGTTGCAGCTCTCCATGAACTGTTTTGTAAAGTGTATACTTTTGTCATTTGTTTCTACAGTAACACTATTTACATATTGTGAGTTGGGAAATATTCACAGGTAGAATAAACAATTATCTCATATCAGCTAATAATTTGGAGTCAAGTGTTCCCAAAGCTCCATGTCCTGATATGGTTAAGTGTCACTGGTGACACACTGAGGACTGCTACTTTGGCTTGTGGTCTGTGGTTTTGTCCAAACTTTGTGCCTGGTACACAATTGTCCCAGTACTTTGCTCAGTAACTACCTTTATTGTTGTTTTACAGAAGAAACAGTCGGATCTGTTCATTAAATGTTGCGTCACACATGCCCTGCAAAGTTAAAACACAAATATAGATTTATTTTTGCTGAAAATTTGGCTTATTATAACTAAACATGGCAATTAGGAATTGTTACAAGAAAGAATATTATGTTTAAGGAAAGAAATTAAATAAATAATCAAAGTTTTGTACATTATAAAATAACAAAGTTATCCACACAACAACAGGAGATTAAACGATGAGATAATATATATTGAGGATTTACCATATACTGTCTTTCCCTCTTCTCTTCCTTTACACACTACAGGAAAGACAAATTAGCCAAGGAAAATATCTGCATGCAATGAGTGTGGTAAACAAGTGGTGGAATTGACCTCTATTTACAGCTTCAAGAGTATTAACCCTTACACTGCTCAGGGGTCTTGGGGACATTTACACCCCTGTGCGCAAGAAAAAAAAAATTCAAAATTTTTTTTTCGTCTTCTAAACATGTTAATTTGTGTCCCCTGAGCACGGAAAAAAAAAAAAAAATCGTAGGTGACATATTTTGGGCGCAATTGACCGAGGAAGTCTGGCAAAAAGTGGGCGTTGACAGAGCGGTCGTCAGACCCGGTCAGCGTCACCCGCGTTGACAGATGGGAGTTGCCACAAAGATATTATTACCTAATTGTTTCAATGTCTCCGATTGATTTTTTCTTAGTTTTTTTGCAGTAATATTATTCAATAGTGTGTATTGTAATATATTTATATAATAAAAGTGGTTAATAATCGCTATACTCAAAAGTATGATGTGCATATTAGTGATTCAATTATTATGTTTATATAACAATAAACAAATAGTTTTGCTGCTATTACACTCTATACACAGGTTATATAAAAGTATTGGCATGTTTTGGTCACCATAACGAACCACTAAGTTGGTATTGAGAGTCGAAAAGCAACGAGGAGTTACCGCCACACACCAGCCAGCCACTCGCTGCCACTCCCTCAACACACGCACTAAACTTTCTCCCCCAACAATACCATTTGTGGTGTTATTACACTATATACAGACGTTATATATAAGTATGTATATATTTTGTTCACCACAACTGTACAGCTAAGCTGATATAGTTAGTTCAGGCACTAAGAGTCGTCGCTATACACAGATGGCGGCTGGCGGCTCCCTCACTCTTTCAAGGTCACACGCACTAAACTTTCTCCCCCAACAATACCTTTTGCAGTGTTATTACCGTATATACACATATTATATATAAGTATCTACATGTTTTATGCACCGGAACTGTACACCTAAGCTTGTAGTGCGCGCAAAGAGCATAGTGGCCACCCTCTAAACAGCTAGACAAATCGTGCAGACGACGTCACCTCCGTCACCCATATGGCTCCTCCCAGCATAATCCTTTTGCTGTTATTACACTAATACACACATTAAATATAAGTATCTACATTTGTGTTCACCATAGAGAACCACTGACCTGGTATGGTGAATGCAAACAATAACAGCTAGCCACACAGTCAGTAAACGATGCTGTCTCCCTCCATCTCTCAGCATCACTCCTCCCACAGCGCTAATTATTACAACAATCCTGCTATTATCACAACCCTGGTTATTTATATCACAGTCATTGGTCATCTGTAATATTGTCATCGCTAAATAATAACAATTATATATTTATTTTGACATTTTTCGGCGATGCTGTGGTCACAAGCTGAACATCAATGCTGTTCGCTCATGCTGCGTGCGCCGGCCTTGGTTGCTCCAACAGTACTGTGCCTCTCACACCTGAGAATATTGCCCACGATTTTTTTTTTAAATGGCATCTGTTTACAAGAGCCCTGAGGAAGCTACTGTGAACCCCGTGTAGCCGCGGGCCATTTGAATCAGGCCTGGCACCCTATGGCGTATATATACGCCATGCGCACCATGGGACATGTTACTCAGGGCGTATATATACGCCATGCGCAGTTTAAGGGTTAAGTATGACAGAGTAACTGAATATGAGGATATATCAGGTATACTAACCATGAGATGAGGCACTAATGCTCTCTCTCAATCACATTCCACCAAGGTTTTACAATCAACCTGACCACACTCTTGCCTATGATAATTGTTTTCACATACTTATGCCACACACAGATCACAAAGGAATCGCAATTGTGTGATATATAAATGAAAATAATTTTGAAGCAGTGGAGTGACTTGATACCTACATTCTGGTGAATCTCAGACACAAATCGGCATGCTTAAAAGGCTTCAAAGTTTTCCTTTTGTATACCATTTGACTGAGTAATGAACTCCCTAATATTATCTTTTTGCTACTTTATATTTCCTCCTCCTTTTCACAAAGTTCAAATGATAAAGTATGGTATATTTATCTACTGTACAAGGAGTTCATCTACTGCTTGTACACCGAGGCAAGGAGAAGCACAAGGCGCCAGAAAACTTAAGGGAGTTGGACGCATTTGGCCAATCTATTTGTTTTGTCAATGTATTGTACTCAAAACGAATTCTCAATTTTGGCTGCTTTGAACGTTTTATTTTAATATTGTATGATATAATTTGATATATGATATAATATAATTTAAAAAATTACATTTTGCATTTGAAAATTAAAAAAGACTATGCATTGTATAATACAAGTCCAGATGTATTGGCTCAGTTGTTCTAATGTGTACAATTTTCATAGAAATGAACATTTGTTTGATCCGCTGGACAATTTGCACTAAACATGAAATCAATAAAGTGAGGTTTGTTTGAGTGTAAAAGTATAAAAGTATTTCTCCAGCTGTAAACAAATGGAATTAACTACTAAAGACAGCAAGGGATGCTTGACTCCATCTATAGCTTTAAGTGTAAGTATGATAAAGTATAAGAGGATCCAGTTGTTGCACCAGCAAATTGATAACTAGGAGCCAAGAAAGGAGCTCATTCCCACAAACACAAATAGATAAGAACATCACATACAAATAAATTGAGTTACTCTAACCTGCAGGATGAGTGTGCACAGGGTGAAAACACTGCAGATGCAGGATATGCATAACAAATTGTACATAAGGAATCCTCATCGTCTCCTGAAGTAGGTTCTCCCCGGCTCTCCACACATTTTTCAAGGTGTGATATGACATGCTCCACTTGGCTTATTTCAGAATTAGATATATCATCAGGGTCTGTGATGGCAAAATATAAAATGAATGCTATTAATCTATGTACATGTTAAGAGTTTAGTAAAATATACAGTACCCTATTCTAAGTTAGTACACACTGACACCCTTTTTAGTTAGGTTGTAAAACTGTGTTTCATAGCAGTTCAATTTATGTATAATATAGCTGGAGACCCTTGGTGAGCCACTCAAAATGCTGGAGTCACCCAGGTGTTAAGAACCACTGATGTAACACCTCGGTTAAAAAGGGAATAATGTGAACCAAAACCGTTTCAATTACTGAATTGTACAATATATCTTTCGTCCAATAATATGGGGTTTCTAATTAAAATACGCTATGATGTTTGCATTAAATGCAGAGAAAATTTCTCATAAGACGATTTAACATATACTGTACTTCTATAAATCAGGTTAAGTAAGACTTTTTATTAAAAATTATTTATATGTATGGTAATAAATTATCATGCTTTTATTGTTATGTAAACAATAAGATACATAAAGATAAATGTATGAAAATCATTTGATCACTATTGTATATACAATTACTATTTTAATCTATTTAATCATAACCAATTTCTAACTGCAAAACAGATACACAAGCAAGGGTAAACAAAATTCTGGGTAGTTGATTTAATCTAGTAAATGCCAAAAAAAAAGTAATGGTGTATGTAACTGTATAATGTACTTACAATTTCTCAATGAAAACTTAATGCCTGCACTATTATTAATGTGAGAATTTGCTCCCCTCACATGAGCTGGCAATGGTAAACAGTCTAGGTAACTGGAACAATGTTCAGTTAACAACTGAGCTCTGTCTGAGGCCGAGGCTGAGGGTGTGGCTGATGCTCCTGCGTATGCCATGGATGACGAGGCCTTCAAAACGTCTTGACCACCGAGAAGCTGATATACAGAACTTATCTGGAAACTCGGTTCATTTAGCAGTGTTCTTGTTGCCACCTGGGCCTTGGGATTTACTGGTGGGGTAGGTAGGGAGAGTATCATTAAAACTTCATGAAAATAATTTGGTAATATTGCTTTAATATGTATAAAGAAATGTACAAATTTGCATGATATCATGAGATTATACATATCATATGCAAACAATAAGTTATGATGATGGCTATCTACTGTATAGCACATCCAGAAAATCTGGACCTCACTTAAACTGACTAATAGAGATCAGACTCATTTTGTATTAAGGAAGGGGACCGAAGAACCCAAGGAAACCCAGAACCGAACCCAGGGAGGAGCTGACGCCGTATCAAACTCATACAGGAAGGGAGGATAAGAAAACTCCCCCCCTCCAGTAACAACAAGCCCTGCTCAGAGGGTACAACACCCAAGCAGGGACAAATGGGGCCCAAGTCAGCCCCTCCCCCGCCCCGGGAACCTCCACATCAGGACCGGGGGCCTAGCCGTCCTCCAAATCCTCCGCTTGAATAGAAAAGGCAGAGTCCACCGGAAAAGCAGGAAAGAAGGGGCCCCACTGGTCAGACCCAGGAGCACCGGCTGGAGGAACTGGTTCAAATGCCCCTATCGCCACATCGGATGGGGCATCCCCCGAAGTTGCCCGAGTCTCACCCACCAACTAAACCCTGCAACGACTCCGAGACCCTCAGACGCTTCAGAGCTGGGTGCAGCAGGGAAGAAACAGGACGAATAACAGCAGGGAAAGGACAAAGGGGCACGGACGAAACCAAAGTCGAGGCGACTAATGCTCCAAAGTCCGGGGCTTAGGAGTTAATATCTCCTAAGGTTTCAAAACATCATGAAAACCGTTAATTGAAAGTTTCCTCCCATAACCTAGCAGCCTAAGCTAGAGGACCCAAAACAGAAAACGGGACAGAACGTCACTTTTGCAAACCGATTCCATTTTCAACTACATTCTTTTTTTTAGCCCGAGTGTGTATAAGAGAGAAAAACGATATAATTTGTAAGAGGACAGGTTGGTTTAGCAGCTCTGTACAGATGAGGGTGTCTTTGATGTCTAGGCTGACCTCACCCTGATGCCTATGTTTTCTATCACATCTGAAAAGATTAAATTCTGGTATCCATCTCTCATTGAATAGTCCTTTGTGTGAGTTTCAGTCAAAGCTGCAAAAACTGCATTTGCCTCATTTAGGGGACCATTTAGAAAGTGGACTTTGTTTTGCATGTTTTGATGCTTTGTATGTTGTCAAATAAGATATTATCTTATTTGTGGAAGTGCTGGGTATTTTACGTGGTGTTAATATCTGGGGTTCTGATAGGGGTGCCACATTGTTCATGTCCTGTTTAACGGGTGCCACATTGTTCATGTCCTGTTTAACAGGTGCCACATTGTTCATGTCCTGTTTAACATTTGACTAAGTTGATGGTTGAGTTTGGACATCTCTTGCCATTTTGTTTTCTTTCTCTTACTATAAAATCCCCCTGGTATGTATGGGTGTTGCTGCATTCATAATTGCATTATTTTTATTTTTTTTGGCTTGGTTCCTTTGATATGAAATGCTGGGCAATCTCTTAAAATATTCCTTCTAGTTTAATGAGTTTGTACACAGTTTTGTGTAGAAATATTTCAAGTGCCACATTACTGGGTCACATCAGGACTGTTCGGCCTACCAGAGATCAGAGCTAGAACGTGGCTCTCTTCACTAAGAGGCACAAGAAGCAGGAGACAATATCACCCTCACTAGGCAAGCATTCAGAAAGTTAGCGAAGCTTTACAGACAACTGCAAGGGTCATAGGCAATGAATCATCGAAACAGTCAAAATGACTCCACAAACAATTCAATCCAAACAATTGGATCACTCGTAACTAGCTTGAATCCGCTAGTACAGTATTAATGGCCGCCACTAGATGGCCTGGGCCCATGGCTAATAGCAGGCTCCAAGGTCAGTCTGGAGCAGATAGACGTACAATGAACTGGCAAACTAACACACCTGGTAGGGAAGCAGTCAGGGAGCCACCAGGACTCTACCAGGAAGAGGAGTTTCATTTGAAGCAACATGATGTGCTTATATCACACACTACAGTATATACAATACTGAATTCTGTAATGGAACACAAACATACTCAAGAGTTAAAAATGGCAAAGAAGAGTATCATACCTTGTACAATATCATGGCTGATAAGTGTGACCAGAATCCCTGTGACGGATGTGAGTATGGGGTACTGATGTATAGTTTCCAAGCCTGGGATCTCAAGGCCTACAACATGGCCAAAGCATCCAGACCATCCACTTACACGGTTAAGAACTTGACATAATAACTGTCAAGAGAAAAATTGCATTGCTTGCTTAAAATATAACTATTAGAAATGATAAGCAAATTATATTTACTGTATTCAAATTTGAAAAAATGTAAGGTAAAAGCATATATTATCATGTACTATACACAGTTTCCAGTTTTACAAGAATGAACAACACACAAACCTGACATAATCTTGACAAAAGTAGTTCAGCATTGGATCTGGAAAAATCTGTAAACAGCTGTGGTGCTATATTTACAATCATCTCCAGAACACGTAGGAGGGCCAAAGCCAAATCAAAACATGTGGCACAAATTCGGAGTTGTCTCGAATCAATAAACACACGCTCAGGACGGTTTGAAGCATTTTGGATCTGTTGGTAAATTTTGAAGTATTTGATTTTTAACATTGAAATTAATATTAGTCAATAATGCAAATGAAAGAATGCAATATAAATGTAAATTTGACAATTCCATCAGTCCTCTTTACTTTAATTCATAAACTTTAAATAATTTTTTTTTTTAGAATATCAAAGGTCCCATCACATGGATAAAGATGACATAACATCATGAGGTAAGGACAAAGATGGGTGGGAGGTGGTTGAATTACAAAGTGAACTTAGGGAAAGAGCAGAACCTGGATGATGAACTTTGGAGAGTTAATTTTTCAACTACCCTCGACAGTGAAGTAAAGCATAAGAAATATCGAGAAGATTCGTGTTAGAATCATTAATCTTACCCTTTTGGTCATATTCAACAACATATGTTTACAAGAATGACTGCTACCTAAATTTCAGAGGCACCAATCACTGGTAATTTGCAGAACTGTATTGACAGTTTGCACTTTGAGTGCATATATGTTCAATAAATATAAAATTAGGATAATTTCAAAGGGCCCTAAGCCTTTCTCTTTAGCCTGTCTCCAATATCTCACCTCCTGTAACATTCCAATGAACTCTGAGAAGGCCCAGTTGAGCTGATTTAGCAATGAATTGAGGAAGGGTGTGGCCACATCTGATGAACTTTCCAGCACCTTCACAACGTGTCTTTGGAAAACTGGCGATGGGCAAGGAGCTGTGAAAATAGAGAATAAATGAACAAAACATTAACTTACAGTAACAAGTACAAGAGCAACAGAAAGTCATGCAATACAGTGTACCACTGCCTGAAATTGTATAGATTAATGAATACATTAGACAAATGGTAATAATACAGTATAGACATTTGCTGGATCTTGGTGTCTGTATTATTACCAGACACCAAGGTGGCAGTGTGTTTAATCAGTTTTTCCAATACAATATTGTGCAATATTGTGATACATATTGTGCAATATTAAAACTTAAACACAAAAATAAATTCACACGAGGCTGAGAAAAAATTATCCTATTAATAAGAACTACAATATTCAGGGCTTCAAAAATTTTACATAAACTAATTAAACAACAAAAGGCAAGACTGGAAATTATCCAAACACCCTTTATCAGAGGTGCTTTGTGAGGTCCAACATTCATCTTCCTATGAACTGACGTACAATAACAGATCTTAAATATAGATCTAATTTGTTCAAGAAACTTGTACAAATGAGGGTGATAACATTAAGACTATTGGGACATTGATTAATCAGGGCTGACTCAATCAAATCAAAGTCCAACCCTGTGGTCATCATGAATAAGGATGACTATGTCCAAGAAACACCTCTTGAATGTAATGACATGCCAATTTCTGGGCAAGCCACGGCGGTTTCCTGAAGCCACCATCTCTGATGTATGTTCCATCTACTATGTGCCATGAGTCACAGAGTTCTTTGGCATACTGAGAACCCAGAGCGTTAACCATTCTTCATAGAAAATGAAGCATTGAAATAGCCAAAAAAACTCTGAAAACAATTAATTCATAACAAGTGGCTCACTCAAAACTAGCTCTTGCTCATTAGTACCAAAAACCAGAACCAGACAGCCTAGAGTCTCAGGTTTACAAGGTCGCATCCTGACAAGTCTCGATTCATCTGAGGTTCAGGGATTGGATAGGTTTCATTGTGGAGTATCAAGCTTTATGCTTCAAGTTTCTGCCATTCAGCTTGAATCTGGCTCCTCAAATGTTTACCAGGTTAGCATGGGTAGTGGTAAACCAGCTGTGTCTATTAGGAGTTTGCATCTTTGCCCAAATTACTGACTGGTTGGTTTGGACCCTTCAGTTAGTCCATGTGTCAGCTGGCTAGGAATCTGGTTCTTTCCCAGTTTGCCAAGTTTGAATTCCTGGTGAAGTGACAGAAGTTCCAACTGGTTATGTTCTAAGTGCGGATCTGGTTGTTCCTCATTAAGGACTCCTGGTCGGTGCCTCTTTCTCTGCCTCCTGCTGCAGCATAATCACTATCTGTTGTTGCTGATTCAGGTGATTCAATGAATTACCTGGATCAACCCCAGGTGATTCATTGGTTGGTTGAGTAGTTATGTGGGAGCCTGATCTTTACCTGCATGGCATTTTTCCTGGGCAAGGTTTCACCAGTTCCATTTGTTTTGCCACTGCTGGGACTGTTGGATTTGGGCTCCACCCACACTTCATTAGATTTTGCTTTGCCAGCTTCCTCATTGGGATTTATCAGGGCTTGGTTCTGTGGCACAATTCTTTTCTGTCACTCAATGTGTTCAAGGTGCCACAGTTCTGAATTGGGTTTTTGCAGCCAGTGCTCACCATGCCTTCCAGAATTGGTAGTCTGGGACATTCCATCAAGCACAAGAGTGAGAGTGTTTGTGGCTGTGTGGTAGACCCTGTGGAGGATTTAGCTTCCTTTGGGCTACATTCTGACTACTTCACTGTGGGTCCACTTCCTGGGAATCACTTACATCCTACCCCTTTTGGAGCTGGACTCTGTGTAGCTCAACTTCTGGACTCTTGGGATTTGATTTCCAGCACAGTTCACATGCAGCAGTGTCCAACATTCATGCAAATGGGCTATCTCACATCTATTCCATTTCCACAGTGTGGACCGTCGATGACGCGTCCTCCCGTTGGCGTTTCGAGAAGTTCAGTCGCCCAGAGGTGGACTTCTTCATGTCGGCAAAGGTCTTCCATCCTTTGTGGCTGGCTCCTCAATTCAGAGATTTATGCAGCGGACACTTTTTAGCCAGACTGGCTGAAGTTGGGTTCATGTACCTCTTTTTCCCTGGTTCAGTTCTTGGTCTGGATGTTGTTCAGACTGGAGTTTTACTCGAGCAAGGTGATCCTTCTGGCTCCTTGAAGGGTGTATATGCTTTGTGTGTCTGTATATCTTATTAATATGTATTTTATGAACAGATAAATATCAATTTGCACAAAGTTATTTCTATGATAAATTATAAAAAAATAAGTTATCATAGAAAGTAAGTACTCACATCAAACCTCAAAGAGTTTGTACAGAAGCTCACTATACAGTATATGGTAACATATACTGGGTTATTTCTATGATAAGCTCACTATACAGTATATGGTAACATATACTGGGTTATTTCTATGATAAATTATAAAAAAATAAGTTATCATAGAAAGTAAGTACTCACATCAAACCTCAAAGAGTTTGTACAGAAGCTCACTATACAGTATATGGTAACATGGTCAATAAAGTCATCACATTTACCTGTTGTTTGAGTGAAGTTAGGGTTGTCAGTATGGGCTGGTTTTGGACCAAATTTGTTAGTCATATGAGGGCTTCTTGTATATCGGAAACCAAACCCACAGCCTTTCCAAAACCGCACCAAAATCCAGTTATTCTGAGCCCAGGCACGATTTTCGTAAGGCTGTAGGAGGTTTCGAACCATCTGTTGCCGACTGTGAATTAAAAAGATAAGGTAATAATTAATTAAAAAACATAATTAGTAATCCTCTGTTTTAGAGCATGTAGATATAAAATTTGTTAATATCTAAGAATAAATTAGGATATATCATTAAGAGCAATTAAATATATACAGTACCTATTGTATTTGACAAGAAAAACATTTCTAAAGTAAAAGTATCTTTACAAAATGCAAACTGATTTTTTAATGAATAACAAAAGTGCAGCTATGTGAGAACTGGTCTAGGTAAAAATTTACTGCTTACATTGCAGTCTCAACTTCCTATACTTATTGCAGGATTCTTACTGCCCCTATGTTATATAAAAAATAAGAGATTGTATTGAATCTTTTCTTGCAAAGTGACCACACAATTTTTACAATGGTAAAAAAAACTAGCACATGTTAATGAATATTTAAGAATGCCAGACCGAACATTTGAGATATATTGTACTCGTCAAAAGCATGCACCGCCCTATTTGAGGCAGCACGTACTTATGCCAAAAAACCAGCAATAAATGTAATGAAACGACAATTTCTGGGCGAGCCAGAAATTGTCGAGCATGTCTCCGAGACCTGTAGGCTGGAAAATAGCTATAGAACTCCCCAATCTATGTAAACAAATGATTTAAAAAGTTACAAAACTAGCACCTGTTTGTTTGCCCCACCCTACCCCTCATTTGTGGGGAGGGGAGCAAGCCATTGCTCACAGGCCGCTCCACTGTCAGTTCAACGAATAATGTAAGAACCTGAATTCCCGAGGAAGGAATGGTGTCAGGGAACCAAAAGGGATCACTCGGAAATTGGCATTTCATTACATTCAATGCTTGTTTTCTGGAAGGAGCCCCCTGTGGCTCCCTGAAACTAACTACCCACAAAGAAGGAAGAAATTGGCACTCACCAGGGAGAAGGGAGCACCACAGGTATCAAAGACGAGACCATTGGAGTAGAAAGCCAACCCAAGGCCACACAGGGGTGCCGAGGCATGAGAACATTGATTAAAACAGTTGAAAGAGTGGCTTACTTGTGGACATCATGGGCACAAGGGTAGACCACAGGTTGACTAGACTTAAGGATACTGCGAACAACCTGAGAAATATGAGCTTTGGAGACCAAGGAAACAGGATGAACCCACAAGGCATCCACCGATGCAGAAGAGGTGGCACAAAGTTATTGATGGAGAGCTACCACCAAACACAAAACATGAAGCACCCCAGCAGAACCACCCAAGAATCAACAATCAAAAGTCCCCTTCAGAAACCAAGCAACTCATTCTTCGTCAGAAAAAAATTAGTTGGCTGGAGACGAGCCCAGTATCCAGTCGACTCCTCCAGACCCTCAAACCAAAGGAACAAAAACCCCAGCATGAAGGAGAGTTTGAAGCTCACCAAGATGGAAACCAGAGACCAGGAAAAGCGCCTTAAGAAAGCAATCCCAGACCAAAGGGGGATACAGTAAACTGAGCCAAAGACAGAAAATAAAGCACCAAGTCTGGTAATGAAGCCAACTGCTGTAGCACATGAGCAGGCCAGAGGCCAGAGGAGAAACAATGCACAAGACAGCATGCGAAACTGAGAAAAGAAAGCATTGACCCCAAATGCAAGCTGCAGCAGCTCTGCCAGCACCAACAGCCTGGCTAAGAGGATTGTGAAAATCTACCTTGGTGTGCTGAAGTACAGCACATCTGTAACCCAGTGTATCCCACCAGCCAAGATGCTTGAACTGGGGAAAAGACAGATGCTCAAAACCTCAGACTTACACCAAGGTGAAGGCCACCACAAACAAGGTGGACCTCTAAAGGAGCGACCCCCAGCACACTCCAGGGAAGAAAACTCTGGCAGCACAATGGAAGCACTAGGGAGTGCCCAGGGAAGGAAACCCTGAATACGTGAAGCTCCAAGTGCACTAAACACCTGATCCACATGCACAAACGTGCAAGGAACAATCACAAAGGCAAAAGAAAACTCAAGAAAAACACTGGAGCAATAGCGACAGTGGCAGACTTGGCACACATCAGAGAAGAACTGATGGTGGAGCAACCTGTGAGCAGTGACTTGCCCCCATTCTTCCTCCAAAATCAAAGGGGAGGGTGGGGCAAATGAGCAGGTGCTAATATTGTAACATTTTCTATCATTTGTTTATAGTTTAGGGAGTTCTACGGCCATTTTCGAGTGCGGATCTTGAAGGTTCTCTGGTAGGTCCGAGAACCCTTTGATGATGGTACCTACATCAAAGATGGTAGCTTCAAGGAGCTACAAGAGAGTCCCCAAGAAAAGAGAATAACCTACAAACACAAAGAGATAGACAAAAATGATACGAGAGGTCAGAGGGGCCGATAGCTAAGTCAGATCATACATGCCAAGAACATTATAGCATAGCATTTAACTCTGCATTGAGAAAGGCAAGACACAACAACAACAACAACAACAACAAAGCTAGAACTAAGGTTTGATTCAGTAAAGCAGCCGTAAAAATTATTTTTGAAGACCAAGCTATAGAATGATTGGAGTCCCAAAAATGACAGAAAAGAGCACTGTTTATATTACAAGTGCAACACTTCTTGACTATAGCTAGTTTCACCAAAGTATTGGAGAACACAAGAAAAACAAGAAACTAAATAAATACCAGCAGCATTGGAAGCAGGAACAGTATAAGCCAGATTATTACGAAGTATGTTAGCTTGTCAAAAGGCAAGTTATATATCAAGGAGAAGGGAGGGGTATTAGTGAGATTTTTAAGTTCAGATATGAAGGGAAGATACAGCACTCCAAGTCTTGGTACTTTCCACTGCTTATCATTGTAAATCATAGGACTTCATCATAAATACAAGAAATAAGCATACTTGCCAAGGAATGCTATGTATAGTATTTTAATTGCAAAATAAAACAAATTTACTTTGCCCTATTTTTCACAACATGGAGCTGTTATTTTACATTTTTATAATAAAAAAATGATCTTTGCATATTTATCATTAATCATTAGGAACTCAGAATTCCTGGCAGATTTAGATTTACCATTGGTTTAAGGACTTTCCCTATTGCTACCAAATGGCTGGAGCTGCCAGGCCCAAACTTCAATTTGGAAGCCCAGATGTGTGTGGATGAACATTACAAAATGTTGAAAATATTTCTTTGATGCACTTGGTAAAACTCGCCTATCACACTGAATTACCTTTTCGTTAAGTAAGCATTATCATTTATTGCAGCAAAACAAAAAAATTGTTTTACAGAAGAAAAAAGACTTACCTAGCTTCTGGCATATTTTCCAGAGCAGTCAAGGTTGTCTGGTGACATACGAAGCCTGCAAGAGCTTGAATGAGAGAATCTTTGCTGTCGGCATACACTATTCGTGAATCACAGAAGTGCAATGCAAGGAATTCACCCACACTTGAAAGAAGACTCTGAGAGCCTACAGAAAAGAAACGGCCTATAAATCACAAAAAGTCATTCTCATTTTTGTTAATACTGTATAAAAAACATGGTCATGAGTTTCAAAAGAATAGCAATTTTTTACTATCAAAGTCAGAGAATATTCTTGATAGTTGAAATGTTACCTGATAACAGTATCAACATTATTTGAAATACAAAAACTCTGGAGCATCTTATATTTTTATGAAGCTAGCAGTGTTGTAAATTGCAAATAAATAGATTTTTCCCATTTGTTTCATTAAAAGTAACAAACTATGAATAAAACTTACTTAGTGCACTTTCTGGGGGAACAGTGAAATAGAGACGCAAAGCCGTACACATCTCAGTTAAGCTCTCTACATAGAAATCTGGCACAAAACCAAATAACTCCCCTTCACTTGAAGCAGCCTACAAAGATATGGAACAAAATTAGGTATCACTGTATGTGTACATACATATGTACATAGGTATGAGTGTAATTACTTTAGTGTAGTTACAGGATGAGAACCACGCTCGTGGTGTCCTATCTTCCCAGTACTCTGTCATATAATGCTTTGAAACTACTGAAGGTTTTGTCCTCCACCACCTTCTCACTTAACTTGTTCCAACCGTCTACCACTCTGTTTGCAAAAGAAAACTTTCTAATAATTTTTTGGCACCTTTGTTCTTGAAGTTGCCGATTTCAGGAATTCCTCTTTGTCAATTTGGTCAATTCCTGTTATTGTTTTTTAAGTAGTGATCATATCACTTCTTTTTCTTCTATCTTCTAGCTTTGGCATATTTAAAAGACTCTACTCTCTCTGCGTAATTATGCAGAATATGCCACCTACGAATTTTTTTCCCGTGATCAGGAAACACAAATAAACACTTTTATAAGATGAAAAAAATTTTGGATTTTTTTTTGTTGCGCCTGTGGGTGTTGAAGGCCAAAAGGACCTTAGCGGCTTAAGGGTTAAGGTTCTAAATATCAGCCTGATAATTCATACTGGCAGTGATGAAATTCCTTTTATGTTGCATGCTTTCAATCAATATAGGAAATAAATAATTTGTACATTTATTATTTATTTCCTATACCGATATATAAATTGAAGAGTCAGAGGAACCATAAATTGAGGAGTTGGAGCCGAAGGTTTTATGTACCATCTCCACAGTCCTGTTACTTAGCATCTTCAACTTTTCTGTTTACAATAGACTTATCATTGGGGGAACTTAACAACATAACTGTGTTTTGCACTTACTTTGAGTGATGAGAGAATGACCTGCATAAGAGATACTAAGTGGGAGTATTTCTCTGCAGAGTGTATGGCTGCTATTACCCATGCCTGCTGCCTGGCTTGCTCCTGGAGTTTATTCATAAACACCTCCCTTGATCCACTTAGTTCATTCAACTGACTTGTACTCGAACCCTGTGGCAAAAATATTTAAATACGTTGTAGAACTAGAGTTTGTAATAGGGCATATTTAGATACAAAGCTTATGATATTATAAACTTAAACACACACCACAAACTTCAAACATCTCTCCTTCTTCAAAGTTGATCTTACACATGCCAAGGAGAAGCAACTTCTCAAATACAGTCCTCACAAAATGAAACTACTTAAGAAATCCTCAAAATTTAAGATAAAGTCCATCACTTAAGAACTAGTAATAAACAAATAATGAGTCACAATAAGGTGGCTGAAGATGTAATGACCAAACCACACGTCAGAAAACGGAGAAACAATGTTGTTTCAGTCTGTCCAGGACTATTATCAAGTCGTGTGATTTTGAAGCAACATCATTTCTCCATTTTCCGATGTAAGGTTTGGCCATCATCTAGCAACAATTTTTAAACAATACACTAAACGTAGCTAAAACTTTCTTTACGAATGGGAACGTAAGTTTCAACATTTATTCATAACCAAAGAGGCCTCTAAAATGTAAATGGCAATCTACTGATAACTTAATAAATTACATTCTGAGGAATACAACAGGCTGCTTTATAAATCAAAATCCTTACAAATCCATTGGACCATGAACGTTCTGATCATGTTGACATGCGGTATTGATACAGTAGGCATCCATTCAAATGTGCATCATCTCATAATGGTAATAGGAGGGAACTGGAAAAATTGCAATTGAGCCCAGAATGACCATCCTAGGTATCACAAGTGACTCCCATGGAATGCTTTTACTAATTACCAATTAGCCAATGAGATAACCTCCCAAACAGCCACTAAGCAACAGCAACATATCCTCAGCAGGATTCCTTGATGGTAGCCTCACATGCTTCTTGACACAGTCCACACACATGTAAATTGCAGGCAAGGGAAGGAACAGGAGTACTGTACCGCCCAGAAAAAAAGAAGGAACAGAATGGAAAGACATGCTACCTAGTGCCCCACACAGTCAGCACAGAGGGTAAAAGAATGGGACATTAACCTGCCACCAAATAAGGTTAGACTTCCAGAAACCTCCAAGCCCTGAACAAGGAGCATGGTTTGGCCAAGAAGAAAGCTTGGATGTGACAACCTACATCGGATCATATGCTCTAGCAAATGCTTGTGGCTGATGTATACCCAAATGGTAAAGCAGCTGGGACACAAGTGCTTTAGTACAGGAGAACAGTCCTTTGAAGAAGTAACTTATTTTCAGCAACAAGATTACCAAACTCCAATGAGAATAAATCAGTAAGTTTAAAGCAACTTTATTTATATAATTACTAGATGTGTACCAATCCCAATTTGACCAATATGAATGCTGCCTTATTACTAGACAAGAATTTTTTGTTACCTTTTGTTAAGAATGTTACCTCCTCATGTCAGCAATATACTCCATACATTTGACCACCTCAAGTCAATAATACCATATACTAGCAAACAATTCATCTCTTCATGTCAGTAATATACATCCATAAATTTTAACCATATGTCAGTAGAGTAAAAGCCAGTAGTTCGAAGTTTCCTTTTTCACATCATTATCATCAACCTTTTCCTCCTTGCTAACCATTTACATCAGTCAATAAATTTATCCTGGTTTCTGATAAGCTATCAACCACATTCTAAATTATCACCCATATTTTATTCTCAACCTAATGTGTGCAACAAGTTAGCAGATCAAATCCCTATCAAAACAACAAATATGTTTTATAAAACAAGCTTATTACCTTTTCCTTGCAGTACTTCATCTTTTTGTCAATCTCTAACACATGAGTGATATTGTCGTTCATGGAATCCCTCTGTGCTGCTACCTTCCCAAGTTGCTTGTGTGCCCCAATGTGGTAGAGTAGTATAATCCCATCAAGCAGGTGAAGGAGGGAGTCGCGCCTCATCTTGGAACCTCCATTGTGATCAGGCTTGTCATCCATATCTCCCGGTGTGACATTTACAAGTTTCATGTCACTGTCTATAGCAGACTCTCCTGACACCAGTGCCTTACCCAGCACTGCACCTGCAAAAATGAGAAAAATTTAAACTTTTTCATATAATATGCTCACATGATAGTATGTGCAAGTCTCTGAAAGCAACTGCACAAGATTACAGACAGAAATCACAATAGCGTGATGCATCAAATGAACAAATCCACAAGGGTCGTGATGAGGGTTCGAACCTATGTCCGAGAGGATCCCAGACGCTGCCTTAATCGACTGAGCTACGACATGGTTAAAAAAATTGCAACCGGAAAATCATCCTGATTTACCAACGGGTCCTGCAGTCTCTCCAAGACACAAATCAGGGTTTTACGCAATTCCCCCATGCACTTGAGCTATGTCAATAGGCTGTTCTACCCCTTCGCCCTTACTTTATTACACACAGAAATGATAATAGCGTGATGCATCAAATGAACAAATCCCCAAGGGGCATGATGAGGTTCTGAACCCTACGTCCGAGATGATCATTGGTAAATCTGGATAATTTCCCGGTTACAATTCTTTTAACCATGTTGTAACTCAGTCGATTAAGGCAGCATCTGGGATCCTCTCGGACGTAGGTTCGAACCCTCATCACGGCCCTTGTGGATTTGTCCATTTAGCTCTCATCCTCTAACTATACTTAGGTAATTACATGAGGTTTTGTAATAAAATTTTGACAGCTCTACTATTGACAAGGCAATGCCCTTACAGCACAAGGTGAATGTGGTTGGTATGTCTTGTTAATACACACCTGATGTAGAGGGCTCATTGCTGTGCATAATGTTCATGTCTTCTGCGGAACTGACACCAGCTGTTGCATTATCTAATTCACTTATCACCTGCAAAAATCAAAATTCCTAAGACATTGTTTATATAACTTCTTAAAAACCAAAAAAGGAATGAAACATTATATGTCAAATCAGAAGAAAAAGATAAAAAAGGAAAACATATACAAGAAAAAACGGAGTTGAATGAAATGAAACGCCTCTTTCTGGCGAGTCCTCGGCGACTCCCTCTTGCAAACCGTCTAGATAGCTTCACCCAATTCAAATCACACCAAGATTCTACAAGTTTTTAAAAGCCCACTGGAGACCAGAGCCAAAACCTAGTCCTCTCTCAGAAGCACAGAGAGCAGAGGATTTATAATAACTAACTGAGGAAATAGCTACCAGAAAGGTAGGATGACACGAAACAGATGACAGCAAGGTAAATAAATCTAAACAACTCTGAAAGGTTGTCATGCGTGATTTATTATAGAACCGAATGGTGGGGGGCCTGGCTGACCCAGATTGGCTCCCTCCTCCCCCAAATGAGGGGAAAGGTGGCGCAAACTAGCAGAGAGCTATGTTCACAAGCTGTTGGTTTTCATTGTTGTGGAGTTCTTCTGGCAATGTTGAGGCTTCGGTCTCATTTTTAAATTGTGCAGTAGTTTGTTTTGATTTGCCTATCATTCTGGGTGCTTCCCTGGTGGTGGCAAAGATGTTAGACTTTAAATGAAGTGTTCATAGGCCATTGCTCCCTTCACCTCTCTAGAGGGGGTGAGGCTCGTGGTTCCCCCTAGGCCAACAGAACTCCGTGACTGATGGCTTCTAGTAGTATGGCACTAAATTAGTCTAATAGCTTAGGGAGCCTCTGGGGCTCACCCAGAAACTGGTGTTTCTTCACATTCAACACTGGTTTTAGGTCCAGATTTCTTTCTTCCTATCTTCTCACTGCCGTGTAGTTCTTTTTTGTTTCTTTGTATCGCTCTTATGTTTGAGGGTTTGGCCTCTTCCTACATCGATTCCATTTTTGTGTCTATTGGTATCTGGCCCTCTCACAATTTCTGTTGAACCAATCTTGTTTTCTATTTTTGCAACTCTATTTTGGTATAAATTTGTTAGTACCTTTATCATATACTGTAGTTCACAAAAACTGTTCTGTTGCTTCTTTGCATATTTGTGTTATGAGTTCCATCATCTTATTTGCTGACTTTTCTCCCAGTAAACTTCCTGCAGATACTCTCTAACCTCCCTGTAGGTATGTATAGATCTATTTCTGTCACTAATATGTGCACCACAATATAATTTTGGACAAATAAAACATACTGTTTTTGCTCTTACCGCACGCACTATTCATATGTTATATATAACTATATATATATATATTTATTTACCTGAATTTACCTAAGATGCCACTTCCTGTCCTCAATGAGAACAGAAAGCCAGCAGCTTGTTAAGTTTTTTTTTTTTTAACAAGCTTGATTTTTAAATTTCAAGGTTTTGCATTTACGGCTCTGGCGAGTAGGCAGTTCCACGGGTTTTTAACCCTGTGGGTGAAAAAGCATTTCCTGTTCTCAGCCCTACATTGTGGCTTGCTGAATTTGAAACCATTGCTCCTTATTTGTGTTACATCTGACCTTTTAAAAAAAATTTCGGGTCAACATCCTCCACATTAAACAATTTGGTACTTAACGCTCATCAACGTTACATATATTCTGTCAAATACTGTGAATACTTATGCATAACAAGTCATAGATTACCAATATAAATTTGCTTTTATGAACTCTTTCTACAAGGAACATCAAATGCTGTCTTTAAATGAAGACAAATTACAGTACTGCATAACAAATAAAAAGATTCTTTCCTGACCTTAGGCGTGTCCACACGAGTCACTGGGAGAGCTTTGTTCAATTCTTTTTTGAGGGTCTTCATTAGATGAGATTCAAGCCCACCTAGTCGATGTGTATCAAAGTAATTTACAGACCCATCATAGAAGAGTCGAGGTGGGATTATAATTTCAGTTCCCTGTGCTTCAATATTCCACAGCTCATGGAACATTGCCAAAAGGCGATGAAAGAGACAAAGAATAACTGGAAGTGGAGTGTATCCAACAACAGGCACCTTAAATGTAATAAAATAAAGTATTACTCAAGCATTCCTCAAGAAAGCATAAATACATAATATACTGTATACAACTCTGAAATTTCCTAAATTCAAAATACTCTATTGTACTTGTAAGTTTACAGTAAAATATAAAATAAGTAAACTTCATAATATGTTGTCCTCAATACAGGATTTTAACAAGTTTTCTTTTGGAAAACAGCAAATCAGAAAAAGGCAAATGTATTTTCAATATTCAAGAAACGGAACAGACATGAAGCACTAAACTATAGACCAGTGTCATTAACATACATTCCATGCTAGATAATATAAAAAGTCGTCAGAAAAAGAGACTGTAGAACATTTGGGGAAGAATAAATTTTATAACAGAGAAACAACACTGCTTCAAAAATGTAAAATCATGTTTAACTAACTGGATTGAATTCTATGATATGGGTCACCAAAATAAGAAGGAGAGATGAGGTAGACTGCATCATCCTAGACTTCCAGAAAGCATCTGAGAAAGTTTCTCACAAAAAACTAGGACACAAGATGGCGAGACAAGCGGGAATAACAGAAAAGGCACTGGACTGGGTACAGGCGTACTTGCCAGAAGGGAAACAAAGGGTCATAGTCAGAGAGGACATATCAGGCTGGAGAGGAGTGGAAAGTGGTGTTCCTCAGGGTTCTGTCCTAAGGCCATTGCTCTTTTTAATTTATGTAAATGTCCTTGTAGAGGGAGTGAGCTCTTACATGTTGATATTTGTAAATTATGTGAAGTTAATGAGAAAACTAAGAACTGAAGAGAATTGTAGGGTGTTGCAAGAAGATCTTGACAAACTTCAGAAATGGGCAGATAAATGGCAGCTGGAATTTAATCCAAAGTGTAAAATAATGAAAATGTGTAAGGGAGACAGAAGACCTGTATTCAACTACACCATATGGGGGGATAGCAATTATAAGAAACAATAAGAGGAAAAGGCCTGGGAGTAGACATAATTCCAACTTTAACTCCAAAAGCCAATGTGAACAGGATAACATCAGTAGCATATGGGAAGTTTGCAAACATGAGAACATCATTTAAGAATCTAAACAAGGAGGCTTTCAAAGTTCATACACACTGCCAGTGTGAGACTATTACTGGAGCACATCACGAGCACAGAACTCACATTTTGTGAAATTTGAGAAAAGTTCAGGTTTCCAACTATTTTAGTGCTAGAATTGACAGGCCTCACCTATGGGGGCAGGTTGAGAGAACTCGCCCTCACAACCTTAAAGAGAGAAGAGAAACTGAAGAGACATGACCACTACATACAAAATCTCAGCAAAATAGACAAAGTAGAAAAAGGAAACCTATTTAAATTACAGAGATAGGACAAGGAGCCATCAGTTGAAGCTGGACTCACAATTGAGTCGAAAAGATGCAAGGAATGTCTCGTTCCTTGTACGGGTGGTTGGCAAGTGGAATGCATTGAAAAGGTTGTTGAAGCCAATTCCAACAATGACTAAGAAAAAATATAATGAAAATTACACAAAGAAATCACAATAGCGTGATGCATCAAATGAACAAATGCCCAAGGGCCGTGATGAGGGTTCGAACCTACGTCCGAGAGGATCCCAGACATTACATTACCATCCAAAGACGAGGAAACTTACTTTACGGAGCAACCGAATGCAACACATAACAATGAATATGGTACAGGCAGATAAACAACCTAATTAAAAACTGCATACAGTATATGTTTCACAGATTTCTACAAGGTAATGATAGTAAAAAAAAAAAAAAAATATTTCTTCACATCTTCTTTTCTGCTCTATGATGCCTTACCCTGGACCCCGGTGCATGCTCCTTAAGGAAGGTGCGAAACTTGGCCAGAAATAATGCTCTGCTGGAATCCTGGTAATTAGCAGCATCGTCTACACTTAACAGGTTTCGCAGGATAGATAACTGGATCTCTTCAACCTCTAAAACAATACAAAACAAACAAAAATTAATTGCATAATTTTTTTTCATCCTACTAATCCACGATATCTCTATACAATATTGCAGTACAGTGGAACCTTGAAAAAATGGATTGCAAATGAATGGATCCCTCAATATTGAGCAGGAATAATTTGCTACTGAAGCAAACCCTCAATTATATGGACCAGGGTGTTCATATAGCCAAAGTTGCCTCAATTCATCGAATTAAGTTGGCTTAGTAATACTGTACTTAGTAATAATTTTTCGAGATCATTTTTATAGCTTATTTTATTTTGAAAATAAATTCTACTTACAAGAGATGCCAATAATGTTATTTAAAAAATGGACAATAGACCATATCTCCATAAATTTTAATTGAGCTCAGTTCCTGAGCTTACACAGTCATCATATATGGACTAAGAATGTCTGTGTAAGTACAGTAAGTAATCATCAATAGATGACAATAAGTTAGCATATAACATGATTAATGTGTGTCCTCATCCATATTAAAAGCAAAACTGATGAGTTCCAGTCACTAGTTGCTTACCTTGGACAGCAGTGTGGATTATGTTGCATGATTCATCATATTCTTGTTTGCAACCATTGATGACTGTCCCATCCTTTGAGCTCCACCAGACTGAGGGTACCACCTCAGTAAGGCCGTCTTCATCGATTGATTTTGTATTAAGAAAACTGGGAAACCTAGTTTGGAAGAGAAAAATTAAAAAGTACTATTACAAGGTTTGATTAATGTGAATTTATGTATTAAATTTTGGAGACTGAAGAGCTGCAATTTGTCATTTAATATATTAATTTAACTTATTCACTCCACCGACAGCTGAATGGACAGCGCTTCGGATTCGTAGTCCTGAGGTTCCGGGTTCGATCCCCGGTGGAGGCGGAGACAAATGGGCAAAATTTTTCTTTCACCCTGATGCCCCTGTTACCTAGCAGTAAGTAGGTACCTGAGAGTTAGACAGCTGCTATGGGCTGCTTCCTGGGGGTATGTAACAAAAAAGGAGGCCAGGTCGAGAACCGGGCTGTGGGGACTCTAAGCCCTGAAATCATCTCAAGATAACCTCAAGGAACCCATATTATTTTGTGGTTTCACTCCTGTTCCAGCACCCAGGTCTGAAACCAACCTTCCCTTGGAACACCATCAGTATGGAAAGCATGCAGCATTGTCTAGTATTTCCAATTCATAATATTTGTAAATTCATAATATTTTAAACATTAACCACTCTGCTGTGTAGCTATTACATATGACAAGCACCCAGTGCACAGAAAAAGATTTCAAATTTTTTTATTTTTATATTGTTAAAATAGAAACTTAAAAAAAATGCATGTGGTATACTTTGGCTGTGATGGGACAAGGAAGTCTAGCAATATTCTGATAAGAGTACACATTAGCGACAGTGTGTTTTAGCCAAGCAGTGTGGCAGGAGCTGCCACAAATACATTACACAATTATTTCAATGTCTTAGAATGGTTTTATATCTAGTTTCTTGCATTATTATTATTATTCAATCGTGTGTAATCTGAGGAATTTATATAGTAGTTAAATGGTGTTATATATATGTTTAGCATAACACCATATACACTGACTCTCTCTCTCTCTCTCTCTCTCTCTCTCTCTCTCTCTCTCTCTCTCTCTCTCTCTCTCTCTCTCTGTGTGTGTGTGTGTGTGTGTGTGTGTGTGTGTGTGTGTGTGTGTGTGTGTGTGTGTGTGTGTGTGTGTGTGTGTGTGTGTGTGTGTGTGTGTGTGTGTGTGTGTGTGTGTGTGTGTGTGTGTGTGTGTGTGTGTGTGTGTGTGTGTGTGTGTGTGTGTGTGTGTGTGTGTGTGTGTGTGTGTGTGTGTGTGTGTGTGTGTGTGTGTGTGTGTGTGTGTGTGTGTGTGTGTGTGTGTGTGTGTGTGTGTGTGTGTGTGTGTGTGTGTGTGTGTGTGTGTGTGTGTGTGTGTGTGTGTGTGTGTGTGTGTGTGTGTGTGTGTGTGTGTGTGTGTGTGTGTGTGTGTGTGTGTGTGTGTGTGTGTGTGTGTGTGTGTGTGTGTGTGTGTGTGTGTGTGTGTGTGTGTGTGTGTGTGTGTGTGTGTGTGTGTGTGTGTGTGTGTGTGTGTGTGTGTGTGTGTGTGTGTGTGTGTGTGTGTGTGTGTGTGTGTGTGTGTGTGTGTGTGTGTGTGTGTGTGTGTGTGTGTGTGTGTGTGTGTGTGTGTGTGTGTGTGTGTGTGTGTGTGTGTGTGTGTGTGTGTGTGTGTGTGTGTGTGTGTGTGTGTGTGTGTGTGTGTGTGTGTGTGTGTGTGTGTGTGTGTGTGTGTGTGTGTGTGTGTGTGTGTGTGTGTGTGTGTGTGTGTGTGTGTGTGTGTGTGTGTGTGTGTATATATATATATATATATATATATATATATATATATATATATATATATATATATACTGTATATGGTGTTATGCTAAAATATATGGTGCTCTTATCTAGTGACATTATATTATATTTTTACATCAATAAAATATTGTTTTTTGCTGTTACTGTATGGCACTACATAAATACATTACATACACCTATCTATATATTTATAAACAATAATGAACCACCAAGTAATTTTGGAGTGGGTGGTAATGAAATCTTAGCACAGTATAGAGCAACATGGTACGACTGGCTGAATCAAGCAAACGACTTCACCTGACTGAGCAAAATACTCAGACATATACTACGCACATTACTATTATAACTACGAACACTGCTATTTTTATCAGATTCCTGTCACTAAATCATGAGTATGACTAATTTTCCTAAAGATTATTTTCTAAAGGAACATCTAAACGAACAGGAAAGACGCAGATAATTTTTTTTTCAAGATGTCATCTGTCTACTGGAGTCCCGAGGAACAAGATGTGAGCCCCCGTGTACATGCGGGAGTTTTTTATTCTTCTGATACACTGTACTAACAAAAGTGATATGCTAGTGTATGCCCCCCCCTTTCCCCCATGATATCATGGTGTCCACAGTACTACAGTGCAGTGGTTAAGCAAACACAGACTTAGTAAATCAACATCGGTTACATTATTAAATTATGATATTATATCAAACTGTTAAGGAATTTTAATTTTAACCTGAAGAGCATTAATATAAAAACTTAATTATTGTATTTTGGAACAAAAAGCCTATACAGTACTTAAGTACAACAGTTTTAGCGTGAAGACCAAGTTAACGTCATTCACTTGAATTTTTTATGAAATTCTTTTTACAATTAATATGCAGTTGAATCCTTATAATTTATCCAAGACTGTTCATGAAATTTAACATATTTCACAGGTCACTAATTGGTTAGTAATGCTTCACAAAATGTCAATAATGAAATTGGATGTTTTCCACTAAAAATAAATGAATGAAAAGTTTGTACACAATTTCAGGTCATAATCTGGTTTACAATCAGGCACTCAAATAGGATGAGTACTGTTAGATTTTCTTATTAGAATCATCACTATAATTATCCTGGCTTTTCAATCATTCTAACTGTCCTTACCCATCATAGATTAGCTGACAGTAAACAAAAGGTGCTTGCTTACCTTACTTTATCAAAAAGTATGTGGCCAAGGCAATACTTCCTGAGGCTAGTGTGAGAAAGAAGAACATATAACAAACGTAGGTTGTATTTCTGGCCACAAAAATGAATATTTTCGGCTGCCTGCTTGTGGCCTGTTAGCAAACAGATGATCATATTCTCCAGGCACTTGAGAAGTTCATGACTCTAAAAAACAAACACAAAAAACAAAAAAGATAATTTTTACTGAATTAAAAACTAGGATTTATTTATCACTCATATTAAGCAGAACTTGAATTAATTATTTGTTAACAATTTAATCACTGTACAATCATTAGGGCAAGCCTACCTCCAGGGAGGCCATTAGAAAGTCAAAAAAGATGTGTGCTTTTGGCAAGTTCAGTCCAGACGTGCCCAGCCTGTGTGGGCCTGTGTGGGTCTCTGGTGTTACTTCTGCCACCTTTGCTAAAGCAGGAACAAGGCAAGCTTCTACAACATATGGTGTAGCCAATAATGGCCCCAAGTGTGCAGCAATATGCTGCACAACTATGAATATACAAGCTTTCTGACGTCCTCCATTCAAATGTTCCTGCGGCAAAAAGTCAAATTCAAAGCAGAGAGAAATTTGCTAATAAAAAATAACATTCAAATATACATGTTAAAATTCTTATTATAAATTAAATTATTTTTTATAAATTTCACATATACAACAGTAAAAATTACTTGAAAATACTATATATATACTGGCAAGAGTACCTGAGACAAGCTGCTTTGTAGGTTAACTAGGCTTATTAGCCATGACACGCAGCGATGAGCAGTTAGTAGATCGCTGGAGGGGGATTCTTCAAGAGGGGAGAATCCTTGCTGGTGGTAACGGAAAGGCGTTGCCCCAAAATTTACAATCAAGTTTTCTCCTAGTGCCAGTGAAACAGCTGGGAAATATGCCACTCCAGGACCAGTTTTGACATTGGAGAAAGCTGGCCCAAGAGATTTACCATTTCTGATGTGGAAAAATAAGGCTTTGAGAGGATTGAAATGCAAAGTATCTGAGCAGCCCCATCAGTTGCTTTCCGAGATAGGGCCAGGGCCACCCACGACACAACTTTTTTTGGGGGGGTGGGTGGGGGGGTGGGGGGCTTGCAGGGATATTTGATCGCAGACCCAAAGCCTCTGGCTGGCCCACTGACACCCGGACACTGATTACAAGAAAGGTTCTAATCTATTATCCTGTTTGTAACTTTTCAAATAGTCTTGCTACATTGTAGAGAATCTCGAGCCATCTCGTGAGAGAAACCATTCATCGACATCAAAGAGCAAACTGTTCAACATCTTCAAGAAATAATTGAAAAACAAGAAAAAGAGCTAGTTTCTACTCAACTTCCTGAATGGAGAGACAAAAGAAATAAGAAAAACAGAAAAGGCAGCAGCTTACTATAGTATAAAATTGAAGCTAAACAGGGACAGGGCCACTGAAAGGTCAGCCCTCCCAGAAGCCCAATGAAAGCATCCTACAAACCAAGGCCCCTAGTGAGGCGTTTCTTAGTCACTTTCTCTTATCTGGCAGAGAAAGTGAAGTATTCTAATGAAACATTAGGACACAGAACTACAGGTTGAAGAATTTCCTAAGTGGTTCTTTCATGTGATGGATTGAGATTCTCTCAAATTGCATGCAATACCATTTAAAAAGTGCTTTTGTCATGGTAGAGTAAAAGTAAACTTAGTGCCCTTTAAGCAGTTTCTGGGTAAATCCTGGCCCTGGTTCTAGAAACAACCAAGGAAAAAACCTTGCTCGGAAAAAAAAAGAGCTACATGAATATTTTGACAAGCTCTCATTGAATTGTGTCTTTTACTTTCTCTGCCAATGATTTACATGTAGCTCATTGTAATTCATGTTTATATATCTTTAAACAGTTTAACATAAAATTTATTTCTCTGCCCAAGAAAAACTGAGGAACAGGTTAAATGTCAGATTTTCCCCAAAAGAATAATGACAAACTAAATGTTTAAAAACACTGCAATATGCACCGAGCATTTACACAAATGATAAATGAAAAATATTATGGATAAAACAAAAAATAAGGCTTAAAGTTACATTAATATTAAAAGCTCCTTTAAAAGTTGCATCATTCAGCTGCTCCCTCAAGCAAGATCCCATTGTTCTTGGACATAAATTATGCAGACAGGCAGGGCAACACAGAACTGCACAGAAATTTCAAAAGCATTTTTACACGATTACGAGAAAGCCACTAGAGATATTTAATTTAAGATGTAGAGTAGTTCTTGTTCCCTGTACGGGTGGTTGGCAAGCGAAATGTAGTTGAAGATGTTGCTGAAACCAATTTCATCCACAACGTTTAAGAAAAAATATGATGAAATGTTAATGTTAGAGAGGTAATTAGCATGTCGGGTATAAATGGCTTGGAGGCAAGGTAGAGTATAAGGAACTAGATCTCACATCCTGTAGTCACTGACAGGTTCGCACCAGAGACCAGTACCAGAATCTGCTCCACTCAATAGATGAAAGGAGAGTCTTGGTAACCACAACAGTAACCAAGAGAGAGAGTACCAAGAAGGTTCAAAGAAAAACCAGATGGGTTCCTCAACTATTGCCTCCAGAAGGGTTTTATTCCTTGGTCAAAAAAATGTCCACGTCCAACCTCCACAGGAAAGCTTAATTAAGCTAGCTTTTGTTTAAAAGCTAGCTTAATAATTCCCCTTTCCCAAGGAATAAAGCTGAAACAGCACCTTCAACCTCCCTCCCCACACACTAAAGCGTGGCTGCAAGGTATACTCGTGGACCTAAAATACAAAAACATAAAGGACCACCATCTGAGCCAAAGTGAAACCCAGTGATGAACAGAACATTCTGCACTTACTCCATGCATGTAAAGGAACAGTCAAACAAATACCTACATTCAAGAGCAAAGCAATGAAGCAAAAATAATCCCATAAATTGCCATGTCTAAATCATTACCGACATCAAAGAACTTGTATGGGAAGGCTTGAATTGTCATGCAGATTTAGCATGCATCAGGCAGAGAAATGTAGCAAAACACATTGATATCAATGTGTTTTAGAATCGGCATGTTCCATATAGCAATAAATGAATTAACCTCTACCAGAGTTAGCTAAAGCCTGATATCCAACAGATAACTGATCAGCCATGGAATCCATTCAATGCAGAACTGTGCAGTATGCCTTCCCTTGAGTAAATAAAAAAATAAACCCAGATTGGATAAATTATTATTACAATATCTTTGCAGTTTATGAGCCAGACACCAGAGCATAATATCTGCTGTCTGTGCCTTTTCTGGTTCTTAATTAGTTAAAATCTTCTTGGCAAGTGATTTTTGTGATTAATATTGTATAAGTTAAGATTAAGACCTTATGCTAGATACTAGAACTGGTTAGGTTATTCAGCACCAAGTGATAAGGAATGCAATCTTTTCAATATGATATCCAATAACAAACACACATACAATTATAGTTCGGTAAGTGGCTGGGCAAGCAATATAAAGAGCAAAGTGTGCAGTTATTTGCATTGATCAGAAAGCTTCAATAATTTATCTACTGTATATAACAGCAGCATATCCATATATGTGACTTTTTTTTTTTACTACGGTATCTGAACTTCTCCAGGTCACGTTTATCAGATAAAAGGAATTTTGTCTGTAGGTGTAAATGAATCTAATAGGAACAGGAAATCATTGATGTAACTATCAGATAAGTAAAAGTAATGATTAGAAAATTTAATACAGAGCTGCAGAGCAGATTAGGGATTTGTACCTAATGGCAAATACTGGCAAATCTAAATAATTTTCTTTTAATTAGAAATACAGTACAGTTCAAATTAAATTTCTGATTTGACACACGTTTATACCTATAGAACTTCACAACTCCTTCTTCCAAGTCCAGGGTACAAGAGATAATATCTCCACACTGCCACATCGCTCCATACTTGTAAGTAGCCACATTCCACTTGCGCTGCCTGTTTCCGTCATAGGCATAAGAATCAGGAGTGTCGCCTGAGGACAAAAATAATTGATAATGTAGTCATACACGTCACTTTGTAGTAATTACCTAAGTGTAGTTATAAGATGAGAGCTATGCACATGGTATCCTGCCTTCCCTGTACTCTGTCATATGACACTTTGAAAGTACTAAATGGTTCATCACTTTCATCACTTAACATCCACTCCCTTCTCACTTAAAAAATTATTCCAACCGTTTACCACTCTGTTTGCAGAAAAGAACATTCTAGTACTTTTTGGGCACCTTTGTTTCCTGAGCTTGAATCAATGACCTATTGTTCCTGAATTGCAGGTTTCAAGAATTCCTTGGTCTCTTGTAGAATCAGCAACCTGGATATGTGGAAGCAACCTGGATATATAAACTAGGTCACTGGTTTAAATCCCCACACTATGCCAAATGATTTTCTTATTGAAATATCACTGTAGTGTAATTTCCTTGTGTATTTGAAGAAAGCTTATAGTGAAGAACTCCAATACCCATACCTTAGTGTAAGCGGGTAATTTGCAAAAACTTTACTTCGTATCAGCTCAGTGCCTCAAGACCCATATTGAATTCAGTAGGATCCCAGGTTAAATTACTTAAAGCATATCATGATCCAGTGGGTTAAGGTAAGCAGTTGGTAAGCAGTAGACCATCCCTGATTCATTGGAGTTCTATAGGCCTACTAGGTACTAGCACCAGAACCCGACTCACATAAAGAGGAGTAGGAAGCCGTAACATTTATGTTTGCCACCTCACTGGGAAAAGCAACCACAGTCACAGTCAAAACAGACCACTATCGACTTCAAAAAGAGACCGAGTCTCGAAACCAGCCTAATTAACCCCACCAACTATGTAAACAAACGATTGACTTTTCTCAGAACCAGCACGAGCTCATTCGCCCCATTCGGGATAATTTCACCGAGCAAAATTTGAATTTTAACCTATTATTTGAAGGACAACTAGCACGAAAACCTATCTGTATAGAGATTTCATCACATTTAGCACTTCTCCCATGCTCCGGCCTCAAAACCTCATTTTCGAAGGAAGAACATCTATATTTAACTGAACAAAATCTGCTGCAACTGGAAATGAAAACTAAACAATAGAATTTGGTTTTAAATATCCTCAATAGCTTTCTGAAGGTTTACAACCATTTCCTTGTACTGTACAGGGTAATGTAGCGTCCATCTATGAAATTTATTAAAAACGTGATTGAAGCCAAATTAAGAAAGTTATCATTCAAGCCCCCCCCCTAACATTTCCCATGCTCTACAGCTAATTTTACTTAGAGGAATTTAAATTTCAACCTATCATACGATGGACAACTTTTCCACCAATCTCTGAACTGGCCTAACATCCTAAGTAAACCCGCATCTTCCTTATTTCACCAAATTCTTATTTACTGAATCATATACAAGTAAATCTGGCCTGGAAAATGTGTGTTGCAACAGAGATTCACTGAAACAAGGTTTATCGAGTCAAGGTTTCACAATAATAATAATAATAATAAATAATAATTTTTACTTAAAAAATATACAAAAACACAGTACTGGAGTTGAATAGTCATTACATAAAATGCACATTTAATAAAACCACTAGTTTGGCAAAGCATTTTGGGCATGTTAGTCACTAATGTATGTTAAAGATTTATCAGCACAGGAATGATGTCGTGATCTAATTGTGAATTAATGTTAGAAAAGATAACCACAATCATTTCAAAATGGTAAATATCCTCAATATAAATTACTTACAACTTAATTCATCAACAACCTGCCAAGTTACAACTGGCCAGAAGCATATACAGTGCAATAAATTATTCCGAATTAATTATTTTCACAAAACCACTAGAAAATATTAAAAATATCAATACAACATCCAATTTAGCAACAGCCTATTTCTTTGGAGACATAACTCACCTACACCTTTTTCTTGAGAGAACTGGCAGCCCATTGTCGCCCATCCCACCTGCATGACACCTTTCGTCCCCAGCATCAACTCGTACTGCCACTTGCCTGCCAACACAATCAACATTATAACCCCCCTCTTAAAGAATGCCATTTCTAAATTATGGATCTCCACTGACTGGAATTATTTGATTGTATGAAAAAAATATATATATACGAGTAATAAAACTTAAAACCATACTGAACACACAAATGTATTTTCCAATTCATTATATACTACATAGAAATATTTTATGATGTAAGTAAATGCAATGATTAATGACATTTAACATTTATAATTTTCATTATAAACATGCTTTGATCATATCATAGCTGATCACGATGCATAATGCAAAGTACTGCAGAGGTCATCACCACACGCAATAATCTCAAGAACAGTAGCAACTTATGGTGTCCAACACCGTCTAATTAATAATTAACTGAAAATTTTGTGAATTTCAATAGTCTTGGAAGATGCATTAAGCTAGTGTAACTCTACTGTACATATAATCTATTGACCTGAAGTCATATACACACAACAAGACTGCATAAGCACTGGCTCTTCCAAACAGGCTGTTATGGTACAGTATCTCCACATCTTTTAAAGCATATACCCTTATTTTATTTTGCAAATTCTCTGAGGTTATCTCTCAGCAGAACCCTGAACTTCAGAAGGCAAGGAGAGGCTAGATTAAACAACATGTGTGAGCTTTCTATGTAAAATGTAATTTTACTTGCATGACAAAAATAAAGAGAAAACAATAACTTAACAACCACAAATAAAAAAAATCCCTTCAACAGAAAGGAATTTCCATCCATTGATAACTATCACTAAGTAACTTCTTAGTCCTTTTACTAGGCTACTGAATAAATACTATTAATCAAACACTGAGTATCTTACTAATAAGAATAATTAATCAGCTTGACCTTTGGACAGCGGCTATGGAGAAATGGTCATACCTGCCTATGCACAAAAAGTAAAAAAAATATAAAAAAATTTATTATAGAATTATTCATTTGTATGCAAATTTGTATTATTGTTACACTGGGTGGATTCATTCTGCGAGGCTGTGTCTGGCACTTGGTGCTCGACTATGTTGACGCTTCATGTTTTATCCTCGGATGTTTCACCAATTGTTTTATCATTTGTTTTTCTTTATTTACATCCATAAAGAGCTATTATATCCATATTTGACTCATACATGTAAAACCCAGACAATAATTGTTTAAATCGTCACATGACGATATCCACAATACCCTGTGAATCAACAATTGACAATGATCACTGCCTAAAGTTTAACAATGGAAAACAGATAAATATTTCCTTGTAATTGTCATCAGAATAATGTTAACCTAGCCTTAGGAACAAATTCTCTATCACTTACCTTAAGCGAGACAGTTATTACATTACTGAAACCAAGGACTGTGTCAACAAAATCAGCAGATACTAAGAAATGAAAGCACTAGCCATTTCCATCGTTAGTTGCAGAGGACAAAAAACTAACGTTGAATGTAATGAAATGCCACTTTCTGGAATGAGCCCTGGTGGTTCCTTCAAGCTATTTCGCCGAGGTTGCTCCTATCTACAAAGTCACATCAGTCGCGAGAGTTCTATTTGGCCAACCGGGTACCAAATCCAGAACCTGGTCCCCCTCACAGAGACAGAGATGACACTTAGCCACCCCAACAGGCCAGTTTCCAGAAAGCCAGCAAAACTTTACAGACAACTGCAAAGTTCACAGGACCTAAAATTTTGAAAACTGACAAACAACTCCCCAAACAAGTCAAAGAAATTGATTGAATTATTCAAAACAAGCTCAAACCTTTAGTACTGTACTGTACTAAGAAACATGTACCAGGTGTTAACACCCTGGAGACCTGTCCCTCTCATCTATCCCAAGTCAGATCTGGAGCAGATTAACCCCACAACCAACAACTAATGACCTGGAAGACGGGGATGGAGGGTGTCAGGGAGCCACCAGGGCTCAATCCAGAAATTTGCATTTCATTCTAATCAAAATGTATTATTCAATATTGCCCAACCACTTGGACTGGACTGTAGAGTGACTGTCTCGTTTCATTCAGGTTGGAGTTTAATACTTGACTATCCATGTGGTTGGGCACCATTCCTTCCTTCCTTCCCCTGTCCCATCCCAAATCCTTATCCTGATCCCTTCCAAGTGAAATATAGTCGTAATAGATTGGCACTTCCTCCTGATAGTTCTCTTTCCTTTATATTCAATACTGGTTTATAGTGACTGGAGAGTCCATGGTGGCTCTCTGAAGGTAATTAAAGAGAGAAGAAAAACAAAGGACTTACAGTACCAGGGAGGAGGAAAGACGGCAGATATTAAGGCCAAGAAACATGGCAAAAGCAGTACAGGAATGTGTGGGCCCAGCAACATGGACTCAATGCCAGGCTGCCAAGACCCTATTAGACCACCAAAACTCACGCACCCAAATATCAACCCAGAACACGTTAAAAAACACTGCCGACAGTGCAGCGTACTTGCGAACATCACGGTTTGAGGGTGGAGTCACAAGCTGGCTTGACTTAATAACACTGCAGACAACCTGAGCAATAGGGAGTCTCCAAAGAAGTCCTTCCAGAAAGACAAAATATAACGATAATAAAAAGAGAGCACATAAACTGGAGTGCTGTACAGGAGTATATGTAGACACCTATCGCACCGTGCCTGGCACTCCAGCCTCCGAGCAACTGAATTTGACAACATCAAAAGTTCTTCGGCTCACTACTGTTAAACTATCATGAGTAGAATTTTGTAAGCATTTTTCCTGTAATCAGTGTATGCAATGTTTTACAATATAGAAATACAACATTCTTTGGACTTGGGATTTTTTATTATGAGCATCAGAATATCTACCTTATTTTAAGTGCACAATTAGGGGGGGGGGGTTTAAGGAAAGAGCTGACAAAAAGACGTTAAACAAAATAAATACACACACACACACATACACAGATAAGAGAAGTGCTAACCTTTATATACACAGGTGTTGGCACGTATGGTTGAAAAATTATCCTGAGAATTGAGCCCTAATCTGTCATGATTGTATGAAAAACTTCCAACACAGCTCTTTGAGTCAAACTGTACTCTTGAGGGTCCTAGTCTGCCTGCAGTTGACCAACGTGGGACAGGCTGTAAGCAAGATAACAGTTAAAAATACATATATGTAGTCTGTAATACAGTACAGGTAACTGGAAAAGTACAATACACTTCACATCATAATAAGGATATTTAAAACTTTACACTTTTACATTCAGCATATACAGTATATGAATAAGTTGAATTACGAGTGTCGTTTTTAGTGTTAACTCACATAAGTTTGCTGCTGATGGCGAAGTTGGTTATCTAAGATTAAACGCAGGAGGCACTGTATACTCCCATACTCTGGTAACTCACTGCATATACCACTGTAAAAATACATCAAACAATATTTAATTATGTTTCATGCACACCAGTAAGAGGACACACTGTAGTGACTGTGCACTTGGTCCATAATATGTCTTCAAATCCAATACAAAAAACACTCTTGACTAAGTTATACTATTGAACACTTTTTTGCTAATATATCAAAGATTCTCAAATATATAAACAATAAAAATATTATTAAGGGTTGCACATATAAGAAGACAATTTGATTACATATTTGATCTGTATTGTATCAACAATAATACACTGTCAGGTGGTTGCTTAGCCCACAATGGCCAATCAGGGACTTGGGTGATTACCCTGTGGGATGCCACTATTAACATTTATCCAGCCCGATAAATGATCTCCGATTACTGCCCTCATTTTTCTGTCAGTAAAATTTTCCTCCACGTCAGAAATCTTCTCATCTCTCCATCATGCTCCAACTTTCAGAACAACCTGTTGTGTGGAACTCTGTCAAAAGTCAGTTTTAGGTCCATATAAATGCTGTCAACCCAGCCATCTCCTTTTTGTAAAATCTTTGTAGCTCTACCATAAAAATTAAGTAGATTTGTTACATAGGATTTTCCTGTTCGAAACCCATACTATCAGTCTGTTATTATGTCAATTCTTTAATTCTTTCCAGTACTGTAATTCTATCAATTTCATTTTAATTATTTTTTCTATTGGTTTGACTACCACACATTAACAATACAGATCTATAATTTAAAGGGCCCTCTCTGCTACCGATGCCTGAAAAAATCAGTTGATGTGGAATGCTCAGCTTGGGTGCACAGTCTTTCTGAACACAAAGGGAAACTCCATTTGGACCACCTTCTTTGTTTCTACTTAGCTCCTTGAACATTATTTCTATTTCATCTCCAGACTCTTCTATGTACAGTAATGTTGTTCTGTGAAATCTGTATTGTGTCTGATTCTTTGAAAACCTCATTTTGCACAAACTTCAGAACTGTTCAGTTAAGTATTTCTCACATCTCTATTTCATTATCTGTAAATTTGTTCCCCCATTATCAAACTCTGGATTTTATCCTTTACAGGAAACTTTTAATATTTTTTATAGAATAGGCCTGGTTCTGTTTTACATTTGTCCACTATCCATTTTGGAAAGTTTTCTGGAGGAGCCTCCTGGTGTCTCCCTGTAGCTATAGTAGCCTCCCTGTAATCGAGATTGCTCCAATCTACCAGTCACATCAGTTGCACGAGTTCATTTGGCCCAACAGGGACCAGAGCCAAAACCTAGCCTATTCATATGAGGCCACCTTTATCATTATATATGAAATTCTCCAGGATGAGGTTTATGAATCGGCCAGTCCAACTGTCCTCTGTTCTTGCTTTGTAGGCTTTCCAGTCTGTTGATTTCAAATTGATGTCACCAAGTACTAACAACTATCTGGACCTGGAATGTACCTGGATGGGGTTCTGGGAGTTCTTCTGTTCCCCAAGCCTGGCCCAGGGCTAGGCTTGACTTATGAAAGCTTGGTCGAACAGGTTGTTGCTTGGAGTGGCCCACAGGCCCACGTATCCACTACAGCCCAGCTGGTCTGGCACTTCTTTAAGAAAACTATCCAGTTTTCTCTTGAAGATGCCCATTTTTGTTACAGCAATTTTTCTTATACAGTATTCACCGGGTGGATATTGAACAACCGTGGACCTCTGATGTTTATACAGTGTTCTCTGACTGTGCCTATGGCACCTCTGTTCTTCACTGGCACTCTTCCACATTTCCTTTCATACACACTGTTCTCTAGTATATTGTTATTTTACTATGTAAATTGGGGACTTGGTCGTCCAGAAATTTCCACATAGGAGATGAGAGAGGTATTTGTAGGAGAGAGAGGCTCTTCTACATTTCCCCCGTTTTCTCCTTTCTAGAAAATACATTGAGAGAGCATTTGAGACAATCCAAATAGTTTAAATGCTTTATCGTGTTTGTGAGTGCTGTATGTTCTCTGTATTCCTACCATTTTAGCAATCTCTCCTGCTCTGAAGGGGAAAGCGAGTATCTAGTAGTACTCAAGATGGAACACCACAAGTAATTTAAATACAGTAACAGTAATTTAAATACATCAAGGTCAGTAATAAATTCTGACCTTGATGTTATTTCCTATGCAATCAAAAATTACTAGGGACTTCCTGCTATGAACCATTTTTTGTACCAGTTTTGAGTTTGCTGCCAGTTCCTTTCCAACCTCCAGTCTGATGTCTCCACTTTTCTGATTACTGCAGTTTCTGGCTTCCTTAACCACTTCCGATAATATTTCTTTCTCTCTTGCCACTTGTACTTAAGTTTGTTGCATATTCTTCACATATTTTTCTATACCCTGTGTAACCTCCTCAATCTTTATTGACAAAAAAAATTTTCCCGTGTTGAATATCCTTGTCTAGCTTTTCATATGCCTTAGCCTCTAGATTTTATTTAACTTCTTCCAAAGTTTTTAATACTTTGTTTTCCTCCTCCAGGTCTTTCTTTTTAGATTTCCAGAACTCCTTTTCCTTCCATAATTCCTTTATTTCCTCCATGTTTAGCTAACTTATTGTTAAGACTGATCCCGGCGGTTAGCAGCATAGAACCGATGAGAAAACCCTTCCAGAAAACAACATGTTTTAGTGGGATACAGAACCAAGCGTAGGACTTGACACATTCTTAGACATTAAGTCTGGAGACTACTCTTGAACATAGAACTTATACAAATTTACCTTGAGAAAGAGAGAGAATGCTTCCTAAGATTTAAGTGAAGTGTGGGTTATGAACAAATAAGATAAACAATCCAAAATACTCACTCAAAATATTGGCCATCGGGGTGAGATCCTCGGTACTGTTTCAAGTCGTCTTCAAAAATGTGCCGCACAATAGCATCTAAGAGTCTATCTGTTATGCAAATTTCAAGAAAAATGGTATTACTAAACACTTATGAGTTTTTAGTTGTTGCACACTTTTAAACACACAACTTCCATTTTTTAAAACTTCAATTTTTTAATTTCAAAATGCTAAAAAACTCTTAAAATAAAGTAAAAATTAAGTGCCAAGACAAATGTTGATTCTAGAACTTGTGAAATTATACAGAAGCCTTGAACATAAAAGTAGATGAATATTAGTTATGGCACTGAATCAGTGATAATAGCATCAGGAAACCTCTAGGGGGGGTGAGGTCCCCCAAGTAAAGCTCTGCAAAATCAAACCACCTTTTCAGACTTTACAGAGGATGCCGTCTGTCACAGTAGGAGACAATCCAATACTTAATGACGAGCATGATGGCCAACCTCGCCCTTCCCCATGACACTTCCTATACAATCACAAACCACCATAAAAAGTTGCGAGAGCCAAACTGCAAGCCTCTGGCCTCCAACCTTGGACATACAAACATCCATTTTTATAGATATATAATATGTTGGTAGAAATTAAAGATTTTGGATAACAATCCCATGAAGGTGTATTTTTCAGTGTCACACACTGATGTCAGAAGCAGATAATACAACCATTAAATTGTCATGAGCAGAATACTTAATTTTTTTCACTTACTTCAAGTTTCTGCAAGAGCCAACTCATCAATGATAAGCAACAATTACGTATGATCTGTATAATTATTTACTATATGTATATATATATTTTTATTATATGCAAAACAAATCTAGAAATAAAAAACACTCACGATAATATCAAGCCGAGGGCAAAACATACAGGAAAAATTTATTTTCAGAAATTGACAAGGATACAAACTATAGTACTGTATTGTCTTTTACAGATGACACTAAAATTTTCACGAGATTAGACCACATAGAGGAGACAGCAAACCTCCAATCTGATATTAATCAAGTCTTTCAATGGGCAACAGAAAATAACACTAGTTTAATGAAGACAAGTTCCAATTACTGCACTGTCCTATGGAAAAAATTAACACTAGAATGAAAAAGTACAGTAATGTAAAAGATTTTGGAGCAATCATGCCAGAAGACCTTACATTTAAAGAATATAACAGTTGCTATCACAGTTGCAAGAAAAATGACAGGTTGGACTTGATATTTGCCTCGGTACTCGAGTTTTTGATACACGTATGGGCCGACCGAGCATGTGGTGCGCTTTAGTTTACCAGTGTCTCCCGCCTAGTAATGACCGCGCTTGAATTCTTTGTAAAGATTTTCAATGTTTATGTGCTTTTTTGGTTTTTGAACATTAAAGTTCTTATTATGCAGTATGTCACACCACGGGTTCCAAGAAAGCCAGTGGTAAAGTTCAACCTAAGAAAATAGTTGCAAAGATGACAGAGGAAAAACAAGATATCATTCATAATGAGAATGTGATGTTTCACTACAGACAAGTGTTAAAACTTAGGGAAAAACCAAGTGTCTATAGACAGATTCTTAGTAAGACAAGCAAGCAGTGAGCCACAACCAGGTCCTAGTGGTATGCCTCCAAAACGTAAGAGAGAGAGAGAGTACCCCAGAGATGTCATCACTGCTATCATAACGGAAGGGTACTCCTCTTCCAAACACTAACATCTATCCTCCTCCCCCCCTTTCTTCAACGTCTTCCATACGCCAACAAGAGTCCTCAATAAAGGTAAGAAATACCTGTATATACTGTAGTACAAAATATGAGTACAGTATGTATAAATGTATTTTAAGTTAATATTTATGGAGGTGTGGAACGGATTAATTCAATTTACATTACAGTATTTCTTATGGGAAAATTCGTTATGGTTTTTGAACCATCTCTGGGATTTGATTAAATTAGAAAACAGAGGTACCACTGTATAATTGTAGGGTTAGGAAGCCAATTTATTTTCATATAACCTAAAAATCTCAGTTATATCACTATCAATAACATACTAACCTGTTTCTTTTAAGTAATGCATTGACGGCACAGCTACAGGAAAATCTTGCCGATTGTCACGGGGTATTTGAGAGCCACCTCCCCCATGATACCCAACTCCACTGTTACCCATCAGGTTGGACATTTTCTTCTGAGGCTTATGTAATGCTCACCAAAGTCCAGTATCTGAAAATACACCACTGTGAATATACATATGGAAGAGTGGAGAGGTTACCCCAGTTGTTAAAGTGTACACACCTCAGTCATCTCAACGACTATTCACAATGTGCATGTCTTGATTGAAGGGCCATAACATAGAAGTGAGCAAGAGGAATTTGAGGAAGATTGAATCACATGACTGAGGCAGTGAGAAAATCGGAATTGAATGTAATAAAACATCAATTTCTTGGTGAGCCCTGGTGGTTCTCCCTGAAGCTACTCTTTTTGATATAGATGCTATCTACTAACCATCTACTAGATGCCATTAGTCGCCGAGTTCTCTGGCCTACCAAGCAATGGACCCAGAATCTGGTCCCCTGACAGAGGCATAGGGAGCCATGATATTTATACTGTATATTAACTTGTTCATTTGTGCCACCACCGAGCAAGGCGCCCAGAATGTCGGATTCAAAACAAACCACAGCTGGCTGCCTCCAAGACCTGCAGATTCGAAAACAGTCATAGAACACCACAAACTATGTAAACATGTAAATAAAAGATTGAAAATTTTATAACACTAGCACTCGCTCGTTTGCCCCACTGTCCTCCTCCCTCATTTGGAGGAAGAACAGTGGGAAGGAAGGGGATAGGGGAAGGGGGGAGCCAATGGATCGCTTGTGACTCCACCGTCAGTTTGACGAATGATGCAAGAACCCAACCCTCTGAGAGAGGAAGGGTGTCAGGGGGCCATTGGGGCTCACCCAGAAATTGGCATTCCATTACGTTCAAAGTTGGTTTTCTGGGGGAAAGCCCCTTGTGGCTCCCTGAAGTTAATTACCCACGGAGAAGGAATAAGTGGGCACTTACCAGGGAGGAGGGAGCACCATAGGCATCAGATCAAAAGAGACAGCAGCTGAGAAAGCCATTCCAAGGCAACACCAGGCCTGGGAACATTAACCAGAAACCGAGCCACCAGAATTCAATTTGATGTCCAGAACCCATGTGCCCTAAATACCAGTCCCAGACATATTTGCAAAAAACAGTCGAAAGAGAGGCAAATTTCCAGACATCATGGGCACGAGGGTAGACTACAGGCTGGCTAGACTATGAAAGTCTAGCCAACTTGAGTTTCAACCTCAGAAAGACGAGCCAAGGAACAGGGGACCAAGGAAAGAGGATCAACCCACACGGTATCCACCAAAGCTAAATCGAAGGCATAGAGGTAGCGACAAAGAGCTGCCACCGGACATAAAACATGATGCACCCAGGACCGAATCAACCAAGCATCAAGAACCAACATACCCATCCAAAAGCCAACTGACTCATTCTTTGCCCGAAAAGAAGAAGTCAGCTGGAGATGAATAAACCAACTTCCAGGACCAAGGAAGTCCTGGGAGAAAATATAAGGAGTCCAGATCTTATCCCAAATCGAGCCTGGCCTCAGGCCAGGCTCAGGAAGTAAAAGAACTCCCAGAACCCTCTCCGGGTAAGGGAACAAAATGCCTCGCACCAAAGGAGAGCATGAAGCTCACTAAAAAAATGTTTTGAAAGTCCCCAATGTTAATTTTAAGGGGGGGTAACCAGATGCTTTCCAGAGGTGATAGTAAACAGCCACCATCTTGACAAAAATATTAATCTTACTGTGAAAGAAAATATTTTTGTGTACATAATTAAGACATGCATATTTATGTACAATATGTATTGATTTCATGCGTTTTATTATAATAGAACACCAAGTAACAATACTGTATATTGAAGTGAAAAAATGTGATGAAATACAGTATATTACAGTACAGTAATTATAAATAATGTAAAAAGAATAAATTTGTGGCAACTCCTGTTGGTTAAATGATGTGTGCAACAAATGAGGATGCACATTGCATGAATAAGCACTTTTTCATTTTTCCCGTGACCGGGGGAACACATTTTAACAATCTTAGAAGTAAAACAAATTTTAAAAAAAATTTTCTTGCGCAGTCGGCTATTAAGGTGTGCACCCAGTGTGTTAACATTCTGACCCTTCACCACACTCCCAATCGTAAATGCTCCAGATATCACAAGCAAGACCTAAAATGTTTGTACAGGTACTTTAAATATTTTCTGAGTTATCACTGCATTTTCTCATCCTCATATCAGATGTAGACAAAAATACGAGTCACAGCTTTGTGTCATCCTTTGAAGCTACAAAAATCAGCACGAAAAATACCTCTGTAGAAGAATTGGGCAATAGAAAATAACATGGTGATAATTGTTTAACAGTGATGCGTTCAAGGTACAGTACTTAGGTATGGTGGAAATGAGGAACTTAAACAGATATAGGATAGAAGAAAAATATCATACCAACTCATAGAATGAAAACATTATTTAAATTATCTGCAAATTATGATGTATGATGACCTGAAATTTAGTAAACATAATGAAGCAAATATAGCATCAGTCAGGAAAATGATAGGATGGATTATAAGAACATTCAAATCCAGGGATCCCACCGCAATGTTAATACTATTTAAATCACTGGTGCCAAACCATCTTGAGTACTGCTCGACACTCACTTTCCCTGTTAAAGCAGGAGAGATTTCTGAAATAGAGGGAATACAGAGAATATGTACAACACATATAGACACAAAGCATCTAAATTATTGGAACCATCTCAAAGTTCTCAAAATGCACTCTCTGGATAGGCGTCAAGAGAGATATCAAATAATATATACATGAAAGATACTGGAAAAACAGATTTTAAATCTGCACAGTAGAATATCAACTTACTGGTACAAAAGACACAGAAGGAAATGCAGAATAGAACCATCGAGGAGTAGCAGTGCCATAGACACAATCAGAGAGCTCTGTATGAACATCAGAGGTTTATAGCTGTTCAATATTCTCCCAGTAAGCATTAGAAATACTGCAGGAACAAAAGTGGAATTCTAAAAAAAAAAAAAAATTAACTAGGTTCCTACAAGAAGTGATGAACCAATCATATTGTAGTAGATATGTCAGCTTAGCCAACAGAGCTCCACAGCGGGCTCGGCCAACAGAGCTCCACAGCGGGCTTGGCCAACAGAGCTCCACAGTGGGCTTGGCCAACAGAGCTCCACAGTGGGCTCGGCCAACAGAGCTCCACAGCGGGCTCCACAACTTGATTAATGCACAGTCAGCAAAAAAAAAAAATATATAAAAAAAAACAAGGTGAGTGCCTAGCCATATTGTAACACTGGCCAAGGAAAAAGCCACTTTGCAATATACAAATAACATTCAAAAAGTCAAAATAACACAAATTTGAATGTAGCCCGCTTTGTTTAACAAATGTCTAATTTGATTCTGCTCTATATTTTTGTCCTTGTAACATGAATATCTCAGATTACGTTTACATAATTCCAGAGAAGGCACCCAAAAAATATCAAGGTAGGCAACAAACCATAATATCAAATAATCCCAATCAGATAAATCAAATCAAATAAACGTAATCCGATAATAAGACCAGCTGATGATACAAAAGTGAACTAGTTACCGAAAAAGGCACATATGTAAGTAATGTGTGAGTATTGGGGGGGGGAGTTTGTACCTGAATCTTACGTGAAACTCTCCTCCTCCTCACCAGCCAGTCTCTAGCCTTTTCCTTCTGCTTTCACGCCATGTCCAGCAGGCTACACCTGTCTAGCTTCCGTCAGCACCAGCCTTGGGACTTGCATCATTCGATGAAAGAGTCAATTTACTCGTCAAGGTCCTCTGATAACTCTCCGATGGATTGTTTTGATTCTCTGTCATCTGGAGCGTCCCGATGCCTCAGTCGCAACTTAGTCTTCGATAGTGAAGGTTCGAATGAGGCGTTTTCACTTTTACTTAACATATAACAAATGAATCTACCATCAGATATTAATACATTAATATTTTCTACTATAGTACCCAGTCTACAGCGTACTGGGATCCAGCCATCAATACATAAAAAAGTTATTTATGTGAATCGGACAGAGGATTTATTTTTCCCTTAGCATGCCATCTAGCGACCCGTATTAACCTCAAACATGGCGCCAAATACAAACCTATGAATGCCAAGGTCTTTACCTCTGCACTATAGCCCATCATCCAAACAAAGAGCCGTCGTGTTCACAACGCATAAGTTAAATACTAACTTAATACAATCTATGTATTTGACTTATAGCCCACTTGACCATGGCTGAAGCTTAGTACATTGGTATTCTGCCGTGTTTTAATCCATTTGCATGAATTCTGTAATTTGTCATCCATGTTTTTTTCTTGCATGACTCCATATTATTATTTGTTTTATTCTTTGCGTATATTGACGAGTCATAGTTTAGTTATTTTATTATGCACCCCATATCCATCCTTCAGTTCAAATCATGCATTTAATCTCAATTAATCTTAAGTCTTAGTTTTAAGTTTTTTCCCACATCTTGCCTGAAACAGTGTGCGTATTAGTGGCTCTAGGCATAGTATATACTAGCTCTATCTAGAAATCGAACATTCTGCTTGTAACTTAATATGTCTGTATGTACTTTTCCCTAAATAAAAATATTTATAATTGTAATAATAATTCATTATCTCGGGGGACAGGAAGCCAGAGTGTATTCATACACGGTAGACTTATACCAAAGTTACCCCACTCCCCAAGGTCGAATTACTGACTCCGCCCAGGATGCAAACCCACAACAGGCTGACTAACTCCTGGGTACCTATACTTACTGCTAGATGAACAGAGGCATTAGGCGAAAGAAAATGTGCTCAACCCTTTCTGTCCCGCCCGGGATTCGAAGCCGGAATTCTCGATTGTGGGTTGAGAACGAACACGATTATACTACCGGGACCTTTACATGTACTTTTATTATTTATTTATTTTATTTATTTATTCATTCTTGTGGGCGGTGGTGAAAAGGGTTACAGAGGCACATAATGGGCTCAGGGACTGAACCCCACAATTCATTTAGCTAAGCAAGTTACAGTCTTGATGAGCTAGTTACAAAATTTAACGTATATTGTTTCACCAACAATGGGCTCGAGACCCACCACAAGTACATTGTCTAAATTAAGCAACTTACATGTGTTGAGAGCTAGTGACGTATAATTAATAATAATTTTAATTGATAATGTTAATCCTGAGCCCCTTAACCGGTGGGCAGATGTGGAAAGGTAGTCATAGGACTGTTTTTTGCAACTGGTGGAAATATTTTAGGCGTTCGTGTATCGAATATCTACGTCCTCGCCCACAGCCGAGGATTCCGGATTCGATCCATGGCCGGGACGGGGATGGATGAAAGGAAGGGAACTATCAGGGGAAAGCTCCAAGCCATTACGACTATATAGGGCGATGGTTGAGAACGCTTCCTTTCACCCGACGCTTCTGTTCACCTAGCGGTAAATAGGTACCCGGGAGTTAGCCAACTGCTGTGGGTTGCTTCCCAACTTTGGAAGGTTGGCCTAGGAGGACCGGCCTCGATCGATGAGCCTAACATGTTTCCTGCTACCGACTATGTGGGAAGTCATGTACAATATAGGAAAAATGCTCATTATTCTCACAAAATAGAACACGAAACAATGGATACACAGTGATTATATTTGGGACAGTGTAGGGGATCTATATGGCTTAATCAGACAACCCATCCAACAAATGTGATGGAACCTATACCTACTATGGATTGAATGTATAAAGTATAGACTGTTGTAGCCCAACACGTTCAAGTGTTATACTATAGGAAATCTAAAGAGCATAACAAATAGTGAAACACAGACTATAACACTGACTTAACAATGACAATGAACTATAGCAATGAAAATTGCTTCAGTGTGAGGGTAGTTGAAGATGGAAACCATTAAATAAGGAAAGCAGTGGTGGTGAAGGGAAATTCAGTATATGGATTCTGATGTAATTATATGACTTTACCAACGCGGTTAATGACAAGTCACATTAGCAGATCAGTGGGTGAGAGGCGGAGACCATTAGTTGGAGCTTATTGACAGCAAACACACAGTCACTAGGGAGTCAACAGGAGAGTACACAAACATTGCAACTACGATTAAATAATGTCACACAAATACATACCTGATCGATTAGTCAGGGTTTAATTCCGTTGGGTTAAGTGACTCAAGTCAATTGCTGTATAAGACACACCACCGGGACCTATATATACATATATAAGCCACAGAAGTTTCCTAATATACGGACACACAAATACAATGCACTCACCAGGGTTCCCTGGCAGCAAGGATGCATGGCCCGCTAACCCCACGATGGTGCAACACTAACTTTAACACTTCCATGTTCGTTGCAGCAATTGTCGACACTTTTTTACAAGAATTTCCGACATTTTTTAAAATTGATTCTAGCTGTCTCCAATGCTGACTGTAGTGGTCTTCAACGCAGACTACAGTGACCTTCAGAGCAGACTATATTGGTCTTTAACTCTGCCTAAGTGGCCTCAGCGCTGACTATAGTGGTCTTCAACACCCCCTGGTGCAACAGTGACTGGGGGAAACAGAACACGCCACGTTCAGTCTTGGTACGGACGTGACGTGTTCGTCCGTACGAACGAGGGGGGGGGGGGGGCGGGGCGGACGTTCGGTTGTGTTACGCAACCTGGAGCAAACGTTGCGTCCCGTCAGCCGCTAGGCCCCCCCGCCCCCACTCCCTCCGTCCATCCAACAGGGCAGACACCAATATTACCTGTGTGTACTTGAGGACCACTAACACTAGTAGCCTCGACGAAGACAGGAAGCGGGCGGCTTGTCGGAGCCCCCATCCTTCAATTTGCTTTGATAATCTTTTCGAGTTTGATTTTGAAATTTAACAGTCTTTACATTTACGGCTTCGGCGGGTATAACGGTTCGATGGGCTTATAACCCTGTGGGCGAAAAATCATCTCCTGTTCTCATTCCTATAATGTAGCTTGTTCAGCTCGAAACCGTTGCTCTTTGTGTTATGTTTGACATTTTGAAGAAATTTTCCGGGTGAATACAGTATTCTGTTGCAAATAAAGAGTCACAATAACGTGGCTGAAAAAAAAAATAACGCGGACCGAAACGTCGTCGTCTCTTCAATTTCTAGTGTGTGGTTTGGTCAACAATGCAGTGTCCTCCAAATTATCCGTTAGATTAAGGACCTGCCCGAAACGTGTGCGCATTAGTGGCTTTACAAGAATGTAAAAACATCAATGCTATATACTCTCATAAACCCAATGTACCTTCTTGTATATATATATGTATATAAATAAATAAACTGTTCAGTATTTTAAAAGTTTCAATGAGATCTACCCTGTCATGCCTGGTTTGCAGTGTTGTTAGCCCTGTGGCCCTCAACCGTTCCTGATACGAGAGATAACTTAGCTATGGAATGATTTTTGTTGCCCGGTGTTGCACTTTCTCCGGAGCAGCTGTGTCCTTCTGAAGATGGGGTCTCCATGCTTGGATACAGTAATACGAATGAGGGAACACCAGAGATTTATACAATTGAATTACTACCTTCCTTTAAGGTACGCTTGATTATTCCAAGGGTTTAGTAAGCGTTTTTGACTGCTGCTCTTACCTATTGTGCAACTTTCAGTGAGTGGTGGATTTTGACTCCAAGGTCCTTTTCTTTGTCAATCTGCTGTAATGGAATGTTATTAATTTGGTAGTGATTGGCCTGGGTCAATATCAACCTATCTCCATCCCGCCTTATTTATTTATTTATTTATTTTAACTACAACATAAATTGACAGAGGTGATTACACTGGTAAAGATTTGTGCCTCAAGTACTAATATTAGGGAAGTGGGTAGTACAAGTTGCAGTGTGAGTTTGAAGCACAGGGTAGGAAACTATGAGGATGAAATTAGCTACTTTTGGGTTTACTTCTGAATAAGGTTGGACGATTTTATAACTCATCAGGGAGTGAGTTTCAAAGACTGGGTCCTTTTATTTGCTCAGAGTATTTGCACAGATTGAGTTTGACTCTGAGGATATTAAAGATATATTAATTTTTGGTGTGGTGCTCATGGGTTCTGTTACAACTATCAAGGAAATGTTTCAGATCAAGATTAGCATTTAGGAACAAGGCTTTGCACATGTAAATAGCACATGAGAATGTGTGGAGGGAGTGTATGTTTAGCATGTTAAGGGACTTAAACAGAGGGGCTGTGTATCATGCATCACACATACACCCTTAAACACACCCACACTATCATACATAACACATGCACCGTTAAACACGCGCATACTGAAAAATACACAAATAAATGTAACAACGTTCTGTATATATACACGTCTCTCCATGTTCCTTCATACAATAATTTTGGATATATTTGGACATCTGAACTACCATATAAGTGTCTGTAAAACAAACACAAGTTGCATTGTATACGGACACATCCACTTAGACTAGTCGGAACAGCGAACGTTGTCTCTTACAAGGTTGGCATTCGATCCCCGATAATCCAAAGTGATTAAGGCATCGTGCTTCATTCCATCCTCATATTTCAGTTTACAGCATGTACTCATATCCCAAGTGGAATATACTCATACCGATTAAGGGTTTCCTCCTCATAATTACCTCAAGTACATGGAATAAATTATAACGTGTGATGTGGTCTATGAAATATAATTTGCTAGGCTACGACTGAGCAAACTCGAGGTATTTCTGCACACTGTATCCGAAAATGGTGAAGTCGTGTTGGTAGATGGCGAGAAGCCCTTGTATCTGGGCGCTGGTGAGCTGGCTGAAGTAGTCTCTGTTGATGGTCTCGTAGTTGGTGTTGGAGCTGTGAAGGTTATGGGGGCTCACCACTCTAGAAAGTCCTTCCACCTGCCGGAGCAATACAGTAGGTGAGGCAGATGCTTTTCCGTCCTTGTAATTCAAACATTTTATAAAACATTAATATGAAATATGAAAGAATAATAATCAAATTGAGATATGAATTTGCCCTAAAGTTTTCATCTTTAGAAGACCCGCACTTACCGCTTGCAAGAGGAAAGCCTCATCACGGGGCAGAGTTTCGAAGTGGAGAATATAATCGAAGTTGACCCGGCACGGGGAGCAGAAACTGTAGTATGGCGCCCAGTGTTCATTAGGAGGCCTGCCGAGCGATGCCTCCTCCAGCAGGTAGTCTACAAACTCGCTGAATGTAGGGGTGCAGCGGCCCCTATTTTCGTGCGCGTCACTGCTGAAGTTGGCTACGATGGCGCACCTGAGGGATCTGCAGTATAAGCGGTTACTAGTGATGGACGACATTTCATTCCTTGCATCCATCAATGTATTTTAATTAACCATTTATATTTTTATGGTGCGTGTTCACTATTTTGCTTATGCTTTATTTATTATTTATTTGGATAGTTCACATGACGTTATGCGACGAGTTAGGCTCAATCGACAACAATGTGGTGGCAAATATATATTATACACGCTAAAGATAAAGTTTATCATAACAAAACAAGTTCTAATGATATACTGGTTGAAGCATTAGTATTATTATTTTTTTGCAGTAAATTGAAGTAATAATAGACAGCGCTTTATATTTAGGTACTCTAGTACCTATATTTAGGTACTTTAGGTAATCTACGGCCCTTGTGGATTTGTTCATTTGATACATCACGCTATTGTGATTTCAGTGTGTAATGAAGTAAGGGCGAAGAGGTAGAACGGCCTATTGACATAGCTCGAGTGCATGGGGGAATTGTGTAAAATCCTGGTCTGTCTCGGAGAGGCTGCAGGATCCAAATAAATTCATTAGAATTTCTGGTTGCAATTCTTTTACCATGTCGTAGCTCAGTCGATTAAGGCAGCGTCTGGGATGCTCTCGGACGTAGGTTCGAATCCTCGTCACGGCCCTTGTGGATTTGTTCATTTGGTACATCACGCTATTCTGATTTCAGTGTGTAATGCATTCTGTATCTGAATTCACTATTATTTAAACTAATGACAAAGTCTATGGACTCAGGGCAGAGCATTTCACATTCGCAGACTTTGTGGAGGAGTATTGAGGCTATGTGACTTCCCTGACCGCCCCCCCTCTCCGTGACACTCCTGATAACATCATTAATCCTGTAAAGTTTAATGAGGCTAGCCCCAATCGTGTGGCTCCAGGCTCGAACAAACAGACAGACAGACATCCTATCCTATACTATCCAATATACATCTGTAAGTAAGAATGTCTGTCTGTCTGTCTCGATAATGACATTATCACACGACTTGATAGTGGTTAAGAACGGAACCGAACCGAAACGTCGTCACTTCTCCATTTTCTGAGTTGTGGTTTGGTCACCGTAACTTTAAGGGCTGTGTGGGGGTAAATGATAACGCCAGCATCAGATAAACAGGACACGGGAGGAAACGTTGTAGAAATAATTCTTACTCGTAGTAGGGCTGTTTGGGAGACTCCATCTTGTCCCGGTATGCGGACAAGAGTCGCTGAAAGGGTTCTCGGACGATGACGAAGGAAGTGTAGTTAAGGTGTGTAACGGAGCGTTCTAAGTCCTCCAGAGAAGGTCGTGGATAAAACTCCCTCGTCACCTCCACGGGGGAAGTCTTCATGGATTTCTGATAGTACTTGTCGGAATTCCCAGCCATAATAATGAAGTTGTACATCCACGTCGACGAAGCCGCCTTGAAGATGTTGCACCATACTAGCTTATATTCATCGTTGATGAGAAATTCTTTGCTGTTAATTGGTAGGGCTTCCTCCTCGGGGGTCAGAGTCTCTGCACACTGCTTTTGAAGCTCCTTCCGCCTCTCGGACATGATATTAGCCACCTCATTTACATTATCTGGTAAAGCTGAAGGCGCTTCCTCTTCCTTCGTATTCGAACTCATTCCCGCCTGCAGGCTCTCCTGGGCTTCGCTGACAGCGAGGAAGATGGCCTGCGTCTGCAGCGGCTCCTGCTGGAAATGTGGAGAATGATTTATAAATAGCTTTTTGTGGACAATAATAGACAAATGCTGTTGTCTATGTATTTAAGCTATCTGCGAGGCTCTTAATCTAAATAGCTTAAAACTATTAAATGATAAGCGTCACTGAAGTACAAGACTGAAGAGCTATTCCTCTTTATAAGAAATGTTGGGGTGATGTGAGAGAGAGAGAGAGCGCATCAGTATATCTGTATGCGTCCAACTTCTTGATGTGGTCATCAACAGGTTCACATCATCACCTCGTGTTCAGCACCTTCCATACCCTCCACACCTGTAACTGTGAGTGGGTGAGCCCTGGACACAGGGGGATACCCGAGCACAGCCGGGTATCCCATATAGTCATCAAAATACACCGTCTTCATCAATAAATATACTACATAAGGCAGACTAGAATTTCATCATAATAAAAATAATATGCCTGATGGGTACTGGGATAAAGTCTGGTATTTAGCAAGATCGGAAAATAGTACCATTTGCCATTCCACACAAAGGGGAAGCATGGAGGACGATCCCGAACCGCCTATGACCATCCCAAAGTAGAGACGTAAAGACCAATCACCCTGCAAAATTTGGTGAGGCTTGCCCTAAGCATCTGTCCCCAACTTTGAGCAGATAGACAGACAGACAGACAGACAGACAGACAGACTGTGAACTGACAACAACTGACCGCAGATATTTTTTTCACAATTCCAGACTCACCTGAGTGTCAACGATGAGGGCGAGGAAGGTCCAATAAAAAATGGCGAAGGAGCCCAGCATAATGGTCAGCAGTGATCTCCTCAACATTTTAACTTTTCCAGAGTACGTAGAACGGATTCAAGCCCTACAACAGCTGTGACGTCGTCCTCAGGTCCAACAACACGGCTGATGTCATCAGCCTCTTCAACGAAGGCGCTAGCGTTGTCCTCAGGTCCTACAGCAGCAGCGATGTCATCCTCAGGTCCTACAACAGCAGTGATGTCATCTTCAGGTCCTACAACAGACCCAATGTCCTCTTAATCTTCTACAAAAGCGGCGATATCGTCCCCCCGTTCAATAACAACAATGTTTGCGTCTATAGACCCCCCACAAAAGTTTTACCATTGTCCTCAGATACAACATAAAAATAAGAAAATGAATCCCTTACTACAAAGCTCATGTAATATTGTTAACGATTGGAAGAGGGAGTCGAAATGCACATTACCTAACCTAACCAAATCTTAACTAAACTAGCCATAGCCTAACCAAATCTTGCCTAACACTCATTTGCTCAGAGCTGCTAAACACACACAAACGATATGATGGAAATGCTGATCATCGAAATATAAATTCTAAATATGGTGACTGACCTTGTATATAAATCACCAGATGCAAATCCTCAGCAGTTTAAAGACCAACTTACGAAAATAGAATACGGCTTAGAAAGCCTCACAAACCTTGCCCTAAACATCATGTTTGCTTAGATGATTACAGCTTAAGGCACCTAAAAATGGGAAAATATGGCAAGTACAGTTATATCATAGAAAATCCCAAGAAGCAATCTAAATGAAGTCACAAACAAATGACCTCTTGTGGATGTCCAGAACACCAACAAGAGATCGGGTCGCGGGGACATTGATCCTCACAATTATCGACAGATATACGACAAGTATACGACAGATATACAACAGGTATACGTTACCTATCATAGCCTAACCTAAACTGCCAACCCTAACCAAATCTTACCTAACCTAAACTGCCATAACCTAAACCAATCTTATCAAACCTCACGTGGCATAGACTACCCAAATCTTACTAAACTCATTCACGCAAATTAGGAATGCAAATATAAAGAGTACTACGAGGTTTTGAACTTTAGTCTGAAGTTGTTGAAAACAAATTAAAAGTTTTGGGGTTGTGAAGACCATTCAAGAACCGTGTAAAATCTTGTTTTCTAATAATTTCAATTATATAAACTCAACGACGGCACAATGAGGGACTTAAGGGACTTGACAAATTATCATTTGTAAAAACCTCCTCTACTTATTAATCCAAATATTGATTAGTAATATTTTAATTATATTTACTTGAATATTACATATCAAACACTAGGTTTAGAGGTAAGGCTCCTGCTAGCTGCATACTTGAGAAAGTTCAAGTTTAAGTATGTTTATTGAGACAAGTAAAAATACATCTCAAAGAGAGAGAGCTACTCTATCCCTTTGAGATGTATTTTTCTTAGACTATTTTTACCTCTCCATCGTGAGAGAGGCTATCAGGCTACACGTGTGGAGGCTCCCAGGATCCAAGGCTACCTCCAGGTTTTCAGGGGTGTTGTCAAGGGATCGTCAACACAATTATAGCCAGACAAGCGACCAATTACTGTTGAGTCTGACAGGCTCCCGGCCTAGGGACAGGTGGACTTGCTGTCTAATGGTCTAGGGACAGGTGGTATGGCTGTCTAATTTTCTAGGGACAAGTGATCTGACTGTCCCATGGTCTAGGAATAGCCGGTATAGCAATCTCAGGGGCTAGGGACATGTAGTCTGGTAGTCTAGGTGTCTAGGGGATAGGTGATCTGGCAGTTTTAAGACCTAGGGACAGATGGCCTAGCAGTCTCAGGTCCCCAGGGATAGGTAGTCTAGCACAGAGAATCTAACCATTGTTTCCTCTAACCATAGCTATCATATGGCTTATTTTGGATTAACACGACCTGCACTATTCTCGCTATTAAAGGTTCAACTGCTTTGAAATCAGCTCGATGGAATCTAGTTACCGACGAAATGATGCCACAGGAAATTGCTACTGCAGAACCTGGATTTTACAGAGCCTAGTTATAAGAGTCTTTAACGAAACAAGATAGCAATTGCAATTCAAGAAGCTCAGTTGCAAAATCATGCCGCCTGTGATGATTCGCACTTCAGACATGATTTCTCAACTGATAATTATTCGTAAGAGGAAGACAACTTACCATATGAAGTCTTTGACAGCTTCACACTATACATAACTGCAAAAAAAATCCATTATTCAGGTTCGCTACATCTCGAAGTAACAAAAATCGACATGAAAGCGAAAGTGATTAAGCACGCTATCTCCGCGTGGGATAACTAAACAGTATTAAGAAAGTACAGACAGATTACGTGATGGCTTTACAGACATAAAGCCATCACGTAATCTCTTCAAGCAATATTACGCATCATCACCTTCAATATTTTCTTCACTAAGATTCGTCTAGAGAAAGCCAAAGTTGCAAAGTGGCACCAAGAAAGTGTTGACCTACTTTTCCTGCCAAGCACAGTGCCCCCACAACTACACCTACCAAGCACAGTGCCCCCACAACTACACCTACCAAGCACAGTGCCCCCACAACTACACCTACCAAGCACGGTGCCCCCACAACTACACCTACCAAGCACGGTGCCCCCACAACTACACCTACCAAGCACAGTGCCCCCACAACTACACCTACCAAGCACAGTGCCCCCACAACTACACCTACCAAGCACAGTGCCCCCACAACTACACCTACCAAGCACAGTGCCCCCACAACTACACCTACCAAGCACGGTGCCCCCACAACTACACCTACCAAGCACGGTGCCCCCACAACTACACCTACCAAGCACAGTGCCCCCACAACTACACCTACCAAGCACGGTGCCCCCACAACTACACCTACCAAGCACGGTGCCCCCACAACTACACCTACCAAGCACGGTGCCCCCACAACTACACCTGCCAAGCACAGTGCCCCCACAACTACACCTACCAAGCACGGTGCCCCCACAACTGCACCTTCATAACACATCTACACTCGGGTATGTTTGCAAAGTCTTGGAACTTGATAAGGTTCCTGATATATCTTATCAAAATGCTTATGTCAAATCATGTAATCATTAAATGCGTATCCGGGCGTTTTAAAACTATTATTGACTACTAATAATTATGTTCGCATATTGCCGTAGGAACATAAAGTTATTTTTTGATGAACGTGAGCTCATATGAAGGCCTGAATGGTCTCCAAACTGTGAGTCACTATAACTCTTCCACCTCTTTAGGATTCGTATATATATTGGTCATTGGACCAATAGTTCCCATAAAACGCTGTTTTAATGTACTAACAAAGTAAATTCATTCGGAAATCTGTTGTGCATTTGTCAACAAAGTTAATTAATTGAGAAATATATTGTATGTTTTATTAAGTGACTGAATTTCGTTTCGGGTTAAAGAATTCTGACAGACACTGTAAGTTAATATGTTGTTGAAGACATATGTTTTGGGAGCCGGTGGCTGAGCGGACAGAACACTGGCGCGTGATCCTGTGGTCCCGGGTTCGATCCCGGGCGCCAGCAAGAAACAATGGACAGAGTTTCTTTCACCCTAATGCCCCTGTTACCTAGCAGTAAATAGGTACCTGGGAGTTAGTCAGCTCTCACAGGCTGCTTCCTAGGGGTGGAGGCCTGGTCGAGAACCGGGCCGCGGGGACACTAAGCCTCGAAATCATCTCAAGATAACCTCAAGATAACATATGTCTCCAGCTGGCGTAGTGAGTCATCCCTCTCAGGAAGCTGGTGTTGCGTCTGCTCTTCGCTGAAGTAGTATATATTAACTTATATTTTTGAGAGCCGCTATGATTTTTGGTACATCAGTTTTTGGCATTAGGGGAGGGGGATCTATACGTCAAAATACGATGTGTTATTCGAGAGGATAGTCGGTGTGTCCCCGGTAACGGTAGAGACAGAGCACCCGCGGGAGTAGCGGAGGGCAGGAAGTCTTATCAGGGAGGCAGCGAGTGGCTTTCACACCGTCGTAGTCACCACTGTGAGGGACTCAGTGTGTGGTGAGGGCCTCAGGGAGTCCTCCTCTGACCACTAGTGAGGAACACCTGTTGTGAGTGACCCCTATTGTGAAGGACATCTCCTGTGAGGGAACCCTGGTGTAAGGGGCACCTGGCGAGAGGGACACTTGACATAAAGGACACCTGGAGTGATGGCGAGGATGCGGGCGGTGTTGGCAATACTGGCGGTGGTTCCGCTGCTCATACGACCTGCCGTCATAGCTGTGAGTTTCCCATAACTTGAGAGCAGCCTCATCATGTTATTTTTCTGAATGTTTCTAGCAAATAGTTGCATTTCCAGCAATGGTCACAACATTTAGGGCCAAACTACAGCTGCCAAACAAGAGTAGAGCAGTTACTGAAATATTTTAGGAATAGAGGCAATTAATTTGGGGGGATTCAGTTCCTGAGCCCATTATGGGCCTCAATTACACACAGAAATCACACTAACGTGATATATATCAATTACAAAATCAACTGGAGCTTTTAGGTGACTCGAACCCGCGACCAACGTATTACAGCCACAACATATACCACTGTGCCACCTTGAAGTGGTAGAGTATGGGGTGGTACAGTGATTTTCCTCATTGATATATATTACAGTTGAATTCTTAATTGATATATATATATATATATATATATATATATATATATATATATATATATATATATATATATATAACGTTAGTGTGAGTTGTCTGTGTAACTTTATATAATATGTTCAATATTAAATATATCAGGTTAATAGAAGAGTTGATGTGTATAATTTTAGTCTACACAACTTAGACTTTCATGCTATATATTTACCTTATCTTCTGGAAACCAAATAGATTCATCTCCAAATGATTCATTTCGCATATATTATATGATTTGATGATATAATGTGTGTCGCTGTCTTTGTCACGGTGTGTCCCTGTTTTTGTCACGTTGTGTCCCTGTCTTTGTCACGTTGTGTCGCTGTCTTTGTCACGTTGTGTCTCTGTCTTTGTCACGTTGTGTCCCTGTCTTTGTCACGTTGTGTCTCTGTTTTTGTCACGTTGTGTCCCTGTCTTTGTCACGTTGTGTCCCTGTCTTTGTCACGTTGTGCCCCTGTCTTTGTCACGTTGTGCCCCTGTCTTTGTCACGTTGTGTCCCTGTTTTTGTCACGGTGTGTCCCTGTCTTTGTCACGTTGTGTCCCTGTCTTTGTCACGTTGTGTCTCTGTTTTTGTCACGTTGTGTCTCTGTTTTTGTCACGTTGTGTCCTCGTCATTGTCACGCTGTGCCCACACACTTTATACTAAGTTATTTAGACTGGCTGTATACAAGCTGAGCTGCCAGAGGTACATGAAGCCAAATGACATTCGAGCTGTGACAACATCTGTCAAGCTTTAGATTTTGATACTTACCCCATACAAGTGTTTTTCTTTAACGCATTTCATTGTGACAAACAATGGATCCCCTTAGTTAATATTTGCACACATCTGTTTCTAATAGAGCGTCGCATTTTGCCGTATACTCCACCTAAGGGCAAAAATTGTTGTGCTAGAAAATGGTAGCGGCTCGCGAAATTAACATACTGTCCCGTTTTCTGTTTTGGGTCCTCTGGTAGGTTAGGATAAGGGCATTTTAGTACCACACTTTCTTGCCGTTGGGAACGTTCGCGAGAACGGGCTGCTCTGATAGCCCAAAGTTATGTTTAATTTATTTATTGATATAACTTGCCCTGACGAGGGAAGAACTAATTTATCTGTCCTGCGCTTCAGAGTTGTGCCGTCATATGACACGTTTGAGAGAGTTGTTGTTGTTATAGATTCAGCTACTCGGAACAAGTTCCAAGTAGCACGGGCTATGGTGAGCCCGTAGTGAACTTACCTGGCACAGGAGCGGGGCAAGTAGCACGGGCTATAATGTTACGTTATGTGCAAGCCTCGCTTCTACTGTACGATAGAGCAATACGTTTACAATTTTGCTCAATGTGGGAGGGAGGAGGAAGCCTGGTCGGAGACCGGGCCGCTAGGACGTTGATCCCCGAAATCATGACAAGGTAGGGGGTGCAGCCACACTGGGTGCCCGCACAGAGGGCCAGATGTGCCCGTAGCTTGCACTGTGGCTGTTCTTGATGGCACTCTTGTTGCGTTTGCTTTATCAACGTAATTAAAATGATAATTCGTTGCTTCACATATATAATTATATATAGCAGAATTGTTTACATTTCAGGAAGAGAGCTGTGGTGAGGATGGAGGAGAATCACACCTGACTCAAACATGCCAGCGCCAGGGTAAGACAGAGGGAGGGAGGGATGAAGGGAAGGTAGTAGGAAGGGAGGTAAGGAAGGAGGGAGAGAAGGAAGAAGGGAGGGAGGTAAGGAAGGAGGGAGGGAAGGGAAAGAGATTAGGAAATAGGAAAAATATAATGAGAATATAGCAGGGAACCGGAAGGGAGGAACAGGGGGAAGGGGGAAAGGGGAAGGGGATGCAAACAAAGGGAGATCAGAAGCCTATATAATTCCTCCTTACCTTAGCATCAGAACCCCCCACCCCCTTACCCTCACAACTGTAACCCCTTTACCCTTGACGGAATCTACAATTTTCCGACAGAAGTTCAGCTATACACTAAGTGCTATATATATATATTTCATCAGTAATTTTTGTACGAAAATGCATTATATGAAATAAGACACTTCCCTTCCGCCCCCTAATAGCCACTGTTGACTCCATGTCTTCCTCAACGCAGACGGAGATCGAGGCGGCGTCACGGACGAAGCTAACCGGGCGCCTGCAGGGGTTGTCGAACTCGGAGGACAGGAATACAAGAGTGTGAAGCACTTCGATGAAAGCAGGAAGAGACGGAGACGCAAAGGTTCAGAAGGTGAGGAGGCGCTGACGGTGAAAGGTTACGGAGACAGGAGACACAGGAAGAAGAAGAAAGAGGGAGATATTACGCGGGAAAATAAGGATGAAGGGAATAAGCTCAAAGGGAGATACTCGGATCTTCACAAGGACAAGCAAGAGGGAGATGGATTTAGTGGGGCTGAAATAAGTAACAAGAAAGTTAAGAGGGGCAAGAACGGTGAGCGAAAGAACAAGGAGAAACATAAGAAGAACACGATGAATGGAGAAAGCAGACATACGGGAAAACACAGAGATGGTGAGAAGAATAAGGAATACAAATCCAACAGAGATCAGACAAAGAAAAATGATCATAAACACAAACATAAAACCAACACGAAAGACAAGAAGAATGAGGATAAAAAATACAAAAATATGAAGAGTAAAGAAAACAAAAAGAACGCTGGAAAGAAAAAGTACAAAAAAGACAAACTTAAAACGGCTGAAGACCTAAACCGAGAAGAGGAAACAAACACAGAAGACAAAGACATTGAAAATATAAAAAAGAAAATAAGAGTAAACAGGAAAGTTAAAGACAAAATTGAAAAAAAGGTACGAGAAGGTAATGTCTCCGCAACACCTGAGACTCTCACAGAAAACGAAATAAGTAACACTGAAGGGGAAACTGAGAGAGCCAGGCGGAAACCCCAAACTAATGTCGCAACCGGAAACCCTGATATCGATGCTGAAAAACAAGTCACTGGGAAGGCTAAAGTGGAGGATGAGAGAAAAACGAGAAATGCCACAATAAATTCAGAGGAAAAAATTGGAAGCGATGCTATATACGACGAGAGCCTTGATGGCGAAGGTAAAGTTCCAGAGAACGTCGTAGATGTTGAAGGCCATGCCGGACACCTTAAGAATGTAGTTGGGGGTATTGACGAAGTTACAGATGGTGAAAGAGGCAATGATGTGGCGGCGGACGATTTTGTGGTGGCTAATTCTCATGTCAATTACGTTGATTCATTGTATGTCGAGCTCGAACTCGACTCATCAGAACTGTTGGCAGAAGAACTTAAGAATGTAGTTGGGGATATTAACGAACTTACAGATGGTGAAAGTAGCAATGATGTGGTGGAAGATTTTGTGGTGGCTAATTCTCATGTCAATTATGTTGATTCATTGTTTGTCGAGCTCGAACTCGACTCATCAGAACTGCTGGCAGAAGAACTGAATTTTGGGACCGTAGAAGAAAACAAGAAAGAACAAGAAATGACGAGTCCAGAAGTCGCAGAACTAAAGTCAGAAATGTCTGAAAATGAAGGAAACGACGACCAACAAACTGAGGGTGAAGAAGTGGATAGGAAAGATGGAGTGAAGAAGGTATACGAAGTACCGAGAATCTCTGAAACAGAAGTTGAATCTGATGCTGGAGGACCAAAAACAGCAGACGGGAAGGCAGGTGATGATGATGACGACCTGCTTATGTCACCCGAGTTGGGCTCCCAGTCAGACCAGGAAACAGTTGCCGTTGATGTTACCGCTAAAGACAACCACCAGGAAGATGTCGTCGTCGAACTTGGTGACAATAAAGGATCAGAATGAAATGGGAGGAGTTACTGTGAGAGCACAATGTGCTGACAAGTGTCTGTGGAGAGTGAGGGGAAAGTGCCAAGCCATTACGACCATATAGCACTTAAAAGGGATCAGGAATTGGAATGGGTGAGACGGAATGCAACCAAATGCTTCTTGTGTTAGTGTCCAACCACTTGGAATGGACGGTAGAGCGACGGTCTCGCTTCATGCAGGTCGGCGTTCAATCCCCGACCGTCCAATTGGTTGGGCACCATTCCTTTTCCCCCCGTCCCATCCCAAATCCTTATCCTGACCAGTTCCAAGTGCTATATAGTCGTAATGGCTTGGCGCTTTCCCCTGATAGTTCCTTCCTTCTTGTGTTAGTGCCACGTAAAACGCCGGTGTGAGTGCGTAAACAAGCGAATAGCTCCCCAGTATTACTCATTCTTGTCAACGACCGTTGTGCAAAGGTATGCCATTGAGAAGGCTTATTCATTGTTACGACTGACAAGACGTCAAGTGTCAGTGCATGAGGACTATGTACTGACGCCATGTTTACTGCTATGAATAGGCATTCTGAGTAATGTAATTTGCATAATCTGAGGTGGAACCAGGACAAACAGCACAGGTTCTGTAGCCAGGTACAAGTTAGCAGGTGATATTGTAGAATGAAGCCTCAAGGGATTGATTGATTGATGAAGATTAAGCCACCCAAAAGGTGGCACGGGCATGAATAGCCCGTAAGTGGTGGCCCTTTTGAGCCATTACCAGTATCAAGAGATGATACTGGAGATCTGTGGAGGCGCGACTGCACCCTGCGTGACGGGAGATGTCTCCCGTGTACCTCGAGGGTTAATTAATGAACTTATATGGTGGCTGTGTTGTGTTGGCGACTTCCTCACTCATTACTCCGCTGCACAGTTACGTATACAATCTCGTGTTATCTCAGTCTTTTAGCGTGTGCGTTGCTTTTTGTTCTCATTACTGTACTTACAGTTATAATTGCTTTATGAGTTCGCTGTGGTTCCTTCTCATTTGAGGTGTGTTTGAATAAACATATGAGTGAATGGGTAGCCTTTGTGCGGTGAGTAACAGTTCTTAAGAATAATTTATTTTTATTTTTCATTTGCGTTTGCTCTAAGTTTTCAATAAATAAAGACAAACTAAGTCATGCTCTGTGTAACCACTCATTACAATATTTCCTTACAAGTCATCACCGCAGACAAATATAAAACTCTAAATATATTTACCTGAAGCCAACATTATTGCTGCAACTCTCCTTGACAGGGAGTTGCACTCAAACTTTGGGTTGAGTGGAGTAACTATTGCTTGTTCCATAATAGCTAAGGTTATAATGTTGAGTGATCACTTCTCACAGGCTGAGGTTCTTAGGCTACTGAATTGATGCATTTATCATCCGGTGTTTGATAAGTGAAAACTTTGTTGACACTATGAATTAACAATCTAAGGAATCACTAAACCAGTACCCAGTGACAATGTTTTTAGAGCGCTTACGTCACAAGTTTGTGCGCAAGCAACGTATTAAATATAAATAGCCAGTTTATACTTAGTGTCTGACCTTGTGTATGACACCAAATCAGACTCTGTGCAGATTTGATGTCTGATCTTACAGTGTACTTCTCCAATAAAAGTTTTCTGGATGATCTTGGAGTTTCCGTCTAAGCTCTTATAACCTCAGTGTAACGTCTTAACAACAACCACAAACAAAAGAAACACGTCAGCACAGCGTCAATATTGATGGATAACGCTACATCTGGCATCAGGACCAAAGCGTAATATTAGGAGCAAAGCTGAATTTAAAAAAATCTGGACCTGGTGTGGTAAGGGTGCAGGTGTTGAAAGTGTTAAGAACGCCAGGAGGTTCTTAGGTCCTCAAAACAAAAACTAGAACGTAGTTAACTTCTGTTGGCAATTATTTATATTTATAGTACGTGGGTTATGCAACCCGTCCTCAGTCTAGGGTCGTTAAAGCTGCGGTCGTCCCTCAAAACACATTCACCGCTTTTAACGTAATGTGTACTAAAAATAGATTTGTTCTCATTTATATATTAATATTATATATCAAAATTCTATGTACAGTTGGGCGCAGGTTAGGTTAGGTGTTTAGGTTCTGTTTGTGATTATGTTTTATTTGTAGTACGTGGGTGAAGCATTTACAACCCGTCCTCGACTCAAGTCCATTACATTCAGCGGTCGACCCCACAGACGCATTCATAAATTTTAACTTGCTGTTCATTCAAAACAAGAATTTTCTCAAATATAAACTAATATCATAATATATTAGCATATTGTGCATATATAGGCATAGGTTTGGTTAGGCTAGGTGTTTAGGTTCTGTTGGCGATTATTTGTATTTGTAGTACGTGGGTGAAGCATTTACAGCGTTGTGGTTCGAACAGAGGTCGTCACCGAAGCACTATTTGAAAAATGTTCGAACATCAACAGTTGTGAGTCGTGTAAAAATTCCAGTCCGTCCTCCAAACAAAGACCCAATAGTGATTCCATGCACCCGCCAAACCCCCTGTTAATGAATGAAAAATGGTTTACACACGACTCACAACTACTGACGTTCGAACACTTCCGAAACAAGTGCTTCACTGACGAATTTTGTTCGAACCACAACGCTGTAAATGCTTCACCCACGTATTACAAATATAAATAATCGCCAACAGAACCTAAACACCGAACCTATGCCAATATATGCACAATATGCCAATATATTATAATAATCATTTATATTCGAGAAAATTCCCGTTTTTAAAGAACAGCATGTACAAATTTATGAACGCGTTTGCAGGGTCGACCACTGGATGTAATGGACTTGAGTCGAGGACGGGTTGTTGAGAAAATGAAGGTTGTAACATCAACAAATATAGAATTGCCTTCGGGTGTCGACTGGCATTTGACAGATCATTGATGTAAATAATACAAAGGAGTGGACCAAGTACGCTACCCTGAGGAACGCCAGTGTTATTTGGCAGAGTAAGAGAAGTAGCATTATTTATAAAAACATACTGGAGCCTTTCACTGACGTAAAATCACAAGTGTTTGAGGGAGTGACCCCTTGTCGCCACAGTGTTGTGGTTTGAGAAGGTTATTATGGTAAACGGTGTTGAAAGCCTCACGCGAGTCAACACATAAACCCACGGAGTCTGACGTTCTTGACAGCTCTTGACATTTTTGTCAAGAGCTGCATGTACAAAGTCAAGCATATGGGGTCTAAAGCTATGTTGGCAAGAGCTAAATATATTGCTAAGCTAGGTAAGAGTAAAGCCGGGTGTAGTATTAGTTTTCAAATATTTGAAACGTATATATATAGCCATTGGACTTTATTACAAAAATAAGTTCTTCTGATCTCATTTTATAGTATTATAATTATGATATACATTTGAGTAAAGACTTCGACATAATTAACGCTGCAGCGTCAAAATAATGTCTTTCCTTTGACAGCTTTGGGATTACAACGGAAACAGAATTAAACATGTATATATTTTTAGGCAAGACCTAAACTTTATTAAACTTGATATATTTAATTATGAAGGCATGATCCGTTTTGCATATAAATGTTCAAGCTCCTGTACATTGCAGGTACTGAGGCTTGCATCAAGGAAATTCAGGGACCCCCTGACTTGTATTCAGGTATTAATTAATAATTAATTGTATCATTAAGTTATTCTTTTCAATTAGGGATAATGGTATTTTAAATCTTTACTTCTCAATTAGTAATTTGGTATATTTCCTCCTAGAATTTATATTATAATAATTAATATAATTTAATTTTAATTTTATCTAATATAATTTAATTTTTAGATGAAAGGCGAACAGAGATGTTGCCTTAATGAAACCACCATAGATATTAAATTAGGTCTACAATTTACAATTTAGGTCTTGTTTCTAAATTATGTCTACAATTTATCCTAAAGGATGTTACATAAACCGACGTTCTATAGAACTAAGGACAATTTATTTTTTTGGCCCACACACATACACACAGATGGAATGCATTAGGCAGTGATGTGGTGGAGGCTGACTCCATACACTGTTTCAAATGTAGATTTGATAGAGCTCAATTACGCTCCAGAATCTGTATACCAGTTGGTTGGCATTTGAGAGGCGGGACCAATGAGCCAAAGCTCAACCCTCCGCAAGCACAACTAGGTGAGTACACACACACACACACACACACACACACACACACACACACACACACACACACACACACACACACACACACACACACACACACACACACACACACGCGCACACACACACACACACACACACACAACACTACGTCTCAGCCTGGTAGTATTTATGTACAATATATTTGGAAGGCGTTGAAGGTCACAAGGCTGGTGTTGACAGGTTGGTCTTGTTGAAAGTTGGACGTTAAATTGGACGTTACTGGTGGTTACAGTCCGCCCCCTGGTAAGTCCCTCTCAGCTTCTCCAGTGGCACGCCAACTCTCTCCAGTTCCTTCTGGCAGTTGGCGATCTGCAAGAGATGCTAGAACTTAGAAAAGAACGAAATTTATGTGTACCTCTGGTATTAGTGTCGGGATGATATCCACTCCCAGATCCTCTCTCTGATTCCTGTAGCTGCCTTTCCCTTATGATGCAGGTGCCTTCTGGTCTCTTCTCTCCCTTCCGCATATCTATTACCGTACACTTGTAGGGCTTGAATTCCAGCAACCGTCCGTTTGACCTTTTCTGGAGTTTATCAAGGTCCTCCTGTAACTTTCTGCAGTTCTCATCTGTCTTATCGTTCCTTATCAACTTTGTATCAGCTAGAAACATCGACACATCAAACTTACTCCGTCGGGTAGGTCGTTCATATACGTTAGGGACAGCAGTGGTTCCAGGACAGAGCCTTGTGGGACCCTGTGTGTGTGTGTGTGTGTGTGTGTGTGTGTGTGTGTGTGTGTGTGTGTGTGTGTGTGTGTGTGTGTGTGTGTGTGTGTGTGTGTGTGTGTGTGTGGTGCTGGAGTGCTGGAGTTGCAGTCTTCACTTGTATTTCTTCAAATAATATACAAAATATGGATCTAAATTAATTGTGAGCGCTTACCTCTTGTTTCTTTAGTGTGGACGTTCTTGAGAGGATCCAGGCGAAGATGGCCTTGTGACTGCCTTGGAAGTTGTAGCAGGTGAAGAGGCAGCAGTAGGTGGTGTAGTCAGTGTTCAGGACCACCATCTCCGCGTCGAAGGCTGCAACACCAGGCAGGTTAGGTAGGTGATAGTGGTGTCAGGGTGGTAGGTGATAGTGGTATCAGGGTGGTAGGTGATAGTGGTGTCAGGGTGGTAGGTGATAGTGGTGTCAGGGTGGTAGATGATAGTGGTGTCAGGGTGGTAGATGATAGTGGTGTCAGGGTGGTAGGTGATAGTGGTGTCAGGGTGGTAGGTGATAGTGGTGTCAGGGTGGTAGGTGATAGTGGTGTCAGGGTGGTAGGTGATAGTGGTGTCAGGGTGGTAGGTGATAGTGGTGTCAGGGTGGTAGGTGATAGTGGTGTCAGGGTGGTAGGTGATAGTGGTGTCAGGGTGGTAGGTGATAGTGGTGTAAGGGTGGTAGGTACTCACCTTAATTGTACTCGTCTAATTGTGCTTGACGGGGTTGAGCTTCGGCTCTTTGGTCCCGGTTTTCAACTCTCAATCAACTGGTGTACAGGTTCCTGAGCCTGTTTGGCTCTTTCGTATCTAGATTTGAAACTGTGTATGGAGGTCTGCCTTCACCACATCACTGTCTAGTGCATTCCATTTGTTAACTACTTTGACACTGAAAACATTTGTTGTTATATCTCTGTGGCTCATTTGAGTACTCAGTTTCCACTTGTGTCCCCTTAAATAATAATGTCTTTATCTCCCCTTTAAATTCCCCGAGTATTTTGTATGTGGCGATAATGTCTCCCCTAACTCTTCTGTCTTCCAGCGACGTGAGGTGCAATTCATGCCTCCTTTCCTCGTGATTAAAGTCAATATCGACTTATTAAATAAGTGCATAGGTGACATACTAAACATCATAGATACCCTTAAAAATCTTCATAGAAAACACCGACCTTACCTAACCTTGTTAGTATCTTAAGATAAGCATCTTATAGCTTCGTAATTACAATTGTTACTTAACCTATTATAGGTATAGGTTAAGTAATAATTGTAATTACGAAGCAATAAGATGCTTATCTTAACATACTAACAAGGTTAGGTAAGGTCGGTGTTTTCTATGAAGCTTTTTAAGGGTATCTATTATGTTTAGTATATCACCTATGCACGTAGTTAATAAGTCAATATTGACTATACGAATTTGCGAGAACGGGTTGCGTAAATCATATACCGCGCAGTTCTGGAACTAGTCTAGTGGCATACCTTTGAACCTTCTCCAACTTCGTCTTGTGCTTGACAAGATATGGACTACATGTTGGAACCGCATATTTCATATGTTGTGCACAAGGTTCTAAATAATTTTTTGCAAAAAACATCTAATGGCAGTTCTGATGTTAGTCAGCCTCGAATATGCCACTGAGGTTATCCTTTATATGTGGGCTTCAGGACAGGTTCTATGCGATACCATCTCCTGGGTATACGTCTCTCTCTCTCTCTCTCTCTCTCTCTCTCTCTCTCTCTCTCTCTCTCTCTCTCTCTCTCTCTCTCTCTCTCTCTCTCTCTCTCTCTCTCTCTCTCTCTCTCTCTCTCTCTCTCTCTCTCTCTCTCTTCTCTCTCTCTCTCTCTCTCTCTCTCTCTCTCTCTCTCTCTCTCTCTCTCTCTCTCTCTCTCTCTCTCTCTCTCTCTCTCTCTCTCTCTCTCTCTCTCTCTCTCTCTCTCTCTCTCTCTCTCTCTCTTCTCTCTCTCTCTCTCTCTCTCTCTCTCTCTCTCTCTCTCTCTCTCTCTCTCTCTCTCTCTCTCTCTCTCTCTCTCTCTCTCTCTCTCTCTCTCTCTCTCTCTCTCTCTCTCTCTCTCTCTCTCTCTCTCTCTCTCTCTCTCTCTCTCTCTCTCTCTCTGTGTGTGTGTGTGTGTGTGTGTGTGTGTGTGTGTGTGTGTGTGTGTGTGTGTGTGTGTGTGTCTACCAAACGTATAATTCTGTGGCAGCCTTACTTCTAACTCTGGTGGAGAACTTGGCCATGCCAGGAGTGTCTGCGAGGAGGGTGATGTTCTGCTTCACGGGCTTCCCTGCCCTGTCTAGTCCACTGGAGTTCACGATGTAGCCCGCGTCTGTAACACACGAACACTACTCATTACTCGGCTCAACATATTATATTATATTGTGTTGTTATTACTAGCACTATGCTGGGGCTACGTTACTGCTGGGGTTACGTAACTGCTGGGGTTACGTTACTGCTGGGGTTCTGTTTACGAACATGTACATCTTTTCTAAATATTTTGGCGGCTTTGTTTACATTCACTAGAGTTTGAGCTGCGAAGCACCACGAGGCTCCTTATAGCAATAAAATCATTTGACTGGGCAGTTTGGATGCCCTTGAACTGTTTAATTGATATTTCTTATATACATCAATAATGTGCTAAATGTCTTTAATGTCCTTAAGCCCATACTATTTGCTGACGATACTACTTTTATCTATTCAAACTCCACGCAAAGTAATGCTGTAAATAACGAATTAAATAAAAAGTCCACGAATGGATTTCAACCAATAAAATCACACTAAACATAGTAAAGATCCACCACATGTTATTTGGAAGTAAACCAACAAACCAAATTCACCTTTAGGTAAACTATGTTAACCTTAACATTAAAATTAATGGAAAGTCCCTTGGCCTATACATAGACAAGAGACTAAACTTCAGCACCCACATACAACACATAGCCAAACAAGTCTCAAAAACTGTCGGTATACTCTATGAAATCAGATATTAAATTCCCTAATCTGTTCCCCTCACGTTATACTACTCGCTAATCTATCCCTATCTTACATTCGGTATCTGGGCATGAGGCTAAACCGCTGCAAATCACGCTGCTATGCATTGACTAGTCACGGGCACGCTTAAAAATTGCAAGTCGAAAATGAACAAGAAGTGTCTAACAACATATTGCGTGAACGATTTTCCGAGTGGATAGTTTGAAGTAAGCGAGATCAGAATAAAGCAGGAGATCAGAAGAACGGACAGGAGCCTCACCTGTAGTGACGTAGTTATATACAGTGCAGTTAACGGAGCGCTCCTCGACGTTGGGCAGTCCGCCAATCCTGTACCACGTCCCTTTAAACTGCCGAATGGGATCAAGATTAGCACATTTTAGGTTGGGTTAGGAACAGGACAGTCAATCTTTAAGTAAACTGGAATAAAATGGGAGTTAGCTGTGTCTGCTAAACTCGCGTTTTCTAGCAGGCACCCGGATGGTCTTTATAAAATTGGAACACAATAATGGGCAACATGTGATTCCTTCAAAACGTGTGCCATTCTTAAAGTATACTGAGTATGATAAATAGTATCTAAGATAAAGAATACCATAATATAAAGTGATACCTAACAAAGTATGATATATATTGACTAGAAGGGGAATGGTCATGTCTGTACATGATCATTCAATTGATGTTGTCCTCCTTGATCACCTGGTGATCATATTATTTTAACTATGCATAATTCCCAGACGTTCCTTTCTGCTGTACGTACTGTACAGACCTCACTGACATTGAGCTGACCCAATCAGCTTCCTGAAGGACACTCTGAACTCCCCTCATAATGCAGCATACCTGTAAGCACATTATGTTTACGAGAGATCTCAAACAGTATCTCACACGGAGAGACTCTGAGAAAAGCCTAGCAATTTTCTAAGGGAAATTAGTTATGACCTTTCCTACTCATGTTTCAGGCTCTTCCTGAAATAATTACACTACGTGCCTGCAGGAACAATGCTTGATCATCAGACCACCAAGTTGTCTTCTCTACACTGGAAATCCCAATACATTAAGAAAACAATAAACTCGCACATCCTGGCTATGCGAACTAGCCAACCCTCATCTGAGAGCTAATCGTAACTAAATGGAATGCCTTGCCTGCCATGAGACGTCAATAATCAAGCAAATGCCTTCAACAATGACATACTGAAATACAAAACATTGCCACCTATACCACGGGGACACTCACCTGCTGCATGTTGAAGCCCTCGGCCAGCGTCACTACAGGGCACTGCCCTTTCAGCAGGAAGTGAGGAGACTCGGCGGCCTGGGAGGCGTGTGTCGTCCACACCACCAGCAGCAGCAGCACATGCCTGGGGGAGCGAGATTACACATAATTGGGGCTGGCGTCTGCATGGTGATCACGGTTCTAATGACAACAAAATTATTCAGAAGTAGCATTCTGTCCATATGGTACAAATCATATATAAATGACAAATCACATTAGCATGGGAATACTATTTCGTCCACCTAGGGCGTCGGAGAGGCAAACGCCAGCCTAGCATATGTACCGGACAATAACGTAGGAAATAGGTAGACCCACAGTAGGCATGTGGGTACGCGTGTGCCGATGTACCATACACAGATACATGTGTGTACGTGTGTACCACATGCAAATACATGTGTGTAAGTGTCCCATACAGACATAAATGTGTATACGCGTTGGTATATGTTGCACATAGGCAAGCACAGCAACAGCAGCAGCAGCGGGCGGCGTGAGGACATGAGGCTACTCAAGTCCCGCCACAAGTGTGTCAGCCTGTTTCTTCACTTAACCTCGATAATTTCTTCACTTTTACATTACTTCGCAATAACTGTTTACATTGGCGGCAGAATTTGCGCAGCTCAGATTTGGAGAACACTTGTTCGTCTGTTATTAAAATAACGATGCGCGGGTCTCCCCGGAAGTATAGGCCAGGCCAGAGTACAATGAAATCGGATCAAAAACCATATTCATAAATGGTTGATTACTTCTAATTACAAAGTTTCCATCAAAATTACAGTTCATTAATTATATCAGTCTCACAATAACAACATACCACATAGACACTGTCATTATCAGAATAAGAATCAAACTTTATTCCAAACAACTTATTATAATACTGGCGGGAATATACAGGCGGAGAGGAATCTAAATCTAACTTACATATCTGGTATAAAGTGAGTGACATTTAGATGACATTATGAAAGGTGATACATATTGCAGAAACAAAATTTGGTTTGACATTAGGTCGGTAAGACCTAATGTCAAACTCAATTTATATAATGTTTGCTCAATTTATATCAAAATTAGGATGATGAGAAGGCAATAAGAAGTAGAACTAATATAAACTAATCATACCATGAAGTTATAAAAATTTGCACACCCTCAGCAGTACAGACAGGCATCTGCCTAGATAACAAAAAGTGGTTTTCTTTATGGAACAAGTCAGAATTTTCCACAAAAGGAAGAACCGGCCATTGGTCAGCAACTACAGCAAGTGTTATTGTTGTCAATTAATGTCAAAATTAATGAAATAATATTCTTACAACAAATGACTGTCAATATAGTTTTCAGGAAACGTAGTTCTGCTACTGATCTCTTCCTGAACCTCTCAACTCTCTGACAACAGACATTGAAACACAAGTGATGTTGCAATGGGCCTTACAGGTAGGTGTCTTGGACCTTGAATGGCAACACTGATTACACGGTCAAGTTTCAATCAATAAGTATCTCGGACTCTGTTCTAGAGCTATTAAAGGACCACTTTCAAGAACTATTAAGAGTAGTCCTTATGGAGCAGAGAATGAAAGCCATGCAAGCCAGTATAGTAGTGTGCTTGGCCAGTTTTTATGAATGTCTGCTATAATAGCCTCGTCCCTCAAGGACAAGACCTTTGCCGGTGATAGCACTCTAACCTTTACACATACAAGATAGGAAATGCCAACTGTTATGAGGTTCAATAAAACCAAAAACAAAAAACAAGCATAAATGTCTGCCTTGGTTAGATGATGAAAGGATGCATTTGCTGCTGAGAAAACACAGGCGATGATGATGAAACACTGTGTTGATATATTTAATGTGTATAGGTGTTAGCGAAGACACAGACACATTGGTAACTAGACTACACATCATAAGATGGATGAACGACGACTTTTCAGTCCGTCCTGGACCATTATCAAGACTTACGACTTGACAATGGTCCAGGACGGACCGAAACGTCGTCGTTTCTCCATCTTCTGATGTTTGTTTTGGTCATCATATCTTCACCCATGTTATTGTGCCTCACCGTCACGAAAGACACAATAATGTCTGTCTCTGCGGGACGCGTCGTGATCTTGCCTGTGTTGTAAACAGAATTTCCAGGATTATCGAAAATAAATATCGAACTAAACCCTGCTGGGAGCTGGGCTGAGAAACGGTTCCTTTTCATGATGTCAGTGACTTCAGTGCGTCTGCTCACTGAAAGATTACTTTAATTTCAGTAGCAGTAATCCAGGGTAAGAGTGACGGTGTGTAGGAACAAAGAACATTTAAACCACCTTTTTGTACATATATAGATAAATATGTGTTATTGAATATGACCGAAAGGGTTACATCTAAGATTCTATCACGAATCTTTGCTGTGGAAAAAAGCACGAAGCTGTGAAAAATAATATGAGCTTGAGTAAAAGGTATGATAATTATAAAAAAAAAGTGCTAAGTCATTACGACTAAATAACATTTTGAAGGAATGAGGATAAGGATTTGGGATGGGACGGAGGGATGGAATGGTGCCCAACCACTTGGACGGTCGGGGATTGAACGCCGACCTGCAATAAGCGAGACCGTCACTCTACCGTTCAGTCCCAAAGGTTAGTAGACTGAGTAGAAGTGAGCGTTTCAAAACCTGCCGAGGCTCTCAGGAGGATTGGGTAAGGGACAGTATTGAGGCAAACACAGTCAACTGTCAACGAAAGGTCTTGAGTTGAAGACTGACATGAACTGCATAATATGTCTAAATGTCCAAGTTTAAAGTCAGACGCAATGACCTTTGTCTATTTAGCCTCCACTTTCGCCGATTAAAACAAAACAAAACACACAAGCGTAGAGGAAAATGACTCATCAAAACACCTTTTTTTTTGCCTGACGTAAGGAACCGGGTCTGAAAGATTAAACGGTATTATTACACAAAGAAATTTCACCCTGGAATTCCTTTGAGGATGAACTCAGCTAGAACTGTATCGTCAGAGATTCACAGCCTCACACACCATTTTAAGTGACACTACAAACCATTGTGACCATTACACGGCTTTTAGTGGGCCAGTCAGAGGCTTAGGGCGGCGCAGGAATATCCCGCCAAAGAAAAAAAAATATTACACGGCTTGATAATGGTCCAGGACGGACCGCAACGTCGGTGCGTCCTGGACCTCCTTCGTAATCGGGGCTTATCAAGAACGTAATAATCTTTGATATGAAGACCTTTACTATGATCAGGTCGTATTAGTGTAAGCTACATTACTTATCTTTCATCAATGTAGACTATGAGCTTATATCGTATATCAGTGTAGGCTATATGACTCTATTTTGCAGTCTGCGGCTGAATTTTGCTATGAGTAGGCTATGTGGCTATATCTTGCACCATTGTAAGTTATGTGGCTTTATCTTACGTTAGTGTTGGTTATATGGCTATATCTTACGTGTAGGTTGCGGTTATATCTTACATGAGAGTAGGCTATGTTAAATTAAATATTGTTATACAACCCACTTATGATTAAACGTTACTGAGAGATTAATGACACAGTAATAACAGATTTTGGTTAATAAGCCACCGGCTTGTTGTGCCTCATGGAAGCCACTAAAGATGAAGCCCGTCCTCTCGAGTTATCACATTGTCACGAGAAATAATGGACTAAATTGCCCGAACCTAACCTGACAGGGCCTACGCATAGAAAACGGAACAGCCTGTCAATTTAGCGAGCATCTATGTTTCATAATACATCGTATTTTGACATTGGGGGGACTTTTACGTCAAAATACGATCTATATTCGAGAGAGCAGGCCTTCATGCAAATTCAGATAATAAAATTGTTCGCCAACGGATTTTAAAGCTAACAAAATCTAACCTTGACTAAACTCTAGCGCAGTTAAATCTGCCGATATATACAAGGTTTAGGAGTTCGAAAACGAGCTATGAACGAGACATTTAAGTACCTGGGGCCAGATTCACGAAAGCACTTACGAACCTGTACCTCTTTTCTCAGTCTTTGGCGGCTTTGTTTCCAATTATTAAACAGTTAATGAGTTCCGAAGCACCAGGAGGCTGTTTATAACAATAACAACAGTTGAATGGGAAGTTTTCATGCTTGTAAACTGTTTAATAAATGTAACCAAAGCCGTAAAAGATTGAGGAAAGATGTACACGTTCGTTGTGCTTGCGTAAGTGCTTTCGGGAATCCTGGACCAGCTAACGGTAATTGAGATTTGGTAAATGACGATTAGTTACAATATGAAAAACTCACCAAGAAGGTATAGAGGCGGAGACCATGGTCGACACTCGGAGCAGCCACGTCCTCACCCAACCGGCACCACACACACATTGACGCTCGAGAATTCATGGAGCCAATGAAAGTGATACGAGACACAGGTGCCGATTTTTTTATATTTTAAATCACAGAACATGAACATCTAGTATTATTTTGCAGGATTTTTATTTCAGTAATCGTATAATTTTTATACGATTACTGAAATGTTATATCGATAAAATATTCAGATATTATTCATGTCATTTTCATTTTATCATTCACATGAGGCTACAGTATGTCTCAGTATTATTGTTTTATATCTCTTGTTAGTAGAGATCTCTACTAATATCTTTCGGTACCACTGCTTTTATTAGCACTACTACAATTTCTACTAATATTTTATTATTATTATTATTAATAATATCATTAACTATTATTAGCTAATAATAGTTATTACAACTATTACTACAATTATTATACCATATATACAATTATTACCACAAATACTTACTGTAAATAATAGTACCTTGTGGTAACAACTCTAACTGTTGACAAACATACTACAATGTCGTAAAGCTTGAATGAAGGTGAAGAAAAGACCCAATATATTATGTTTAAGCGTCCTTCACCTTCACTACTACTATAATGCTACCACTACTACCAGTAAATTACTACAAATAAAACAGGTAAACACAGAGGTAAACAAACAAGTTACCTAATGTTAATATAGAAATCAATAAGCATCATATCATTCCCGCCCGAAATGCAATGCGTATTAGTGACTTTACAAGAACGTAAACACAAAACATCAGTGCTATAAAGTCTCATAAACAAAATGTACCTTCTGTATATATATAAAAAATAAATACATAAAAATAAATAAATAAATATAAAATATATCAAGGATTATATTGATATAACTGAAAAAATACACATAAAGATACTGAAGGGAGCGTGTGTGTGTGGCCGAGGGATCAAGGCTGGCCGCTTCCAGGGAGCGGCGCGCTAAGTTGAGGATTCCTGGAAGTCTAAACCTGATCTAGAAAGGCGAAACTGGACCTCTCCAGTCGTAATGTGGGTGAGATGGGCCACACGCTCGCTGTGTACGTCTGCCTGACGTGGCCAGCCGGGTGTCTGCGTCCGTCTGACGAGACCAGCCGGGTGTGTGCGTCCACCTGACGTACCCAGCTGTGTGTGTGTGTATTCACCTAGTTGTGCTTGCGGGGGCTGGAGCTCTGCTCTTTCGGCTCGCCTCTCAACTGTCACTCAATTGTTACTAACTACTATTTTTTTCCCCACACCACACACACACCAGGAAGCAGCCCGTAACAGCTGACTAACTCCCAGGTACCTATTTACTGCTAGGTAACAGGGGCATCAGGGTGAAAGAAACTGCCCACTGTTTCTCGCCGGCGCCCGGAATCGAACCCGGGACCACAGGATCACGTGTGCAGCGTGCTGTCCGTTCAGCCACTGGCCCCTGACACACACATGTGTATTACACACACACACACACTCTCCCACTCAAGGGAGCCGGGTGGTCCCGGGTTCGATCCCGGGCGCCGGCGAGAAACGATGGGCAGAGTTTCTTTCACCCTGATACTCCTGTTACCTAGCAGTAAATAGGTACCTGGGAGTTAGTCAGCTGTCATGGGCTGCTTCCTGGGGTGTATGTGTGTGGTGTGGGGAAAAAAAAGTAGTAGCAGAAACAGTTGATTGACAGTTGAGAGGCGGGCTGAAAGAGCAGAGCTCAACCCCCGCTAGCATAACTAGGTGAATACACACACACACGCGTGTGTGTGGAGAGGGGGAACCTGCTGCATGGGTAACAGCTTCTCCTCCATATCGACCTACCCAGACTTTGAGCCCCTGAAAAGACACTTTTGCCTTGACAACCAGAGCGCAAGTCCATAGTTGCGCTCAGGTTGTTAATAATATTAATAATACAATTACTAATAATAATACAATTAGTATGTACTATATGCATTCTAAAAAAAAAAAGTATGCTACTTATACTGCGTCACGTGACCCACAGACGGCCAAACTTAATTATAGAAAAACTGGGCGGTTCACCTTCAAGATGGCGATGGGACCCACTCGCCCGGAACATTTAGATAAGCCGCGATACGACGCCGCCGGCGGCGAGTGCCTCGAGACACTGACAGTGCCTCCTGTCTGCCGAGTGAGAGTGAGTGTCCTGTGCTTCGGGAGCCGCACTGACAATGTATTCTGCCTGCTGAGTGACAGTGACAGTGACTGTGACGGTGACGGTGACGGGGCCCTGAGGACAGCCGCTCTCCAAGCGCTGCTGGTCGGAGTGGGGTCTAAGACCTGAGAAAAAGTATGTACCCGTCTACGCCATCGCTACTTTTTTTTTTAATCAAACTTAACCTAACCTAACCTATTCCATCTTACTCTAAGCTAACCTAAATCGACCTAACGTATCCTAACCTGACCAAAGAGGTTTGGGTAGGTTAGCATAGGCTAGAAGTCTGAGATTAGATTGTTACTAATGTGGTGTTTGTGTGTTACTGAGGAAGTCTTGGTTGTAGGGTTGATGTAAAGTCATGACTTGGTTACTGACTTTAATACTTAATATGATTACATGACTAGTAGCTACCAAGCTTGGCGGGCGTCCTGTACTGCTCTATTGTTTACCTCCCTCTCTCTCTCTTGGCGTCTCAGCCGCCGCACATAGAAAACGGATGGTACCATTTTCTGTGAACATGACATCCCTCCTTTTCTTTAAAAAGAATGAATACAGGATGTCTACCATGCTTGTAGCACAAAGCAAAGTTATTGACACAAAGTAAGTTATTACCATATCAAGAGATACTGCATACATTTAACATTAATTAAGCACACAAAGAATTTAAACAACTTAATCTTTTCCACAAAGGATTTCAATGTTAAAAATACATATGCAATGTTAAACAAACATGAAAGAAACTGTAATACAAAGTTACAAAATATTGAATGAGATATCTGCATTATTCAAACAATATTAAATTTAGTTCAGCATGACAAGTAAATATCTTGCATTACATAGGAACACAATTAATCATCAAATCGTGTAGGGCGTTTAACATGACGTTTAGGACGAGAGTCCTTAAATGCAATAACATCCCTTGATGAATTGTTTGTCGGGTTATAACTATTTTTTTCTTTTTCTTTTGCACGACTTTGCACTTCATCATTTTCTACACTAGTTGGAATCACTTTGAAATAAGCCATATTACGTGTTATACTATGATCTCTATTACTAGCTGTTACCATAGTTCCTTTTACACTAATCACTTTATATGGTTTTGTATCATACGGCATATCTAACTTTCCCTCTTTTTTCTTTTTAACGAGAACAGTGTCTCCAACCTTTATGAACTGTTCCTTTGCACGTTGATCATGAGCAATTTTCATTTTGCCCTTGGCTAGTGCATCCTTCTGAGCGAGACGTTTATCCGTTACCTCGGCTGGCATGACGGGTAGTGCGATTCTCATAGGACGTCCAAATAAAAGTTCGCCAGGCGACTTGCCCAGTGTTCCATGTGGTGTTGCACGGTAGTTCCTGAGAAAAGCATACATAGCTTGTTTCCAGGATCGTCCTTCGGCATGAGCACAGCGTACCGCTTTCATGAGAGGTTGCATGAATCTCTCAACTTCTCCATTTGCTTGGGGATGTAGTGGCATCACACGGCGGTGTTTGAATCCAATATGCTCAGCAAAGTTGACAAAGTCTTGTCCATTGAATGGCGGTCCATTGTCCGTCTTGACAACTTCAGGAATGCCAAAGTTTGAAAAGATCTTGTCAAGTTTCGGGATGACGGCCTTTGCAGATGTGGAATTGATGATTTCTACTTCTGGATAACGTGAGTGATCATCAATGACTACCATCAAGTACTCTCCAGTTGGTAGTGGTCCGCAGAAGTCCATTGATACTTCCGTCCATGGTGCAGCAGGTAGTGGTGAAGGTTGTAGAGGTGTTGGTCTTGAAGTATCCACTGCAGCTTGGCAAGGGACACAGGCATCATGCATATCCTTTGCTTGACGATCAATGCCAGGAAACCACACCTTTTCTCGTAGCAGCTGTTTCGTCCTAACAAGACCTTGGTGTCCTTGATGTGCAAGCTTCAGAGCACGTTGCTGGAGAACAGCTGGAATCACGATACGAGTACCTCGCAGCACAGTGTCGCGTTGTTGCGTAACACTTAATTCTGTCTGGATGCGTTCAAGTGCTTTGAATGCATCTTGGTCAACTCCTGAGGGTGGGATGCGTGGAAACTTTTTCTTAGTCAATGCATCCACTGTTGCTTGCAGAGTTGGGTCCTCTAGGGTTGCAGTACGGATTTCATCAAGAGTAAGAGCCTTAGGGACTGCATCACAGGTTACAGAGTGTACATATTCCTCGGCAACTTGCTGATGCTTGGTGATGGTGAAACTGTTGGCAGGATGTCGACTGATGTAATCAGCGGGATTGCCTGCACCCGGCTTGTATTTCACCGTAAAGTTGTATGGTTGCAGACGAAGAGCCCATCTCTCAATGCGAGCTGGTGGTTTGGACTTTGGATTATTGAAGATGGTCTCCAACGGTTTGTGGTCAGTGACTATCGTGGTGAAGGGTGCACCAAGCAGATACACATTGAAGTGTTCACAGCCCCATACAAGAGCAAGAGCTTCCTTCTCTGTCTGACTGTATCGTTGCTCAACATCTGTGAGAGAACGGCTGGCGTAGGCAATTACTACTCTGGAATCTGGTTGACCAGGTTTGTGTTGGGCTAAAACAGCACCTAAACCAACAGGACTAGCATCCACCGTTAACTCAGTGTCCATTGATGGATCAAAGTATGCAGCAGTCGCATTCTCTACTAGTGCATCTTTCACAGCATCAAATGCATTTTGCTCGATATCGCTCCAGTACCATGATGCATTTTTCTTCAGGAGCTCACGTAGAGGCTTCGTAATGGTAGCAAAATCTGGAATGAAGCGAGAACAGTAGTTTGCCATTCCCAGAAAACTATGTACTTCAGTGGACGTTGAAGGAGGTGCAGCATTCTTGATATCTGCAACTTTCTTAGGATCTGGAGACAGACCTTTGTCACTAAGTACATGTCCAAAGAATTCAATTTTATGTTGATTGAACTCACACTTTGCTCGGCTTAACGTCAAATTCTTTTCTCGTAAGCGTTGCAATGTTGCACGAAGAGCTTTGTCGTGTTCAGCTTGGGTACGGCCATAAACAATGATGTCATCAGACATGTTGTCAGCATTAGGTATGTCTTGCAATACCTGGCTGATGATGTGCTGGAATACCTCGGCAGCACTGTTAATACCAAAACTCAGGCGCTTGTACCTATACAGACCTCGATGTGTCGTAAACGTTGTGATGAAGCGACTCTCATCATCAAGTTCAAGCTGATGATAGCCCTTGTTTAAATCTAACTTGCTGAATACAGTTGCACCATTCAAGCGGTAGATCATATCATCTACAGTCGGTGTAGGATGGCGTTCACGCATTATTGCCTTGTTGGGAACACGCATGTCCACACAAATGCGTATCTCATCTGGATTCTTCGGCTTTGGTGGAGTGACAATTGGGCTTACCCATGGTGTTGGGCCTGTTACTGGTTCAATGATATCTAGTTCTATCAGCCTATCCAGTTCAGCATCGACTTTCTTGCGAGTATGGAATGGTTGTCGGCGATGTGGTTGGGCAACTGGAATTACATCTGGGTTGATATGCAGATGTACTTTGCTATCAGTATAACAACCTATGGATTTAAATCGATCAGAAAATTCAGCAACAATACCATCAACATTGTTTGCAGATTCCACTGCTACAGCATTAGAAAGCTGAAGTAGCCCCAATTTGGTTGAAGTCTTGTAACTGAGTAAAGACTCCTTTGCATTCCTAACAACATGGAATGTAGTAATGAGCATTGCATTCTTTGACTTAATCTCTGCAGTGAAAGTTCCAATCACTGGCAAGGCTACCTTTGAAGCATAGGCAGTGGCTTTGCCATTATAGTTTTCAAGCTTTGGGAACTGTTTTTTAAATTTTTCATAGTGGCACTCAGCAATGGTGTCAATGTTTGATCCAGTGTCAATGAGAACCTTGAGACAAATACCAGCAATGTATACACATGTCTCTGGGTTGTTTGGAAGATCATTCCATTCTGTGATTGCTTGTACTCCATAAGTATAATCACATTCACTGTCATCTGAGACTGGTTGTAATGAAATGTTGTCTTGTACATTGTTAACATTCTTGATTTGAGGTGCAATATTGTGTTTACCACCTCGACCCCTATGACCTGATCCTCGTACAGTGCTTTTATTCATTGACTGTGGTTTCTTTAGTGCGGAACGACACATAGCACCAAAATGACCTAGTTTTCCACACTCATAGCACTTCTTACCTTGAGCAGGACAAACATTATCTTGGTGTGGGTAGTCTCCTCCACAATTGTAACATTTATTGTTGACACCCTCTGATGTGGGTCGTTGTGACTGCTTGAGCCTTGTTCCTTGACCCCAGTTGTGACGTGGTTCTCGGCTAAATTTACTGTTAGGTTTGCCATGATATCTTCTTTGATCACGGTGTCCTCCCTGAACCTTACATACCTCATCACTGTTAGTAACAGTGGCAGCACCGTTATTGGCACTGCACTCCATGACACGAGCATCACGTGCAGCATCTTCCATTCGACGAGCCATATCCAGTATCTTGGTAAGAGAACTTTCATCATCAACAAGTTCTAGAGCTCTTCGACGAAGACGTGTAGATGTGCATGTTTCAATTATTTGCTGTTTGATTTCTTTGTCAACATCAGCAAACTCACAATGGGCTGCTAAACCCTGCAGACGTGTGTGGTATTGATCCACAGTTTCATTAGAGAGTTGTTTTGCTCTCCTGAAATGCATAATTTCCATTGCAGTATTTTGCCTTGGTTTGAAATGCTCTGTTAGTTTGGCTTTGGCAGTGTCATAATCTTTGGCACCACCAGTGTCTTTCAGTGTGTCAAAGATGTCACAAACTCTATCACCTGCATAATGAAGTAGAAAGGCACGCTTTCTTTCAGCACTTTTGATGTCAGAAACTATCAACAAATTTTCAAACTTTTTAAGCCATTTGACCCACCTCTGTGACAGGTTTGTCTGGTCACAGTCAGGATCAAATGCAGGAAACTGAGGTATATTTGCCATTTTTTACTGAATAAATGTAAACTTATCACTTAAATGTTCCTCAGAATATTAAACACTTACTGCACTGTATATGTTAGTCAAGAATTCACTGTAATTACTTTAATTTTGCAAAGCACACAAGCATTTTAATGCAAAAGTTCACAACAGTGCACAATATAGCAGCAACTGACTTCTTACCTAGCCCTTGTGTACATGTGTTGTTCCTACTCACAGCAGCACAGCAGTTGGTACAGCAGTTGGTACAGCAGTTGGTACAGCAGTTGGTACAGCAGTTGGTACAGCAGTCAGTTCAGTGTGATGAATTTTGTAGCACGAAGCGTCGTTTCGTAACCAAAACATCAGGTTTTGTACACATCAAAGCGTCGTTTCGTACACAACGTCGGCAGATTCCTCAGTACTGTTTCTTCAGCACAGCTTGGGTAGCACACAGCTTGGGTAGCACACAGCATTGGTTAGCACACAGCATCGTTTAGCACACAGCATTGGTTAGCACACAGCATCGGTTAGCATACAGCATCGGGTATGGCGCTCACAGCTTCTCTTCCTCCTCCAGGCAGCATGCTTCTCCCTTGTGTTTGAAACTGAACAAATACCTGCGTTCACAGTTCATCCTCGTCGCCAATGTGGTGTTTGTGTGTTACTGAGGAAGTCTTGGTTGTAGGGTTGATGTAAAGTCATGACTTGGTTACTGACTTTAATACTTAATATGATTACATGACTAGTAGCTACCAAGCTTGGCGGGCGTCCTGTATGCTCTATTGTTTACCTCCCTCTCTCTGGCGTCTCAGCCGCCGCACATAGAAAACGGATGGTACCATTTTCTGTGAACATGACAGTCGCTGACACAGGTCCTGGGGCTGACACAGGTCCTGGGGCTGACACAGGTCCTGGGGCTGACACAGGTCCTGGGGCTGACACAGGTCCTGGGGCTGACACAGGTCCTGGGGCTGACACAGGTCCTGGGGCTGACACAGATCCTGGGGCTGACAGAGGGTGGGGCTGGCGAGTGAGGTTGTGGGCCAGCAATGTGTCGGTGGAGCCGGTGTTGTTCGTCTGCAACCTGTGCTCTCAGATATCGTATGTGTCCTCTCAGGACCTTATGGTGGAAAAAGCCTGTAAGGTTAGTGAAGACGTGCTTCGTCGAACATAATTCTCACCATATTCAACCAAAACATATTGTGTTCAATATATATATATATTAAATATATGAATATATTATTGTATATTGCATGTTTTGAGAGGTCTACGACAGTGGAACCGTCAATGTGCGCACAGGTGAACTTCGGACTGAGTGAAGACGTCTGCGGGAGCCTGAAGGAACATGATGACTCTCAGAAAGCCGTCCAGGACTTGGTTTCCAGCTTCCTAATGTACCGGTCCATCTTCGAGACGGCTATCCAGGTATGGACAGGCGAAAAGTCACAACTGGAAGGTTTTTTAAGTCGTGAGTTGATAGAGCGGGAGAGATATAATGAATTAATTCCTGGCAAGGTAGATATATATGATACGGATATGTGAGGTATATTACTTCTTACCCTCCTCCTCCTCCTCCTCCTCCTTCTTCTTCTCCTCCTCCTCCTCCTCCTCCTCCTCCTCCTCCTCCTTCTTCTTCGATCAATAGGTGTCCTTTAAATCTATTCTTCTTATATTTTAACGTGACATAATTTAGTGTTAGCTGGATAACATAAAGAAAAAACAAGCGTGTTTTCAAAATATTTAATTAACTAAATGAACAAATCCATAAGGGCCGTGCTGAAGATTCGAATCTACGTCCGAAAGGATCCCAGACGCACCTTAATCGACTGTACCACGACATGGTTAAAAGAATTGCAACCGGGAGTTCAATTGACCTTACACGGATCCTGCAGTCTAGCCGAGACATAATTCTTCTTTATTGAACTCCCGGTTGCAATTCTTTTAACAATGTCGTGGTACAGTCGATTAAGGTGCGTCTGGGATCCTCTCGGACGTAGATTCGAACCCTCATCACGGCCCTTGTGGATTTGTTCATTTGATGCATCACGCTATTGTGATTTCAGTGTTTAATTAATTAGCTTTTCATTCCGCACAATAACGCCGTGGGTCAAAAATGTTGATCACGCTGCATGTCGCAGCCTAGGAATTATGGCACTACCAGAGATAACTGACTGACCTGCAAGACTATTTTAGCATTGAATATAGCTTTAAACTGAGAGGAATTCCTGTTGAATATACAATATATACCAAGCAGTTTGGCGTGACAGAGAGGCCGTTAGAAATACCCTGAAGGTAATCTATCACTTTTGTGATGTATCTTTACTATCTCAATAAATTTGCATGAGCTTGGAGAGAGGTAACATCGGGGTGACCACCCTACAGGTAGTGTGGGTGCTGGTGCTGGGGTCGTGGAGCGACCGGTGGGGCCGCCGCATGCCCTTGATGTTCTCACTGGCCTGCCTGCTCCTGGAGTCAGCAGTCTACCTAATTATAAGTCTCTGCCCTTCGTGTCGCATGGAGGTGATTCTCATTGGGTCTCTGCCGTATTCCCTCAGTGGTGGGACTCACGGCCTCCTCATGCTCTGCTTCGCGCACCTCGCGGATCTCTCCAAGCCACGTTAGTGAATCGCTCTGTCTCGTTAGCGCAATCTTGTCGCGGGTGACTCTCATGTTGTGTTCCTGACGGTGTTGTGACGCGAGGGGTTTGTTTAGAGGCTGGTGAAAACGGGTGGAGTGTGTATTCACTCCACTACGGGCTCACCATAGCCCGTGCTACTTGGATCTTTTAGTTCCAGGTAGCGAATCTTTGACAACAACAAACAACGGGTGGAGTGTAAACTGAGTGAAAGTGGAAAAATAAGGGCATGGAGGGAATTATTTTTTGGATGATATTGTAATGTGTAAGGCGGTCTTGCACTGGTTACTGGACTGTGACATTTGGGAGTGAGTTTGTGCATGATCATGTGTTCTGTGGTGAATAAGTTTGTACATGTCACGTTGGTACATGATGGGTGAGTTTGTATATGACACCTTGCATTATAGCAGGCAAATCTATTTACATATGTCCGTGCTGTGTATGTGTGTAATTACGCATTATACTGAGTGGTGGTATAATGTATACTGAGAAGTACATTATAATATGCACGATCGTGGCCAGGTAGACGTACGACCCGCATGGGGTTCCTGGACGCAGCCTACTACCTCGGGGCGCCCGTAGGAACGGCGTTAGTGGGTCCGCTCCTGGACGCTGGGGGCTACGTGGCGGCCTTCCCGGCTGTCATCGCTATCTACGGCGTCTGCATCCTCTACGTCGCTGTCAGAATACATCGTCCACAACAAAGCACTTCACAGGTAATGCTACTGTATTGTATGCTATTGTATTTAGCTAAATAATGCTACGGAAGGAACCTTTCTGGTGAGTTGCAAATTGTTTTAGAGATGTTGACCAGACCACACACTAGAAAGTGGAGGGACGACGACGTTTCGGTCCGTCCTGGACCATTCTCAAGTCGATTCATTGATTTAGAGATCATAAAATCATAAAAGCATATAGAATAAATTAAATATCGTGATAAAGCGTAAAGTTTGTGTGTTTATACAGCACATATAATGGACATGAGAAGAGAACAGAAGTTGGGATAGATAGACGGTGGAAAGGAGCGGTGTCCTAGTCACCTAGATCATAGGGGATCGAACGCCGATCTTCTTCCTGCAAGAAGGAAATCTTTGCTCTGCTGACCAAACCAAGTGATTTTGCCTTTACTTGCCACTGTTCTGTATGCTAAACACCATAACCTGACAGCTGGGGCTGAAATTAGACTCTTAATTACTTGTTTATGGACGTCAGTAAAAAATAATTAGGCTGTGTATAATGTGTATATATATATATATATATATATATATATATATATATATATATATATATATATATATATATATATATATATATAAATCGGTGAAGTAAATATACATGCACCTAGCCAAAGGTGAAGAGTTTCTAGCCAAAACAGCAAGCCTTAGAGCTCACAAAAAAGGTGCAAAAGCACTGCATAAGAACAATCTCAGCACTCCAGGAAATATCTGGTGTGTGTTCACTGTGTCACAGCTCCAGTACCAGTACCAGATGAGCTCGGCGTGTTAGTGTCTGGTACAAGACTGTACCACCAATCTCTTTACTCACCCATCCCGTTGTACCTTGTATATGTATAAATAGCGGTAATAACTTAATAATGATAGTATTAATACACATAAACATATTTCCTATTTTCTTGCAGCTGAAGATGAGGTCATTGCAGTCTTTAATATTCCCAACAGTAGTCCATGTGGATCTGTACCTTTATCCATCAAATGAATCACCTGCTATACTGGGATTGAGTAATCCACGATTACCTCAGTAAATCCAAAGATGACAGCATTAATCCCATTCTCCGTCTTAGTGTAATTACTTGCAGGTGATCACACGAGTACAGGAGACAGTCTACTGGACTAGTCAATCCCCCTCACTACCCTATTGTGAGTGGATTTGCAATGAAAATATTTTCTAGGAAACAAGACATGAGAAAAAAAGTTCCATCAATTTTAAATTTCCCAGATAACCTCTTTTTGGATATTATTTTTTCATGGATATTCCTGTGCGAGCCCTAAGCCTCTGGCTGACCCACTTTAGTGTTACTTGTTTCAGTCTTACTTAAGCAGTGTGTATTAATGACTCGTATGTTGGCTTCGCTAAATTCAAGTTCAAGTACATTTACTGAGACAATAAAATGCATCTCAAAGGGATAGAGTAACTTAGGCTATTTCTAGTCTCCGTTCAGTTAGATTTAATATATTTAACTACATTTTCTGTTCTGTTAAATCTCAGTTAAAATCCTTATTTGGTTATTATCTTACATGGCGCTGTGTTAGATAATGTTCCAGTGGTCTGTCGGTGTTGGCCATTGACCTCCACACAACATGTACTCAGATTCTTCCTCAGATGTCATTAGTTGGAGTTAAAAAATATCGAAGAAATACTTGATTTGTCCCTAGTGTTTCTATTACCTATAACATGCCAGTAAAAAATTACTAAATAAATATTTGATGCCGATATGATCACTTGGCCACGTTGATAGAAACAGATTTAACGATCGTGAGTTTGAAGCTCTAATGACCTTGTTTCAACAGGAGCCGTCCGGATGTGCGACAACGGTGCGCGAAGCCGGACGACTGTGCACGACGGCCTGCGACGTGGCGCAGCTCTACGATGCTGTGCACGTCACCGTCCAGCCTCGTCCACAGCGCGCCACTGCGCACATTCTTCTTCTCATCCTGGCTATGATGTGCGACTCTCTGCCTATCTGGGGTCAGTGGAGCGTGATTCATCATAATCATCGCATCATGCTTATCATATCTTGCCTGTCTGGGGTCAATGGAGCATCATCGCTCATCAATGCGTAGTGCTGCGTGACCATTCACTGATAAGGCGACTGTTGTCACCCTATAAAACCTGACGATAGTCTACCTCAGGTACCTAGACAAATTATCAACAATTATGTAGTGCTCGACCTGCATCCGGCAACTGTTGCCACCTGTAAATTAAAGAGGTCCTGTAGGGTCCGTATATAAGCTGTAGCCGACTAGAAGGAACACGGGAGACATCTCCCGTCACGCAGGGTGCAGTCGCACCTCCACAGATCTCCAGTATCAGCTCTTGATACTGGTAATGGCTCAAAAGGGCCACCACTTACGGGTATTCATGCCCGTGCCACCTTTTGGGTGGCTTAATCTTCATCAATCAATCAATCAATCAGAAGGAACACGGGAGACATCTCCCGTCACGCAGGGTGCAGTCGCACCTCCACAGATCTCCAGTATCAGCTCTTGATACTGGTAATGGCTCAAAAGGGCCTCCACTTACGGGTATTCATGCCCGTGCCACCTTTTGGGTGGCTTAATCTCCATCAATCAATCAATCAGAAGGAACGCGAGTAAGCTAAGTATCATATCAGAGCTAGATAACTGATGAAGAAACTTAGAAGTACCGTGTGTAAGCTGATACACCCTAGCACGCGGGTGAATAAGCTGAGATAGGTTTGAAGGACTACATCTCTCCTAAAGCACCCTACGGGATGGTTAGTCATACAGGGGAATGTGATCGGTAGCCTACACTGGCAAACTTTGTTATACATTATTAGGATATCTTCAAGAACACTTGAGTGAAGAAGGTAACTTTAAAGCTCTATATAGGTACCTCAAACCGACAGATCTTAAGTGTCTAATAACTGAGTATTCAATAATGTAAGGTAATCATCAGGAGAAAGCATTTAACCATAAGATCGTGAGATCACGACCCAGTTCCTGCTCACAGAGAATACACGAGTACTCAAGAATAGGGAGAGTCGTCACTTGGGGAGGAGGAAGAAGAGAGAACATTAAAATGTACACAACTATACTATTCCCCAATTGCTAGTTTCAACACCCGGAATACACTGAATAACACTGTGGTTGGAGATAAGCGCATACTGAATAAACTGATCTCGAACCACAAACTCCAGCCAACCGTATCCAGGTAATTACCCGTCTCACCACACACACAAATCTATACGCAAGAAGTCCTCAACTCTGCTGTCGACTCGTATACCAAAGCCAGGTCCAGACTCGAAACGTTTCAATCAATGTCCCCCACATGGGAAAACGATGTGCCGTTCTTCTGCAGTTTTCGTCACGGTAAAATTTAGTACAACAGTATATGCAACAACTAAAATACAACACAAATGCTTTATGCGGCCTAGCAGGTCCGAATCTAAGCTGAAACTGCCTAGCAGAGTGGAATGCAAACTGAAACAGCCTAGTGGGGCCATGGTAGGCAGAAGCAGCCTAGCAGGGCCGTGAGTAACTCCTGGTGATGATATATTTCAGGTGAGGCCAACGTGAAATACTTGTTCGTCCAGCGCGCCCTCGGCTGGGGCCACACCGAGTACAGTCGCTGGGGGACCTTCGCTTCCCTCTTCAGCGTGTGCGGTGAGTTTCTTCCCCTTTTGCAATCCCTCACTCTCTCACCTGGCAGAATCTCTCACTATCTCTTCATAGCAGAGTCCCTCACTCCTCTCTTCAAGGTAGACTCTTTCACCCCTCGCTGAGTCCCACACCTTCCCCTTGGTAGAGTGCCCTCACCGTCTCATCATTGGTCACTGTCGAGTCCCTCACTCCGGAAGTCCCTTCACCATCGTACCTCTCACCCTGGTAGTGCCCTTAACCCTCTTACTCTCTCATAAACAGTGATGGTGGTAGGGATTAGTAACAGTGATAGTGATGGTGGTAGGGATTAGTAACAGTGATAGTGATGGTGGTAGGGATTAGTAACAGTGATAGTGATGGTGGTAGTGGTTGCCAACAGTGATGGTGGCAGTGGTTCCGGTGCTGAGTGCTGTGGCGGGTGTGGCGGACGGCTGGATAGGTGTCGTGGGCGGGATCTCCAAGACCTGTGGCAGCGTAGTCTATGGTCTGGTCACCTCAACTAGCCTCACCTGGCTGATCTGGACAGGTAAGTGTCCTTCTCCACATGATTGACTCAAACATAAAAATAAAAATAGAGATTGATTGATTGGAAGATGTTTGGAGTGAATGTGATGTTTGGTCGTGTAACATCTTAGAGTGTCTATGGGACCTCGGCCGATAAAATAAAGATAGTACACATTTTATATCGAATTTTCAGCCCCAACAATTTACCAACGAGTCGGAACTATTATCTTATAATCTCTTATTGTTATGGTTCCGGTTATATAGTCACTAAATCGTTCATAAAATGGGATTGACAGCTTCTTGAATATCTAGTCCTTCCTGTTCAACACGGCTCTTCCCACTTCATTTCCTTTCTTTCTAATGCCTTAGAACATTGTCTTTGGGCAATAATGCATTACTAATTACTAATGATTCATTAGTAATGAATCCAGACAGTTTTGTTTCTGTGAGTGCAAATGAAACCAGGTTTTCTTGTTTGTCCATTGTTTCTAAAGTTAAGACACCTTCTGTGTGTGTGTCTATTTACTATTTGTGTCTGCTGAATCGAGCTACTAGCTCTAGACCCTGCATTTCTAACCATTCTGTGGTGTGTGTGTGTGTGTGTGAGAGAGAGAGAGAGAGAGAGAGAGAGAGAGAGAGAGAGAGAGAGAGAGAGAGAGAGAGAGAGAGAGAGAGACAGAGAGACAGAGAGAGAGAGAGAGAGAGACAGAGAGACAGAGAGAGAGAGAGAGAGAGAGAGAGAGAGAGAGAGAGAGAGAGAGAGAGAGAGAGAGAGAGAGAGAGAGAGAGAGAGAGAGAGAGAGAGAGAGAGAGAGAGAGAGAGAGAGAGAGAGAGAGAGAGAGAGACAGAGACATACAGAGAGAGACAGAGAGACAGAGAGACAGAGAGACAGAGAGAGACAGAGAGACAGAGAGACAGACAGACTAAATTACATAAAATACACTTTAAAATACCATTATACATGTAGAATATACCATTGTCAGCAAGAGGAGACGTGCGGACTTGTTGCAGGAGCGGCAGTGTCCGGGGGGAGGAACATGGCGCCGGTCTCCATCCGCTCTCTCTTGTCTAAGCTGGCGGGGCCTCGCGCCGTTGGTAAGTCCTTCCTGCGCTGTGAGTGTCGGGGGAGCGTAGTGATGGTATGGTGAGAATGTGGTGAGGATGTTGTGAGGGAATGTTGTGATGTTGTTAATTGTGTGGGGGAATGTGTAGTGAGGGTGTTGGGGGGAGTGAGAGGGTGGGGTGAGGGGGGGGTAGTGAGAATGTATAATGATGGTGTGGGGAAGGTATAGTGAGGGTTGTATATAGGGAGAGTGTGAGGAGGGTGTGGTGAGAGCGTGGTGAGGATGTGGGGAGTGCATTTTGGGAGTATGGTGATAGCACACTTAGGGTGTGTGATGAGAATATAGTGCAAGTATGGTGACGGTGGTGTACAAACATGGTGTGGGTGTAGTGAGTGTGACAAGGGTATATATTGTGAGAGTATGATGAGTTTGTGATGTTTTGAGAAACCTATGAAGTGTGAAGTGAGGAAGCATGAGGGAGTGAAGAAGATTGTGTGAAAATATGGTGGCGGGGGCCCACGAGACGTGAGATAAGAGCGTCTTAGGGAATGGTGAGGGTATAGTGTGTGTGTGTGTGGTGAAAGTATAGTGAGAGGGGGTATGAGTTATGACGCAAGAGCGTGTGAAACTAATGACCAGGGCATATTGTAACATTCACACAACATTACCTCGTCCAATGTTGCTGCAATGTTGTGAGTTAGTATAACTGAGGTGCATCACAGGGTCTTCCCCCCCCCACCCTCTCACCACAGGTAAGGTGTACGCGGTAATGGCCACAGCGGAGTCACTCCTGCCCTTCGCTGCTGCCCCACTCTACAACGCAGTCTACTCCGCTACCAACAGCACCAGACCCTCATCGTTCAACTTCCTCTCAGCAGGATTCAACTTTTGCCTCACCCTCATACTGCTGTGAGTATCCCACCCTCTCACCCCTCATTCACACCTTTTACTCACCCTGATACTCTGAATATCTCACACCAATGCCCTGAAATCCGTCTTTTAAATCATGTTCAGATTTTATAACAGAGTGATGTACAAGCTTTGTTTATTATGTATTATAGGATCTCTGTAGTGTACTTGGGTTCGTTCTCGATTCGCAATCGGGAATCCCGGGTGGGACAGAAATGGTTGGGCACGATTTCAATCACTTAATGCCACTGTTCACCTAGCAGTAAACATCCCTGTGTCAAGGAGGTCCCTAACTCCCTAACACCCAACAATTAGGCAACTGTTTTCAGGGGTGGCTGTCTCCGACTAAGTGAATTAACTGTTATTATCTTCTTTCTTCCTATAGAGTAGTGACGGTGTCGATGAAGATGGTATCAAGGAGAGGAGCTGCCGGTAAGACGCCAGCCTCCCCTGCTGCTGGAGATGCAGTGGACTACGTCCCAACCTGATGCATCAATATATATATATAACACAACACAGGTTAAATGATTCCCCCTGTTTTGTTTACCTTTGGATTGAGTTCGTATGGTCATAAGCTCGATGACTTTGAGACCTGTTTTAGTATCGGATCCAATGAGAAGGGATTGAGTTTGTGTTTGGGGTCTATGCAAAACAACAGAGATGAGTTGAAGTTTAAATCTTGTGAGGTTCTGTGTTACATACAGCATTTCTTTAGATATTTTTTTTTTAGCATGAGGGACCAGCACTGGGCTGGAAATTGAGTCACTCAACTCACACTTCTGAAAATAAAGCAAGTACATGATGTTTCGGATCGTCCCGGTTTATTATCTAGTCGTGTGACGCCCAAAACGTCGATATTTTCTTCATTTTCAGATCTGTGGGTTGACGTCTGTGGGTTGACGTCTATGAGTTGACGTCTGTGGGTTGACGTTTGTTTGTTGACGTCTGTGGGTTGACGTTTGTTTGTTGACGTCTGTGGGTTGAAGTTTCAGTGTTCATTCTATACACTGTCTTCTAATGTTGTTTTGTCTTTTCTTGATATTTTTAGTACAGTACTCATGACGTTCATGCCGCCAAGCTCCTGGACGAAATCTACGAAGTACTGGTACTTCTCTTCAAGGAACTGAATGTTCCAGTCCCCTCACCCCCACCAAAACCAGAAAGAACGCAATCACTGTGTATAACATTAAACGATTAAACAATGTTGAATAAGATTAAATAAGGTTGAGGTCCTTTCTGTAGGTAGCTTTCCCTTGTGAACTATTAGCTTGACTGTTACCATCTTTTCATATTTTTGTGTCTAGGGGTTAAAAAAAAAGGCTCAGCTCTTTCCACTCTTAAAGTTCAGTGTGTAGTGAGTTTATATTCAACACATCTGTTCCTAAAGTGATCCACAGGTCGACATAAAGTGATGTGATGATCAAGATATTATCAACACAACGAAGTTATTTCACAATGCCTGGGGGGGTAATGCTGATGAATATACCTGCTGGGGGTAATGTTAAAGTAATTCTTACCTCGAGGGATGCCAGGAATACATTAGCAAGCTGATCGGTAATTCCAGAACAAATTGTCATGCTGAATTGCTGGTGGTAGAATGGAGAGGCCGGGGCAGATGAAACAGATTTTTCTTTGAAATAAATTTATTGATTTGTGTATATGCCCCAACACGTGCGAAATTACTTTATTTAGAGCTGAATTTTTTTTGGCAATCTGACAAACTTTTATTAATGAAAACTACTCGGGCTCCAAATACGCAGTAGGAATTAATAAGACACGAGTTGATGTGATGGAATGCACTTGTACTATTTTCAAACCTATTTCTGTCAGATACCAAATGCCGTCATTGCAATAGCTATTGTAGCGATTCCTGACCTTTTTTTTTATTTAGAGGAACTCTTGAAGTGGTTCATTAAATCTCGGGATATTTCTACCTGGCTAACACACACATTAGGTTCCGTAAGGTGGTCACGTAATCTGAGGCCACAAGCCCACATTAGCAGAACAACAACTGCTTCGCGTGACATACTGGCCAACATCCGTGTACCCACCAAACACACACCGAAACTACGACGTTGGTGCAACGTTCGAGCAAGTTTTAACACCTCCTAACCAGTTATAACAACCAATATAGCAAGTTGTAACAACGTTGTAATACGTCATAAACACGTTAAGCCAAGATGTAGCAACTTTATTTCAAGTTGTTACAAGCGGAAAGTAGAGACAGTTTCGGTTTGTGTTTCCAGGGAATCCTTCAGAAACTTGGACAAAGGAGCTTTTCGGGCCTTATACCGCGAAGGTGAGACCCATCCCTGAATATGCGTCCCCAGCATGAAACCCTTACTTGAAAAAGAGCAAGGAGAAAATAGAAAGGTCCAAAGATATTGAACGAGACTCGTTCCGGAGCTGAAGGGAGTGAGCTATGAGGAAAAACTGAGTGAACTGGACTTTACTACAATGAATGAAAGGAGAGATAGGGGGGACATGATAACAACATATAAGATTCTAAGGGATATTGACAAAGTAAACAAAGCAGCGTTTTTCAAAGCTAGGAACAGCAGAACGCGGGGACATAGATGGAAACTTGAGACGCAAATGAGTCATAGAGACAGCAGGAAGAACGTTTTCAGTGTTACTGCTGGCAATAGTTGGAATAGGTCAGACACAGAAGTCGCTGAAGTTAATTCGATCCAAAATTTTAAATGTAAATATGATAAACGCGTGAAAATTGAGTCAATGCAATAATCTAAGAATGTTCGGAAGCCGGGGCCCTGGAGCCTAGCTCGATCCTGCAGGAACTTATAGGTGAGTATATCTAGGCGAGTACACCGCCCTCACATGTGTGGGCGGTGTACTGTTTACTAACTACTTTTTTTCACCACACACACACACACACACACACACACACACACACACACACACACACACACACACACACACACACACACACACACACACACACACACACACACACACACACACACACACACACACACACACACACACACACACACACACACTCTCACATACACACTCTCTCAAACACACACACACACACACACACACACACACACACACACACACACACACACACTCGTAGCCTCGTAGGGGCCTCGTAGCCTGGTGGATAGCGCGCAGGACTCGTAATTCTGTGGCGCGGGTTCGATTCCCGCACGAGGCAGAAACAAATGGGCAAAGTTTCTTTCACCCTAAGTGCCCCTGTTACCTAGCAGTAAATAGGTACCTGGGAGTTAGTCAGCTGTAACGGGCTGCTTCCTGGGGTGTGTGTGTGTGGTGTGGAAAAAAAAAAAAAAAAAGTAGTTAGTAAACAGTTGATTGACAGTTGAGAGGCGGGCCGAAAGAGCAAAGCTTAACCCCCGCAAAAACACAACTAGTAAACAAACTAGTAAACACACACACACACACACTCAGGACTATATAACACAAGGGGCACACGCACAAGGGGACACAGGTGGAAACTGAGCGGCCAAATGAGCCACAGAGATATTAGAAAGAACTTTTTTAGTGTCTAGAGTGGTTGACAAATGGAATGCATTAGGAAGTGATGTGGTGGAGGCTGACTCCATACACAGTTTCAAGTGTAGATATGATAGAGCCCAATAGGCTCAGGAATCTGTACACCTGTTGATTGACGGTTGAGAGGCGGGACCAAAGAGCCAGAGCTCAACCCCCGCAAGCACAACTAGGTGAGTACACACTACCAGGGGGGGGCCTGGTAGCCTGGTGGATAGCGCACAGTACTCGTAATTCTGTGGCGCGGGTTCGATTCCCGCACCAGGCAGAAACAAATGGTCAAAGTTTTTTTCACCCTGAATGCCCCTGTTACCTAGCAGTAAATAGGTACCTGGGAGTTAGTCAGCTGTCACGGGCTGCTTCCTAGTGTGTGTGTGTGTGTGTGTGTGTGTGTGTGTGTGTGTGTGTGTGTGTGTGTGTGTGTGTGTGTGTGTGTGTGTGTGTGTGTGGTGAAAAAAAGTAGTTAGTAAACAGTTGATTGACAGTTGAGAGGCGGGCCGAAAGAGCAAAGCTCAACCCCCGCAAACACAACTAGGTGAATACACACACACACACACACACACATAGCTAGAAAGGCGGGATCCAAGAGTCAATGCTCGATCCTGCAAGCACAAATAGGTGAGTACAAATAGGTGAGTACACACACACACACACACACACACACACACACACACACACACACACACACACACACACACACACACACACACACACACACACACACATTTGAAAACTTAAGACCAGGAAGAGAAATTAAACATAAAATACTTCACCACTTTTGTGAATAGTTCAATAATCTCATAAGTAATGAGAAGCCACATAAAAAATTTACATATACATAACCAATACTTATTGGTACATAACATAATACATAACCAATTAATACATATACATATACATATACATATACATATGTAACAAATATCACTGCAAATTATACTCCTACTTGGACCTAAATATACATATAAAGCTTATTGTTCTAAAGTTAATAATTTTTAATTTCTAAAAAAGCCACATAAATATCTAGTATAAATAACATAACATAATATATATGTTTCCTAAATTAAATAAACATTTAAATCTCATTATTTTTTGTTCTTTAATAATTAATTGAATTACAAATTTTAGTAAACATATTTGAAGAAGAAAAATAATGTTGATCTGAACTAAGAAAAAAAAAATCCGATTATATACTTAGCAATAATAAGCAAATTGTTAACCTTATTCAATCGCGAGATAAACATGGAATAGTTTACACAAAATTGTAAATCGAGAACAATGGTTATATACTAAGCTATATGATATTGCGTGATATAACAACGCTAAATGTTGCGGGCAATGCAGTGGGATTGAACCTCCCAACACACACGCTACCAGCGAAAAAATCCAACAAATAATTTCAACCAGAGTTCTACTGAACCCACACGGCGTTCGGAAGCTCATGTGAACGAACTCAACCCATCACGTGAGTATACAGTAGCTCTGCTGGTTGTTGTGCTAGTGTTACGGCCCTGGGTTCTTTAGTTGGAAACCAGAGGTCGTAACACTCCTCCCCCCTTCAGAGAGAGAAAAAAATGTGACTACTAAAATAGTAGTCATATTTCTTTTAACGTGTCGTGGGTGGTTCAATCCCACCGTATAGCTCCAAAACTGTCTCAATACTTTGCATAAATTTACATATAAATGGAGGACTCATTCCATGCAAATCACGACTAGCAATGCGTGCAATCATTGCATTCATTGTATTCATTGTCTCACGTTAGGAATCATTCTCGTCACGATCTGCTGCCAGATGACTCTTGACTTCACTCGTGTTGTCCTCAGCCAGTGTGTGCCTCTCGCGAACAGTACACTGTACTTGTGAGTTACGCATGAAGATGACAAGGCCTACGAAGAACAGCACTATCAATCCTCCATAGGCTGAAAATGAAAAGGCACAGTATAATCCCAACATGAACAGAGGAAGTACATACCAGCATGACAGGACTTTTGTATACCTTGTCTCAACATACCGACACCATACATGACCCATTCTCCTATTGATGTTTAACTAGTGTCTGAATCTGACTAGCTTTGGAGTTTCTGTACTGATCTTTCAGCAACAGTGAAGGTCTTGGCCTAACTATGGAACTTAATCGCGAGATTATATCAGGTGCTGGTAAATAGCCTCTTTGTATGGTGAAATACTAAGAGATATTATACGGTAGCCCAGAGTAAGATGGTGAATCAGTGCGGAGAAGGAATCTACAAGCGATGGGATGTGATTTCTTCCGATGGGGGACCGCCCATGAAGGTTGTGAAGCTCAGTCAAGCTAACGGTGGCAAAATAATTTTCTCCAAGTTGTACAGACTTCAAATGAATAAGTCTGGATGTATATAGAGGCTTCGGCCTTACACACACGCGGGGTCGACGGTTCGAGCCTCCTAGAGCCCAGGTGAATGAAAACTTTGGATGTTTGTGGGCGTAAAGCAACTCACAGATATTGGTTCTTGTGATTCATTTGTGTTCTATGCTCTAGTGATGCTCAGGGGAGGGAATGATGAGACGAAAGGGCTAAGTCACGTATGGGGAAGGGATATACAGTAAAGAATTTAGGACAGGACGGAGGCATGAATGGAGACTAACCGCTTAGAGCCTTAGATCATTGGGGATCGAACATCGACTTGCAAGAAGACCGTCGCTGTATCAACCCGTCTCAGTGGTTGACCACCATTTCTTCCCTAAATACAAACGGAATTGACCGCATGTGTCTCTTTAACGACCCCCTGGCAACACTGAAGGTTTCATATTGCTTTGAATTACATTCAACTTTTGGACATCTTATGGAAGAACAAGTGAAGGGAACCATCAGAAGAAAGCGCCAAGCCAATACTACTATATAGCACTGAGAAGGGGCCAGGATAAGGATTTGGGATGGGACGGGGGGAAGGAATGGTGCCCAACCACTTGGACGGTCGGGGATTGAACGCCGACCTGCATGAAGCTCTACCGTCGCTCTACCGTCCAGTCTAAGTGTAAGGCTCTTTACCACGAACATAATTGTAACGATATACGACACCAGCCAGCAGTCGAACCTCAGTTCTCTTTGCATCATTTTCTCGTTCTAAAACTAAGTAATGTAGAAGTCAACATGGAATTGCCACTTTCCCTTCAAGACTTGAAACAACTTACTCATATATATATATTTATAGTGTACTGTTGTGTCCTCCTTCTTCTCCTCCTCTGGCTGTACTTCCGTTGGTGTCTGCGAACTTTCTGCAAAGTTCAGGAATTACATTATTGTCACATCATATTCCCAAGTCTAACAATTGAAAAAAAATTACCATGAAGCCTATAGTTATGTGGGTACAAAAAATGGGAATCAATAGTGCTGTAGATATTAAACTGGGGATTACAACTACAACAGATAAAGAACAGATAGTCACGGACAAGGAATATATAGTCACGGCTACTTTAAACTAGAAATAAAACATTTTTACCCCCATCATCCTGGAAATTGATATTGATACCAAAATCATACTGGGGTGATTAAGCCAACTTGTTGTTAAGGAATAGTTTGAGTATATATGTTTAAATGTGACCACCAGAATTTTTGTGCTTGAATGTATTTTAAACCTTTAACATAGGAAACTCTCTCTCCCTCTCCCACTCCCTCTCTCTCTCTCTCTCTCTCTCTCCCCCCCCTCTCTCTCTCCCTCAGTACACATCACCTGTGCAGAAGGCCACGTGCAGGGAGGCGGCTGTGGGGCTGTTGTCGAGCTCGCACCTGTAAGTGCCCTGAAGACCAGCGTGGAAGTCAGAAAAGGGCAGCCCTGAGCAGCCCTTATTGGCCACGTCAGGGGCAACTTTCTCCTCCAGAGTCCCCTGAGCTGTAGATGGTTCATGATTTTACTCATCATTCTTTAATACAGATATTTTAGTAAATTGGAAGCAATGCGGACGAGGAGTCACAATAACGTGAGAGACTATGTTGACCAGACCACACACTAGAAAGTGAAGGGACGACGACCTTTCGGTACGTCCTGGACCATTCTCAAGTCGATTGTGACTTGGGAATCGATTTGAGAATGGTCCAGGACGGACCGGAACGTCGTCGTCCCTTCACTTTCTAGTGTGTGTGGTTTGGTCAACTAAGAAGCAATGGTTTCGTGCGGGTTTCAAGGTCGAAATATTACTTTGTGTATATTTTTGTACTTTAAGGTATAAAATGCAAATAGAGTGCCTTAATTAAACCGGTAAACCGTTAATGCCAAATATGTGTTTTATAGAGGTTATCTTGAGGTTATCTTGAGATGATTTCGGGGCTTAACGTCCTCGCGGCCCTGTCCTCGACCAGGTTTCCTTTTTGTTACACACCCTCAGGAAGCAGCCCGTAGCAGCTGTCTAACTCCCAGGTACCTATTTACTGCTAGGTAACAGGGGCATCAGGGTGAAAGAAACAATTTGCCCATTTGTCTCTGCCTCCACTGGGAATCGAACCTGGAACCTCAGGACTACGAATCCGAAGCGCTGTCCACTCAGCTGTCAGGCGCACTGACATAACAAGTAGTCTGAAACATGATACAAATTATTTAGAAAAAATATTTCTCTGTGCATCTGAATCTTTTCTCGAAACGAAACTTTAGCATCGTTACGTCCTTGGTCATTGCTGCAGCCCGTCCTCATCAGTAAATGCTAAAGGCTCATTCCACACAGCCGCCAAACCCACTGTTTATGAATGAAAAACGCAACCTGTTCTCAGGCTAGGCTCGATAAAGCGGCAGCCGAGACCAAGATGCACACATAAAATTTTATCAAGTTGTGTATTAAAATAATTTTTTCTCTGATATATAACAATATGAATTTATTCATGCATATGAGTTCTATGTATAGTTAGGCGTAGGTTAAGTTAGGTGGTTTTGTTGGTGATAATTATTGTTTGTGGTGCATGGGTGAAGCTGGGATGAGACGGAGGAAAAGAACGGTGCCCAACCACTAGAACCTTCGGGAATCGAACACAGACCTGCAAGAAGTGAGACCTTTTCTGTACCGACTAATCCAAGTAGCCGCAGATAAACATATGTAACAACTTACTACATGATATAGTTGTCTGAGCTTCGGCCTCCCACACTTGGGGTCCAGGGTTCGAGTCTCCTATAGTGCTCAGGTGAAGGAAATGAATAGTTCATTGTAATTGCGCGAGAACAATTACAAAATAACATTTTCAAGTACTGTTCTCCAAATGTACGCCTCACAGAACCTTCTACCGCCAAGACCTTTCAACAAACAAATATTTTAATTTAAATCTAATGGTCTGAAGCTGTTTAAATTTCATTTTAATCCTTTGGATTCTCAGAATATTAGGGGTAATAGCATTATATTTTTGGTAATGACAATTTTTGTTTCACAATTAAATATCTACTTAAGGAGTTATGGAAGATTGTGATCTGAGGGTCACCGTACCTTTACATGCCCTGTTTGAGGAACATTTATAAACTAATTCTTCATTGAAGAAGCAGCGGAAGGCTCTCCCACTCAGCGGCTGTCCCTTATCGCGGATGGCAAGGCAGTACTTGGAGTACTCTTCATCCCAATTCACAACACAGTCGACCTCCGTGTCGTTCCTCACCAGCACCATCGTGATCTCGCTGGCACGACAACACACTAAGACACCTGCGTGGAGGGACAGCAGCCTGAGTGCAAGGGCGAGTTGAGAGGCGGAGAGAGGGAAATGTGACGGGGAAGTGCCAAGCCATCCCGTCTATATAGCATTTGGAAGAGGTCAGGATAAGGATGGGACGGGGGGAAAGGAATAGTGCCCAATCACTTGGACCGTCGTGGATTATGGAATGTGACTCCGTCATGGAATGTGTTATGGTCAACAGTGTGACGTGAGGGACTGTGTGACCTAACGTGACAGAAGAGGGGTAAGATCACTGAAGCTAGCACGAATCTTCTCTATATTAATGATCCAGGACGGACCGAAACGTCGTCGTCCCTTCAACTTCTAGTGTGTGGTCTGGTCAACTTACTTCAGCCACGTTATTGTGACTCATCGCCTGCTTCTCTATGTTATGTTCTTCACTTGACAAGCTGAAAAAGTAACTCTCCAAAGCTCACCTTGAAATGTTATATGGCCTGACACTAAGACCTGCAGTAGGCAGAGGATGTCAACATTTTACCAGGGCAGAATATCCAGCTCACACACCGCTCTCGCCATCACCGACTGCAAAACACACATTTTTTTTAAGCATTCCTCTTTAGTTATGTATTTTTATGCTGATGGATGCCTACTACGTACTTAATTCTCCTCCAGGAAACATGTACCCATTCTCCGGCTGCCTATGAAGATGCTGACATACTCTATCATTACTAAGACACACCCAAAATATTATTTTCTACGTGATTAAGGTGATTTCAGTGATGAAAAAGAGTGTCATGTCAAGACAAACTACAGAGACGCAGATAATGTGAAGTGCAGATTCTTTCAGCGACGATAGTCCTGTGTAGTGTACATGTGAGCTCCGGCACCCGAGCAACGCCGGGTACCAAGGCTAGAACAATAATAATAATTTAGCAATAACAAAAACAAGCAAGTAAACAAGAGAGAAAACAACATACCCGTCAGAACAAGGACACAAACACACTGTGTTTGTCCACTCCTCTCCAGTGTCCGACCCATCTTCTCAGCGCTCCTCGGAGACTCTGACGGATATTTCATATGATTTATTTCCCAAGTTATAACTGCGCATTGTATACGTAATATTTTGACTGTCAGACAAACAGCGTCATTTTTGTTTACACATCAGGATGTTGTCAGATCTGATTTGTCTATCTCAATGAAGATGAAATGTGCATAATTACAGGTGTTTTCGTTGCCTCACAATAATTACAGGTGTTCGTGCCCCACAATAATTACAGGTGTTTTCGTTGCCTCACAATAATTACAGGTGTTTTCGTTGCCTCACAATGATTCGTGATGGCGGTTGTCATGGTAGGGATGTTATTCACGTGTTTTTTCACGGTGATAAAGGTAACACTAGTAATAGTCACCATGGTTGGTAATAGTGGTGATTGTGTGTCAGTGTTATGGCCCACAATCATCACTATGTGACTACTACGGTCACTGCAGCAATGTCACCATTATGTTGTGGTGACATTGATGGGGTTAGCACTGTGATGCATTGGTGGGTATAATGTATAACAACGTATAACAACCTTAATGTATAACAATACCATCCCCCCTAGATGTTTAAACACACACCTCTCACCTTAATGTATAACAATACCATCCCCCCTAGATGTTTAAACACACACCTCTCACCTTAATGTATAACAATACACTTCACCTTAACGTATAACAATGCCCTTCCTCTAAATGTATAAATATACCCTTGTATTATATATAAATAACTCCATAAAGACAGATCTCCATTACTCACTGAGGAATACAAATCAAATCACACTCTCAGTGTGGTAACCGACCTGTGAGATTTATATTTATTTAATTTATATGAATTTATATAGAATTTATATCTACATTAATTTGTATATTTCGATAGCAATTTGTATGATGATAAGTGGACTGTATTTCTGCAATAATCTCACAAATCGATCTACTGCACATTAGGGGGGTTTATCTTGAATTTATATATATGCAGCCAATCAAACTACAGTATTAGACTACATACATTGAAGAGGTTCCTTATCTTATTTGTACAACAGGCTATAACTACAGGCTATAACATATATAACAGGCTATAGTCCACCAGGAATAACTAGGGTGTAGACACCAAATTTTCCTCGTGTAAGGTAGCTTCCATCACCCTGGTAACTGATGCACAAAGCATGCTTCCTCATCTTGAACTGTCAAAAGGGCGCTAGCTATGAAGCCAGAATCTCATTACTACTATCCCCTACACCTGACTTTCCTCCTCAGCTCTCTCTTGCTTATTTAATGCCTGTCCTACCTGTCCTCATCACAATCGACTTGAGAATGGTCCAGGACGGACCGAAACGTCGTCGTCCCTTCAATTTCTAGTGTGTGGTCTGGTCAACATACTTCAGCCACGTTATTGTGACTCATCGCCTGCATATGGATACCACACGTACGCGTCTTACTCTGTTTAATTTCTTTGATGCTCTACCTTCCTTCAAACGGCCTTTTCGCGCCTTTGAATCTTCCCTTCTTGCCGCCAAGCGTCGAAAGAACCAGCTCAGGTTTCTTAAAGACTGTCTTGCTGAGCAAGTTCTCCCTCATTCTTTATCTCACTTTCTCCAGTTCAACACTTCGGGATCTCCTTTCCCTGAACATGCCCGCCTTCTTCTTCAAGAACTTATTCATGCCACCTCCTTGCAAGTTGACGAGGCTTTTCTTGCTGTTCGTCAACAGCAACGCTTTCTGTCCTCTTCTCTTCCCAGTGATCTATGCAATATCATTTTTCCAATTGCATTTGACACTGCTCACGTCTCCTCTTCCCACCACTCCTCCACACTACACAACAAACTTCAACGCCTGATCTCCAACAGTCCTTGGGCCAAATACTCTCTCTCTGACTGTGTTACCAACCTTTCGTCCTACTCTCTTTCTAAGCACCAGCAAGAACTTCTTGGTCTTGGTCTGTCTTTTGCTATTTCCCCTGGCCCACGCTGTGGCATTGATCTCATTAGTTCCTTTGACAGGTTTGTCAATTCTAACTCTAGTACTCTTTCGGACCTGTCTGCCTTTAGAGGGGCCCTTATCCCCGTTCTTGACAGCTTGTTTTCTAAAAATAACCACCTTCCTCGTCGCTTCCAGCTTGCCCTCGCCTCCCTGAAATCTAACAACTCTATTCTTATCCTTCCTTCAGACAAAAGCAATTCGGTGGTTGTCCTTGACCGTGAGGACTACCTCCGAAAAGCAGATGTCTTGCTCTCTGACTCTCACACTTATGCTCCTCTGACTTCTAACCCTTTGGGTCGCCTCAAAACTTCCTTTAACCGCAAACTAAGACAGCTCTCTAGTCTTTGCCCTCCTGACTTTGATCTCATTAAACGTTTCCGTGTCATCTGCCCTTCTCTTCCTTATTTCTATGGTCTTCCTAAGACTCATAAACCTGGTGTTCCTCTTCGTCCTATCATTTCTTCACGGGGCTCTGTCAGCTATCCTCTTGCCTCCTGGCTCGCTAAAACCCTGACACCTTACCTTGGCACTTTTTCCCCTGCCCACCTTCGTCACTCTCAGGACTTCATAGAAAGACTGCGCCTGCAACCCTCTTGTAAAATGCTTAGTCTTGATGTCGACTCTCTGTTCACTAATGTTCCGCTCGATGACGTTCTCTCTTTCCTCAGACAGAAGGCGTCAGAGGGTCTCTTTCCTCTCCCACTTCCCACTGACGTTTTCCTCGATCTCATTAGACTCTGTGTTGAATCTAACTCTTTCTCTTTCAACGGTAAATATTACACTCAAACTTTCGGTGTCGCTATGGGTTCCCCTCTCTCCCCTGTTCTTGCTAATTTATATATGGAATACTTCGAAACTGTTCTTCTTCCTTCTATTGATACTCGTCCCTCTCTCTGGCTTCGCTATGTTGATGACATTTTTGCTTTATGGCCTCATGACCTTAATCTTTTCCAGCCTTTCCTCGCCTCTCTTAACAATCTTGCTCCTTCTATCCATTTCAAAGTTGAGTGGGAATCTAATTCCCTCCTTCCTTTCCTTGATGTTCATGTTCACAGCTCTGTGTCTGGGTTCTCTTTCTCTGTCTACCGTAAACCCATGCATAGTGGCATGTACATTCACTTCTTTTCCTACCATCCTCTTTCTGTTAAGAAAAGTGTCCTCGTCTCTCTCTTCCTCCGCGCTCTACGCATCAGCGACCCTCAGTTTCTTGATTCTGAAATTGCCTTTATCTACAAATCATTCTCTCGCCTTGGTTATCCTTTGCATTTCATCAACTGTGCCCACTCTCAAGCTAAACGAAATTTCTTTCATCCTAAACCTGCTTCCAACACTAGTAGCACTGTACTATGCCTTCCCTTCATATCTGAACTCAAAACTTTTACCAATACCTTTCGTCCTCTTGACATTAAACTCGCCTTTCGACAAACTAACACACTTCGTAGCAATCTAGTTCACACTGCTCCTCCTGCTTCTAATGCTACTGGTGTCTACTCTATTTCCTGTTCATCTTGTCCTCTCCAATACTTTGGCGAAACTGGCCGTACACTGAATGACAGACTTAAAGAACACAAGAGAAGTGTTATGTCTGCAGACACTAACAATGCTCTCTTCTGCCATGTGAGGGATTCTAATCATCCCATTGATTGGTCTTCCTCCAAAATAATCTTTCCTGCCTCTACTCTACACAGACGCCGTCTTGTAGAATCGGCTCTTATTAACAATGTACCCAACATGAACTTGAGTCCTGGCTTTGTTGCTGTGGACTCTTCCCTTTCACAGTATATACTCAAATGCTCTAATCTTTCTAACAAACGTGACTTAACATAAGCTTTCCCCCTTCCATTTCTTTCTTTCTCTTTCCCTTTCTTTCTCTCTTCTCCCTTTTTCTGTTCATTGTCTTCTCCTACGCTCCCTTGCTATCCTCTTCTTATTCCTATTACTATCTCCTTCGGTGGTTATAATAGGAGCTGCCTCGTATGGGCCAATAGGCCTGCTGCAGTTCTCATTACTACTATCCCCTACATCTGACTTTCCTCCTCAGCTCTCTCTTGCTTATTTAATGCCTGTCCTACCTGTCCTCATCACAATCGACTTGAGAATGGTCCAGGACGGACCGAAACGTCGTCGTCCCTTCAATTTCTAGTGTGTGGTCTGGTCAACAAGCCAGAATCCTAATATATGACAGCTATATCAGAGAAAACACTGTATATTGAACCATAAAGACCAAGGCTAATTACCTTTTTTGAGTCGATCATTCGTGTTCTAACCGGTACGCCCTATCTACTGACATTAATGGCCACAAATGTCTAGATAAACGGGTTTCGGAAAGACACCTCCCTTGAGATTGATGACAGCGTGTTGATGATGGCAGATCACTACTCTGATCTTCCATAACACTTCGTCCAAGAGAATTTATAGGAGCCGTAATTCGCTCCAACGACTCTGTGGTCTTAAACAATAACAATGGCTGACCACTGCCTCACAACTGACGCCACTGGCCTACATTGTCCAGATGACAGTACGTGACAGAAGGGTCACATTTACTCTATTTTAATATTGATAATTAAGTTAATTTATATGAGATGTTTTATGATGGTAAAGTCCAAAGACTAATGTATTTAAGAATAATTCCCAGCAGAATAGCTGGTGAATTTATAATAGTATGTGGTAATGATATCCCGTTTTCTATAGACGGAAAATTCCACTACAAGTTACATTTTCTATGGGTAACTTGTTTATACAATGGCAGTAATATTATCTGCCTGCATTGATATTATTAAATGGTGTCGGATTTTCCGACACTCAGACCACGGAAGGGACATCCTCTTTCTGCTTAGATGAAAGCACACAAGAATAACCTTACCTGAGTACATGGCTCCCAACGTCTTCCTAAATATGAACCGCCTCAATTTGAAGACACATATTACAGCAAAAAGCCTTACTTCGACACCACAAGGTCTTACTTCGACACCTCAAGGCCTTACTTCGACGCCTCAAGGCCTTACTTCGACACCTCAAGGCCTTACTTCGACACCTCAAGGTCTTACTTCAACACCTCAAGGCCTTACTTCGACACCTCAAGGCCTTACTTCGACACCACAAAGCCTTACTTCGACACCACAAGGCCTTACTTCGACACCACAAGGCCTTACTTCGACACCACAAAGCCTTACTTCGACACCACAAAGCCTTACTTCGACACCACAAAGCCTTACTTCGACACCACAAAGCCTTACTTCGACACCACAAAGCCTTACATCGACACCACAAAGCCTTACTTCGACACCACAAAGCCTTACTTCGACACCACAAAGCCTTACTTCGACACCACAAAGCCTTACTTCGACACCACAAGGTCTTACTTCGACACCTCAAGGCTTTACTTCGACACAGGACTGAATTAGAAAGGCAGGAGCGGTCTCAATCACAGAAACTGTGTACACATGTCCCTGGAGGGGCAATGAATGTTTAATCAGAGACTGATAAGAGATTAGATCGCCCTATCGGACCGCGCAAACAGGATTATTTATATAACAGACTTAAGGTGCACACAAACATACATTCACACAAACATATAGATATAGATATTCACATACAACACCATCAAGGGCTTAAAATTTACATGAAAGGGAGGAGAGTCGGAGTGTTCAGAGACATGTGAAAAAAAAACAAGAAAATATACCACAGCCTCCGCAGGGTGACAATATGCCTAGAAAAAAATAAATGTAGGACTAGAGAAACTTTTAAACTAAAGACCTTGAGAGAATTTTGGTGCACTTGGTCGGGGTGTTAGTACAGTGTCTTGGCGTTGATATTTAGTCTCTTATACACTCTTTTGTTTGTTTTCATTGCACTAACAAGACTGAAAACAACGAAGAGAAATTAATCAACAAACAATTGATGCAAAGATTGTCTTTCTATGAACCGCTCGTTCACTTGAAGCAGCGAGCCCAACCACTTTAACTGGACGATCGACCGATAATCTCGATTTTGTTGTAGGTCGGAGTGCTGATACGATAGTAGTAGTAGGCATCCATCAGTCTCAGTAGACTATGGAGTTGCGCACCGGTGTCGGCCTGGCCTGGAGTGGCCTCACCAGGGAGCAAAGCCAGGGTAGGTTGATATGGAGGAGAAGCTGTTACCCAGGCAGCAGGTCCTCCCTCTCCACAGCGCCGAAAGTCCCCAATGGAAAGGCGAACGCCAATACGATTGGGGACGATAACTCATCTGATAACGCTGATAAATGCTTTATCAGTAGAAATCTATGTTTCACTCCATGACGGACAATGATTGGCAGTTAGAAAACGCGTGAGACATGTAGAGGACCGCCACCGGGATCTGTAACGTGAATTTGACGATTGTCTGGATCTGTGTGTACTCACCTAATTGTGCTTGCGGGGGTTGAGCTCTGGCTCTTTGGTCTCGCCTCTCAACCGTCAATCAACTGGTGTACAGATTCCTGAGCCTATTGGGCTCTATCATATCTACATTTGAAACTGTGTATGGAGTCAGCCTCCACCACATCACTTCCTAATGCATTCCATTTATTAACTACTCTGACACTGAAAAAGTTCTTTCTAACGTCTCTGTGGCTCATTTGGGTACACACAAACGTGTGTGTGTGTGTATCTGTGTGCGAGAGGCTCTCGTGGCAAAATTAACGTGGCTTCAATCCGCGGAGCGCGGTAGCCCTTCACAACGATGGCACGGATGAGAATAGCCCTACTATGTCTGAACACTGTGTTGCTGAATCGTTGCGAGGAGGCGGCCTCGCTGACTATAAGTTCACAACTCCAGACGGCTAGTACGTCGTCGTCGTCGTCAGGCCTGGGAACTGGGATGATGTCTGCTGTAAACTGCATTCCTGGGTCTGACAACGACGGCGACGTCATGGACGTCCCTTACGACCACACCCAGTTCCTCGTCAACATACACAACAACTTCACCTACCTGCAGATCTCCCTAAAAATTGCATCCTGTAGCCGCTACGACATCTACAGAGGCAATTATTTCGTGACGCCCGAAGTCCTTCACCTTAACTCTTCCAAAATGCAGACGGTGATGAGGGTTGCATACACCAGGCAGGAAGACGGAGCACATGCCTACAAACTCTCCCTGGAAAGCATTAACTACTTCGACCAAATCAATACCTCGGTCACGTGTGGAGAGCTGCGCGGCTTTCGCTTCAAGGCGAAGGGCGCCTCGATATGTGACCTCCAGTTGAAGGAGAACAAGCTCGGGGTGCGCGTGGGGACGCTGAAGACACAGCCCAGGGATTCCTCCAAGAACCTTTACGCCCTTCACCGCTGGACCCAGGGCGCCTACGTGATGGCCATCTGCTTCACTCTCACCTCTTACCTCCTCTTCCTGCTGGCTATGAGGATTCTGAGGAGCCACACTCAGTATGAGTTTGTCATCAGTGAAAGGTACATAGCATTTCCCTCATTGTCAGATCAACCTATCTCGAGGAAACACGTAGTTAATATTAACCCTATTTTTTTATATCTCAACTTTTTAATAATGCAACATTAGCTGATATCTAAGGAAAACCGTTGTCACTAATACCAGCAAACATGTGTAAGAGATGGGCTCTGATATCTGGCATATAAACCTTATAGAAAACTCCTGTTATTTTTTAAACAGTCAATTGTGATCTTATGAGGTCTAATATCTGACAGCCTCTACCAGACAGTCCCTCGAGGAGCCCCATCTATTATGTGATGTTATTTATCAGATGCTGACTTCCACGGAGATCTTAAGTCTAAAGATTTTTTTACAGGCACTCTCCAGCTACGGAAGTAACCTTAGAGTAGCACAAGGGTGGGAGCGATGCCTTCCGTGGGAGACACAGCAGAAGGTGGTTCTGGAGACCTGCTGAGAAGAAGGACAGGCCTCTGCGACTTCTCTACTGTGCTGGACATGAAGCCAGACGGACCACCTGGGCGGCTTTACCCTGAGGGGCAGGAAGAGCTACAAGAGCTAGCCGGGCTTCCTGCCCGGCTAGCTCTTGTGGAATCTCCATCCTGCCCGAGAGGAGGTCAGACCAGCCCCTAGGGCATTTCTACCCTTCTGGTGTGAAAACCAAAAAATCCGGTGGAATCACGTCTCTGCTGGTGTGAAAGCCAGGTCCCTGGGGCGCCCCAGGACCCTAGGGCGCCTTCATCCTGCTGCACATCAAAGGGTCTAGGAGCTCTAAGACTGACCCTCTTCAGTAAGGTCTCCATTCCCCTTCAAACACAAAAGTAAAGGCTTACGACGCCACCCAACAGTTTTCCGTCCCCCTTCATTAATAATAAATACAGAGGGTGAGAATGTTTTGTGGACTCCCCCCAACCCATCCTCCTAAAATTCTATGACGTTTTGTAACTATGTCAATGTGTAAGAATAGAGCCCTAGTAATTAACATTTTGTGTACTATGTTTATAGTGCACCAGGCTCTCTAAGGTTCGAATCCTTCACGGGGAAGAGTTCTTTGGTTACAGACAACTTGTGCGTTTATGCAAGTGTGTCGTATATTTGAGGCTCGTGTTTTCTTCAATAGTGACTGATTTGATTAACACTATCGGTAATCTCTTCCCATTGCGAGTGCTGTCAGGTCGTTGGAAAAATAGCACCAGGCTACCAACGATTTTTGTACAGTCTTTGATGGTCAAATGGTTACTGTACTGGATACGCAAGAGTGTTTGATGCACCAGGCTCGAATAAGGTTCGAATCCTTCAGGGAGAAGAGTGAAGGATTACTATTACCACCACCAGGCCACAACGACTTCCAATTCTTTTAACAGTCGTTGTGGCCTGGTGAAAGTAGTGCACACGCCAAGAGGGCATAGAGCCTCTGGCTGTCTGGGTTCGAATCCTTCAGGGGTGAGGAGTTTTATGTTGTGTATATATATATATATATATACATATATATATATATATATATATATATATATATATATATATATATATATATATATATATATATATATATATATATATATGTCGTACCTAGTAGCCAGAACTCACTTCTCAGCCTACTATGCAAGGCCCGATTTGCCTAATAAGCCAAGTTTCCCTGAATCAATATATTTTCTCTAATTTTTTTCTTATGAAATGATAAAGCTACCCATTTCATTATGTATGAGGTCATTTTTTTTATTGGAGTTAAAATTAACGTAGATATATGACCGAACCTAACCAACCCTACCTAACCTATCTTTATAGGTTAGGTTAGGTAGCCGAAAAAGTTAGGTTAGGTTAGGTTAGGTTAGGTAGGTTAGGTAGACGAAAAACAATTAATTCATGAAAACTTGGCTTATTAGGCAAATCGGGCCTTGCATAGTAGGCTGAGAAGTGCGTTCTGGCTATTAGGTACGACATATATATATATATATATATATATATATATATATATATATATATATATATATATATATATATATATATATATATAAGAAAGAATGTCTGCTCAACCCGTCCTTTTACAAATCACATCGCTCGTCGCTCGTATGCGCTACCGCCAAAAAAAGGTCGTAATTTGAAAATTATAAATAACTGAAAATATATTTTTGATTTTTTTGTTACCAAGACAGCAAGTTAAAGATCCTCAGGTAGGTTCGGAGGGCAGGACGTTCTCCTAAGGTTTCAAAACGTCATGAAAACTGTTATTTGAAAGTTTCCTTTCCTAACAGGCTAAGCCAGAGGACCCAAAACAGAAAACGAGACAATACGTCACTTTCGTGAGCCGATTTAAATTATATCCTTTTTTTTTAGCCTGAGTGCGCATACAAGCGAAAAGCGACGTAATTTGTAAAAGGATGTTTTGGTCTGTTTGTCTGCCCAAGGTTGGTCCTATTACGAAGTGTAAAATTAAATTATGTGTGTCCCTGTGTGTATTCCCGTAATATATAATTAATGTGTAAATTAGCAGTCCTCATGGCATAGTGGCAACACACTCACCAGGCGTTTCGCGAGCGCATTGGCCTGGGTTCGTATCCTAGCCGGGGAGGATTTACTGGGCTAAATTTACAATTTTTAACTGGATTTACAACCTTTAACTGTAACCTCTGTTTACCCAACAGTAAAATGGGTACCTGGTTGTTAAACGATTTGCCAGGTCGTATTTTGGGGAAAAAATTATGATACAGGACCTATCCGAAACATTATGCGTGCTAGTGGCTGTACAACAATGTAACAACTCTTACATATATATGAATTTATAAATAAATATATTATTAGAGCTCCACCCCCCACTCCACGAACACAAAATAAATGAAACATGGCTGGCCGAGCCCCTAGATTTATTCACGTGAGCGTTCTTGATGGAAAATGAGTACACACATGCAAATGTTGGTAGACGTGTTTACATTGAGAATGCTAAGGTTTCAGAAGCGTTTATTGTGTTGTGTTGTAGATAGTGGAGCGGCGACTAAACAGAGGCGTGTTTTAGAGGGAGACTTGCCGCACTGTGGGGCGGGATGTTGTGTCTATGGCGTCAGCTGATCCTTGGTGCTGCGGCGAGGCAGTTGTTTTCTGTGTTTGGCTGCTGGTGGCGCCAGGTATAAATGTGGCGCGGGTCAAATGCGTCCCAATTTGTTGGTCGACTGGAAATATTTAGCCAGTGCTTTGTCTATTTGATGTTTTTACTGTCTTTATGTCAATTTGAACTGTCTTTATGTCAATACCCCAATATTATTGCCCCACGCGTACTACAACATGTCGAGCCGTCCTGCGATTCTTTAATGAAGGCTGCTTCTGGGTGGGAGGGAGGGAATTGTCAGGGGGAAAGCGCCAAGTCATTGCGACTATGCAGCACTGGGAAGGGGTCGGGATAAGGATATGGGATGGGACGAGGGGAAGGATTGGTGTCTAACTATTTGGACGGTCGGGGATTCAAGGCAGACCTGCATGAAGCGAGACCGCCACTCTACCGTCCAGCCCCAAGTAGTTGGAAGGCTTCTGGGATTGAACCCAATTCATAGCCACACACATCAAATTAAATTTAGCGTGAGAACTCGTGATTTACCCTTACTATTGCACTTGACATTCAAGGAACTTAACGTCCTAGTGGATAAGGATTTCAACTTGGCTAGAACCTTGGCGGTTGCTCTCGCCCATCTATGAATGCAGTTTAAGTACAAGCTGCTCTTGCGCAGTCCTTTTTTGCCTGAGTTCAACCTCTGAAGGTAAATACATAGACTCAAAATCTCACAACATGTTGTAGGCCGTAGTGTGGTCTGAATATGTCTGATGTTTGAGTGAAATACTTTATTTTATGGTCGGTTAGTGCGAATTACTCAACCTGGGACCTATAACCTCATTACCTATAACCTATAACTATATATATATATATATATATATATATATATATATAATATATATATATATATATATATATATATATATATATATATATATATATATATATATATATATATATATATATATATATATAAACTATAGGGACCTATAACCGAATTACTCAACCTATAACCTGTTGTGTAACACGGCACAGACCTGTACGTTACTTGATATGTTGTCATGCAGGTATATCAGTCTGATTATGAATTAGACTGTGTGTGATACCCATGCAGGTATCACACACAGTCTAATACCTGTTGGGTAAACCTTCCCAGGTGTGTCCCTTGTGACACACATCACATCAATGCGTTGATGATGTAACTGTGACAGACATTTCCTGATTGTTATTTATGATAACTGCATTAAACTTAAGGATTGAGTCATATCCTTTAATCTGTTACTCAGTGATATGAAAATATAATGGTATATATATATATATATATATATATATATATATATATATATATATAACTGAAAACTCACACCCCAGAAGTCTGGGGTGTGAGTCTGGGTGTGTGAGTCTGGGGTGTGAGAAACTCACTGAGTTTCAGTTGCATATTGTCCTGGGGACCATTCAGGCTTGTTCGCATATATATATATATATATATATATATATATATATATATATATATATATATATATATATATATATATATATATATGCATATATATATATATATATATATATATATATATATATATATATATATATATATATATATATATATATATATATATATATATATATATATATATATATATATATATATATATATATATATATATATGTCGTACCTAGTAGCCAGAACGCACTTCTCAGCCTACTATGCAAGGCCCGATTTGCCTAATAAGCCAAGTTTTCCTGAATTAATATATTTTCCCTAATTTTTTTCTTATGAAATGATAAAGCTACCCATTTCATTATGTATGAGGTCATATTTTTTTATTGGAGTTAAAATTAACGTAGATATTTGACCGAAACTAACCAACCCTACCTAACCTAACCTAACCTATCTTTATAGGTTAGGTTAGGTTAGGTAACCGAAAAAGTTAGGTTAGGTTAGGTTAGGTAGGTTAGGTAATCGAAAAAACATTAATTCATGAAAACTTGGCTTATTAGGCAAATCGGGCATTGCATAGTAGGCTGAGAAGTGCGTTCTGGCTACTAGGTACGACATATATATATATATATATATATATATATATATATATATATATATATATATATATATATATATATATATATATATATATATATATATATATATGTCGTACCTAGTAGCCAGAACTCTCTTCTCAGCCTACTATGCAAGGCCCGATTTGCCTAATAAGCCAAGTTTTCAGGAATTAATTGTTTTTCGACTACCTAACCTACCTAACCTAACCTAACCTAACTTTTTCGACTACCTAACCAAACCTAACCTATAAAGATAGGTTAGGTTAGGTTAGGTAGGGTTGGTTAGTTTCGGTCAAATATCTACGTTAATTTTAACTCCAATAAAAAAATATGACCTCATACATAATGAAATGGGTAGCTTTATCATTTCATAAGAAAAAAATTAGGGAAAATATATTAATTCAGGAAAACTTGGCTTATTAGGCAAATCGGGCCTTGCATAGTAGGCTGAGAAGTGCGTTCTGGCTACTAGGTACGACATATATATATATATATATATATATATATATATATATATATATATATATATATATATATATATATATATATATATATATATATATATATATATATATATATATATATATATATATATATATATATATATATATGTCGTACCTAGTAGCCAGAACTCTCTTCTCAGCCTACTATGCAAGGCCCGATTTGCCTAATAAGCCAAGTTTTCAGGAATTAATTGTTTTTCGACTACCTAACCTACCTAACCTAACCTAACCTAACTTTTTCGACTACCTAACCTAACCTAACCTATAAAGATAGGTTAGGTTAGGTTAGGTAGGGTTGGTTAGGTTCGGTAATATATCTACGTTGATTTTAACTAAAATAAAAAAAAATTGACCTCATACATAATGAAATGGGTAGCTTTATCTTTTCATAAGAAAAAAATTAGAGAAAATATATTAATTCAGGAAAACTTGGCTTATTAGGCAAATTTGGCCTTGCATAGTAGGCTGACAAGTGCGTTCTGGCTATTAGGTACGACATATATATATATATATATATATATATATATATGTATATATATATATATATATATATATATATATATATATATATATATATATATATATATATATATATATATATATAAAATCAGTGTTTTATGTATTATATTTAAATATATAAAACACATTTATATAAAATATCGGTGTTATGACTGTTATTATTTAATAATAATAGCATTAATCAGAGGATATTAAGAGTGGTGGCTGTAAACACGACGTGTCGTGCACTTATGGGATACCACTAGTGTCTAGATAATGTATCAGCTGACCTTCCTTGGAGGACACTCACAGATAAGATTTTATGATATATATACATATATTTTTCGGTAGGAGTGCGTGTGCATTTGTGTGTTCTTATC